TCTGTACCGTTTGATAATCTTATAGTACATGATATATATTTTTTAAAAATTGTAGTACATAATAATAAATGTTGACAACAAACCATTTTAAATAAAGTACTCTAGATTTGTAGAGAGAACACGGTAACAAAAAGTGCATTGGGAATTCCATGAGAATTGCAATGCAGTTAAAACAAACTCTATGAGGTAGCTTTTTCGATTTGGCAATTTTTGGTGTTTTGGATTCAGTTTTTAGCCCACCCAATAGCAATCTAAAATTATCAAAAAAAAAAAAAAAAAACCGTCAACATAAGTGATATGAATGAAAATATGCTACATTGTTGAGATATTTGGGTTTCGAAAAAAATTATTTTATAATTGCATGTGGATATCTTAGCTTATTGCACTATGCTCTTAGTGGGGTCTAGACCATAAATTTTGTGGACTTGGTGAATTATATTGAAAAGAACATGATGTCTAGGAATTGTAACTATGCACTTACATGTAATTTTATCCAAAACACATATAAACACATTGATTATGGTAGGAATTGGGGCCAATTTTCTAGGGATATGAATATTGTTGGAATAGACTTTATAGGGTATGGGTATTGACATTATATTCTATTTAGGCATGAGTTTACCTATTTATATGATACTGATTAAATTACACATACGAATTTTGACCAATTTGTAGAAGTTATAAAGTTTAGGTATAAAATTGTAAGGATGAAAATTTTAGTTACGGAATGAATTTTTGCATTGATTTCTAGGACTTCTATTCCAAGGATTAATTTTAAGTACTGAAATTTAAAAATATTATATGTACCGAAATCTTGATTTTATATGGTCATGGTATAAACCCAAACTTATGACTTAAAAGTCCAAACCAACCCAAATAAGTGAGTATGTCTCTAAAACTATAGATATGTACACACTTACCTTATATTTGAGTTTCATACCCAACTTATTCTGATTTGGATGATTAATTACTCATGGGTTCGGTCAAAATTGTCATTTCTATCATTTTCGTTCCTAAAAACATCGCAACCAACCTCAATAGTTATTATTCATATTGTCAACTTCTAATCATAGTATGTAAATACTCCATTTAATACACATATAATGGACGTACGAATTTTATCCGTTTAAAACTTCATTATCCATATTATTGTGAAGCCATTTCATTTTTTCCTTTCATTTGATGGCTCGAGTACTAAACATGTATATTCATATTTAATAAATTTAATTGTTAAATTAACAATTATTTATATCTTATTTTATTTTTAAATAAATAATTTTTATAAAACTATTGACGTACTATTAAATATGCCATTAGTTTATAGACGAAATCAATTCATTTTTCCTTTCATTTGATGGCTCGAGTACTAAACATGAATATTCATATTTAATAAATTTAATTGTTAAATTAACAATTATTTATATCTTATTTTATTTTTAAATAACTAATTTTATTTTTTTAACTATTGATGTACTATTAAATATGCCATTAGTTTATAGACGAAATCAAATATTTGTATGTATTATATATTTAACTTACTCGTACTGTATTTTACTAACTATTTTTCAAATGAATAAATTCAGTAAAAAATGAGTTGTTGACTTAAATTCAAAAGATAACTCTTTTACTATCATTCATTTCAAAATATTTATTAGGCATGACAGTATAAGAATAATATTGAGGAATTTTATTTTTAATCTTTGAACAATTGAAATCTTAAGCACAACTTGTACAAATCTTCACCTGAACCACTCGCAGCCAGTTGACACCCCCAACAAACCTATTGCTCATACATAACAAATAAACTACAATTCGTTCCCTGATCTATATAACATGACAACCAACCTCATATAATTATGAATCAGATTGTCATTGGTCAATTAAGTACTAATAAATTCATATACAATCAACTTCTTACTACGACACCCAAGTAAAATACATTGTACATGTTTGCCAGACAAATTACGATGTTTAATATAAAAAAATTTTCTATACTTCTGAAAATAAATGATTTACCAACATCATAAATTACATTTGTCTTCTCGAAAGTAATTTGTACTGAAGTTGTGCAATATTATTAAAATTTTCCTCAAACACGATATTTTGCACGGTTTTAGATTCTTCACCTTCTAAATCACAACTTAAAATCTTCATTCCATGTGACGTCCTCGCCATGTGGGAATAATATGATATATTACAAAGGCATTAAATTGGGATGATATATACTAATTTGTTCATCTAATGTAAAAAATAAAAAGAGTAAGATATACCATAGAAGCTTTATTTATATTAGAATTCACATGCCGTAGACTAAGTTGAAAATATAATATAAGTAAAGAACGAAATAGCGCACTTGTATAAGAAGAACTTAACGGTGGGAAGAAGAAAGCTGTTGTCGTGGATAGCCGCCTGAATCCGACCTAATTGAATAGGGTAAAACTCGAATTGAATGATTTTCAGTTGGTACAGATAAAACTTGAACGTGATATTATGGGTAATGAGTTCACATTGTTTTCTCACTGTTAAACCCGAACCCGCCTGATTATACACATTTATATGTATTTTTATTAGAAATGGTCATTATTTTCTCAACATATTTTATATATAGCATACAAATATAATATTTCATAAAATTATATTGTTTAAATTAATTTTCTTCGTTCTATTGAATTTTTGTCGTACTTTTCCACTTATATAATCTGAGTATACGTGTAAATGTTAACATGTTTGTTGTAATTATAAAAAGAAATTATTACCCATGGATAACCAAAACGCGAACGAATATGAACATAATTTTGATTTTCTATCCGATTCTTATGTGGGGATGAGTATAGATAAAACTCGAACTACGGAAAACAACATATATGCATTATTCCCCCAACCAGGTCATCTATAGCTGTTATAATTTTTTAACACAAATTAAAGCCCCGTACACCTCAGCCTTCCATAGCCAATCTGAATTAAAATACACATATAATTGAAACCTTTTGCTATTCTCTATGGCCCATATAAAATTAAAATATATTTATCAAAGCCCTTTGTCCTTCCTTTTTTGCTTTATATGGCCTACGTATAAATTAAAAAAACAAATTGACCCAAATGACCCTCCGTTCTATGTGTAGGAGGCTTTAAATTTTGAATTGATGGGGTTCTGGACAGGAACCTCCTTATATGTTTGATTTAGATGAGAATATCGAAAATGAATACTCATAGAACATTTCGACATGATAACATATTCATTTGTAAAAGTCTTTACCTAAAGTAAAAAAATGCAAAACTATCCAAGAAAAACAACTCCTAAAACCTTAATCAGACCACGCTATTTGGTCTCTGTTGTAAATAAGTATTGCAATTTTATTTTGGATTTTTTTCCGCTTATCCATCAAAAGCATCATCTTCTCCACTAATTAAAGCATTTTCGTCCGGCATAATGAAACATTTCATTGGAAGCCAATCTTTGATGTCAAAATATTTGGAAATATAAAACATCAATTTCATACCGTAGAATTTAGTCATTTACTATGTTCAAAACATAAACATGTTATGAGATTTGTTATTTCTCCCTATCATTGATAAGCAACCCAACAACCAATAAAATAATTTTTTTCATTGATTAAACAATAAAATATTTGATAACCTTTAGATTGGAAAAGTTATAATTTACTCAAAGGTGTGTTACTGTGTTGTTGTAAAAAAAAAAAGTGTTACTGTGTTCTTATGTAAAGAACACATTTCTTTTTGCTTGACAATTCTTTTCAAACCATGACTTATGGAATTGATTTATGAAATGTATACAATGATATTTCTAATGTCGAAAAGTGTGGAATTGTTAGAGTGATCATAAACTATTTATAGTACCACTATGGCATACTCGAGCTCCTCGCCCTCGTCATATCTCAATTCTATTGAAAGAAATTATTCAGTCTAGATTTTTATATTTTTTTGGCTCATCCAAATGCTTCTTTGAATCATTAAAGGTAATGATAAGATAGTATGAAGTTTTATTTTTGGACAACGTTTTTTTATATCATCATACGACGACCATATCATGATATTTTTATAGTGATAATCCTAATATAACATTGATATCATCATGTTGTTTATCTTACCATAGTGGTAAGATTATGATATGACAGTGATCAGATGATATCAATCACGTGTTTTTAAGGAATACATTTTCTTTTGGTCAAAACATAACAAATGGGTATCCTTATATAGATAATAATTAATGATTTATTTCTACACCATTTTTTACAATTCGAGTTAAAATGAAAGAGATATGCCATCATACTGTTGTCCTGTCATGATGATACGAAAAGTGATAATACTACAACCAACATGTGTTTTGAAGAGTTTATTTTTGTTTTGCACAAACCATAATAAAATGGATATTACTGCCTAAATCATAATTAATGTTTCTTCTCTATACAACTTTATTGATTCCAAATTTAAAGGAATGAGATATGACATGATTAAAAAGAGAGAGACTATAAAAAATAGTTTTGACAGCTCAAAACTAAAAAATATCTCTTATCTCGCCCTTGTCTCTTTTGTAGAATAAGTATTTAACTATCTACTCTCTAATAATATATAAATATAACATAACACTACAATACAATACAACTAAAAAACGACCACCTTTTATTAGTTGGAGTCCATGGACGGCATAACATCTCCAAATAATAATAATATAATTAAAAATAATAACCTTTTATTAGTTGGAGTCCTGCTCCTTTTCTAATTAATGAGTGGTGTTTTAATTCTTAAGCCCAGTAAAGGACTAAAGAGCCCTCCCTCAAATTTCTCACGAAGAACCTCCATATATTATTTGGAGGAGGATTCGAATGACAGGTTCTCGGCATGAAATGAACCCTTCTATAGGAGAGGTCGTGGGAAGGAAACAAGGAATCGTTCAAACGACATGGATCTTGCCGTTACATGTTTTTCTCCTTAATATATTTGAAAATTGCGAGAAGAAAATATGCCAAGTATTCTACCAAAAAAAAAAAAAAGAGAGAGAAAATATGCCAAGTAAAGAAGAAGAAAAAAGTTGTATATACTATATAGAAACTCCCGATATATTGGCATTTTTTGGATATAAAAAACCAATGGCGCTGCTGCTGAGAGTGCCGGCCGCCGTGTCTTTCTCTTGCAAAGCCTCTGCCGCCAAAACCACCAAATCGGCCCCCAATTTCCCGGTGGCCACCGCCTCCGCTTCCATGAACGCGGCTAACAGCAATCGGAAGCTCCCAGTCCTGCTCTTCGACATCATGGACACTGTCGTTCGCGATCCTTTCTACGGGGACATCCCTTCCTTCTTCGGGTAACCTTCTCCTCCTCCTCCTCCTCTCCCGGCTTTGATTCCCAACTCCAATATGTTCTTGACTCCCAATGGATTGTTTAATTTCTCCGAATGGACTAATTTCTTACTCGAATCTTGAAAATGGGTAGACGGTACTGATGAGTGGATGGGTGGGTAATCAGTGCCAATAGTGGAATTGACTGAGCATACAAAAAAGTTTCTCTCGCTAGAATAGCGTCTTTTTTTGCAGAAGACGATCAAAACCTAAAGTTTGTTTTCCCCAGAATGTCTATGCAGGAACTGCTAGAATGCAAGCACCCAACTGCATGGATGGAGTTCGAAAAGGGGATGATTGATGAGGTAGGTTTAACAAGGCCAGGCTTTGGTATCGAGTTCCAAATATTGGTTTTGCACATAATTGCTGCCAGCAAGAGAGCATCTTTCTGGGTTTCTGAAATGGTAATCGAAGTTTTGTTAATTCATTTCAGATGGAGCTTTACTCCAAGTTCTTCAAAGATGGAAGGCCCTTTGATATGGAAGGTAGGTTAACTATGCATTGTGGATATGTTATATGGAACATAATTGTGTCTTCCTTGTAAAATTGTAGTCTTGAATCAGTTTTCACCCATAAGTTATTGTTTGATTCTCGTGGGAACCGAATTCTTTTGTAACTGAGATCAGCTTTGCTGAACACATTCACTTAGTCATTTAAGTTGTTCGACTTGAGCTCCTTTCTGAAGGGATCTGTGCGTTGTCTCTAGGGCGTTTATGAGTTTGAGTTCCTGAATTTGCAGGCTTAAAAAGCTGTATGAAGAAAGGATATCAGTACCTAGACGGTATGAAAGAGTTGCTTGATACTCTAAAGCGGAGAAACTACGAGATGCATGCTCTCACAAATTATCCTGTATGGTAAAAACAATTTTTGCCGCCTAGCTACCATATTTCACTTCTTTGTTGGATTTATCATCTGGCTAATGTTTCAAGTTCGTGAACCCGACTTGTTAGGTACGAGATGATTGAGGAGAAGTTAGATATCTCAGCATACCTGTCGTGGACCTTCTGTTCCTGCACCATTGGTATAATATCAGTTTGCTGTTTCTATTGAATTGCTAATAACATAATGTAAAGCAGAATAGTGACTACTGAAATCGTCGTACTACTTGTTAAAGGAATAGAATTCAGCTTACAGAAACCAATGTTTTTACTTCTGTAAAGCTGGGACAGAAGAAGAAGATAAAGCTTGGTCTGATTTTGTTGTTGTTTTTCAGGGAAGAGGAAACCTGATCCCGATCTCTACTTAGAAGTTGTGAGACGGCTTCAAGTTGATCCGGGTCACTGTATTTTTATCGATGACCGGTAATTAAGTTATAATGTGCCCCCTTCCCCCCATAATGGTTCCCTTTCTCTCATAATGTCGACTCAAGGAACCTGAAACAATTGGTGCTACCTGAAGCTACTGTGCACCGGACAGATACGGCTTTTCTTAAAATTGAGCTTGTTCTGAATTGTATTGGACAATGTTTACCTGCAGCATCCGGAATGTAGATGCAGCAGTTGAAGTCGGCATGAAAGGTGTACACTTCAAGAATGCAGATTTGCTGCAGAAAGACCTTGCTCGACTCGGTGTTGAATTTGATGTCCCAAAAGGATGATCGTTGGTTGATTCTTGTGTAATGGAAGAAACACATTAAAAACGAGACCACATTCTTGATTATTTTCTTCTGTTTTTCAAGCTTTAGTTCTCATTTCGTGCCATTTTGCCAAACTTGCCTCTATTCAATGTTCTGGCAGCCAATTTATAGGGTTTTAGAGGGATGTTCTCCCAAGAACTCGTTCTGGTGGCTGGCTAGTTACTTTGTTCCGTAGGTACGCAAACCCGAGAGGTTCTTTGACTGTGTGAGCTTTGATTTTGGCATATATATGATGTTTCGAATTCTTCAAAGAGAAGTCGGTCGATTTAGATTTTTCAATCCTTCGTAAATATAATATATGATGTTTCGAATTCTTCTAAGTGACAAATATAAAATATATTACCGCTGAATTTTCGGATACAAAGTTTTTTTTTTTTTTTTTAGTAGCGGATACAAAGTTTTTCAATCCTTAGTAAATATAAGTTTTTTTAACATGAATTAACATAAATAACTATTAATACTCAATACCCTAAAAAAAACCTATTAATAGTTAATACTCAATTGGACTATAGTCTGACCACAAAGTTGGTTAGAAAAAGGATAATGTTGGCTAGAGGGCAGCCTCCTCGAATTCCTCCCTTCCTCCCCCAAAGTTTCAACCAAATTTTGCGCTCTGTCTCTCTGCGATCTTGCGTGAGATTCGGATTTGCGGTTTACTCTACCGTCTAAAGCTATGAGCGTCACAGAGTTCGCCATGGTAATAAAATTTGCGCCGTCCGCTCTTCTTCCCTATGCCGCACTCTCCCCTTTACTGCTTTACATTCGAATTTCGCCGAAATTGAATTCGCAGGTCGAAGAACTGGCGTTTCTAGTAAGGGACAACCTTCGTTCCAAACATCTGGTGCTCGCCATGGAAGATACCTTCGTTAATTTCCTCCAGACCGAAACCAGGTCCGTACGTACTACTTACTCTCTATGGAATTGTGGGTTTTGGGGAGTGCCTACGGATCGATCAGTGTCCTCATTTCTTTGCCTTCATATATTCTGGTTCCCAGCTCTGATGGCGTTCTGGAGTTGGAGCCGATGGATCCATACAATCGGCTACTCTTGCATCGGCTCGCAGATATATTTGGGTACTGTTACTTCTTCTTCTTCCCCTACATATGGTTTCATGCTGATCAATGATCCAGAGAAGCTGGATAGGTTAAACAGTTGGTTACCTTTCTTTTGTTACTCCGCGATCTATTGCAATAGTTTGTGTTAGCAACTGGGTTTTATGGTTTTTCTTTTACTTGTTGCTTGCTAGATTTGCGCATGTATCTATTGGGGAAGGAGAGAGTCGGCACTTGATTTTGGAGAGGTGCCCGGAGACTTCAATGTAAGTAGAAAGTAGAAACCCATCCTGTTATTTTTCGGGGAGATTCATTTCTACTGATGTCCATTGGCTGAATTTTCTATGCCTGGTGTTATAATTAACCCAGTTCTTGGTCTTGTTTGAAGTTCCTTCGTAATCAAGAAGATGATATCGAGAACAGATTAGTGATTTGTCTTTGGGTGATTGATCTAAACCGTGATAGTAAATTGCATGGTTGTGGTTGGAAACTCTTGGCTGGGTGTGACTTGGCCTAAGCATACATCTCTCTTTCGTTGTTACTGAATCGATAGAAAGAAAGTTGAAATACTTAAAAGCAAGCATCAACTTGCATTTATACTGGTGTACTGATATCATTTTTAAATCTCTGGTTTTCCTATGGAGGGTACAAGTGTTTAGTATAAACATATAGGTCAAATTCATTACCCAGAAAAGTTCTGCGTTTCCTTAAAGTCTTAAAGACTTCTCTTTGGGTGCCCCCGTCTTTTTGTATCGCAGACCTGCCATTCTAGTTAGTGACATCTTGTTCCAGTGTGATGAGCCTCAGTCTATCTCAGTTCCTGACCAGGTTTTGAGAAGAGATGATGCGACCCCAGGTAAAATAGTTTCCCTCTTTATTTTCACAGAGTTGGATACTTCATTGTTTCGGGGGAAAAAAGGTTGGATACTTCAGTTGTTGCTCAGTCCATTCAATGAGCTACGCTTTTACCAAGTTTATGCATTTATTTTGAACCTTCAATCCAGATCTGATGTTAGAGTTCTTTTGGTTTAGTGGTACAGGCAAAAACACCATCCCTCAGTACAATCAAGGAGAGAGAAGCTGCATATCTGGCTGCTCGGCTACGTATTTTTTCAGTAGATGGAGAGGAGGTGAGAGAACCTGTTGAGCAGAGGCCTAGGAATATCCCTGCAGTAGCCCGCCGAATGATAGCCCATGCATTGGGACAAAAGAGAGCACCTGGCAGAGACATAGATTGGAATGAGGAAAATAAGGAAGTAGAAGAAGGCAAATCTACTTCCGTGGAAGATTCTCAGGAAAGCAGTTCCTCGGTCGCTAAAGGATTGTCTCGGAAGAGTAGCAGCCAGAATGAAATGAGCAGGAACAGAACGAAGGAGTTTTCAAAGGAGGAACAGTCACGTGCTGCAAGGAGGATGTTTGCAAATGCATTGGGTCTTCAACCAACGAAGGCTAGTCTTCCTGCCACAAGATAACAAGGTGAAGAGAAACAAGCCGGACATGGAGAGGGAAATCAGGGTCTTTGTAACTGATGAATTTTTCGGTTGTGTGCATCTGGTAAGTCACTAGTCAGGGACGTGGCAGATTAAGAAGGAACTCCACTGCTTTTATTTCACCATTCACCAGCACTTGCAGGGCAGAACAGTTTCTATGTTGCCAGCTACTTGAGTTGAAGAAGCTGCAGTCAGCTTGCGAGAGTTTTGTTTTTCGAGTTCATGCCTGTTGGGAGCTTGGAGTTGCAATTTATGGTCGTTGTGCGGGTTTTGAAGGTCTCCCGGTACAGGATTGCTGCCCAGATGTTTCAATGGAAATGGCTGAAAAGTCAGTGATAGCTTTGAAGCCCTAAAGTATGATTTGGCGATCTATTGGCACAGATTATGTACCCATTGAAAGATTGGGACTCCACATTATTCACATACACTTGTGTTCTACATTCACGCTTTCTCGATCAGAGAACAGGGTAGATTTTCACTCGGTCATGCTGCAGACGGTGTTGCTGCAGCAAAGAAAATGTAGAATGTGATACTTACTGTATTGCCAGGAAACTTCTGGTGACTGATTTACTTATGAACTTGGTTGTTTTGATGGTTCGGGTACAAAACATTACTTCCTAATGCAGTGGTTGCTGCTATATGATGACATATAACACGTCCATTCGAATGATTACAATTTCAGCTATAATAACCTTTTATGGGTTGCCTAAATGGGGGAGAAGGAAGAGACAGGAGGCTGCACTAGCGTTGATCTCAAATTGATGCATCCGTTTAGTGACTAGCTGGCAGTTCTTCGCAAATTAGTAAAATAGTTTTGATATCAATTCTTCTTCGCAAATTACTAAAATAGTTTTGATATCAATTCGTCTATGGGTGGGTAATTCATGATTTGATATCAATCCGCCCATAAATAACCCAAACTGTAATTGGTGGATTATTGATGTGGATGGATTGTGGATTAATAAATCTCTTACCCGCACTTATTCAGAAGAGTGGTGGGTAGATTGTGGGTCATCTGAATGATCCGCAACATATTTTCATTTAACAAAATATTTCTTATACTATCGAATAATCATCATATTTCTTAACCGCACTACACAATAACTATCTTAGAAGGACAAAGAATATTTTTGAACTATTCTTATTGGTTATTATGTCGTGTAATATTCATTAGATGTTGGAATGCAAATTACAAATTATTAATTGTATCAAAGTCCCAAAATGTATCGGTTTAATTGGCTGGAGCACCACCTCAGCATTCCCACGTAGTACTCCCGGACCATTGAAGAATTCCTCACATTCCACGGTATTTTCTAATTTTGCGCAATAACCATTCTCCGTTGAAATGCGGAAAAAAAAAAAAAAAACTGGAACTGGAACTGGAGAAGTAGGGACATGAAACAGCACAAACTGATAGAAAGACTGTCAAAATTGATATGTGCACGGCCGTCGTCAACAAATATACAAAAAGAAGAATAAACCAACCAACGGTTCTGCAAAATGTACAGATTACCAAACTCCACAGTCATCCCACCAGTTAGTCCCCAGACGCTTCACACCCTTCATCAACCCTTGAGCTTTGGCACAGAGAACATATAGCTCTTTGCCTCCCCACAGCCTGAAGTAGTTGCTTAGGCGACCATCATCAAGACCAAAAGCTTTCGAGCTGGATCACAACAAGCAAGGGTCGATTTCCCTTGGAGATCTGAAACGATGATGCCTGTACACTCTCTGGAGGAGAATCAATATGAACATTAGCTCCTATCTTTAACATGCCCATGTGGTGTTTTTACACGCTCACTAGCTAGGTCTGGTTCTCTAGAGAGGGAGTCGGCGATTTGGATGCTAAACTATGGAGTAGAGATTCTGTGGCCAGAAACTTCTCTCTCAACATGACATTGTACTCATGAAGCTGCTCAAAGTTCTTCCAAATCTCTGTCATCTCTACTTCAGATCCAACCTTGAGTTCTGAGAAAACCACGAAAGCTCAACAGTTTACAGCAGTCACAAAAGATATAACCATCTACCTCGTGCCATTAAAGCTTTGGACTTACCTAAAGGAGGAGGCGGGGGAATGAAATCATTCACATCTCTAGTGGAATGCAGTTGAGGTTGCTTGGAGTCTCCTTTTGACACTCCGGCTGCTGCTTGTTTCTCGCCAGTTTTGGAGCGAGGGTTCTGATCCTTCTGAAAGTCGAGAAGAAGTATAGTCACAAAAGTTAACGAGTGAAGCATCTATGTAGACTGAAACTAAGAATATAACAAAAATTATTGAGCTCCTAGGTGCATAAGTTCTCATTGAGACTAATGCTAAACCAAAAAGAGTTCTATAGGAGAGGCAATAGTAGAACTGGAAGTGCGCAAGAAAAACCTATTAAAAGAAGTGAATGATTGTGAAATTGATTATGATGATCCTACAATTGAGGTCAACTGTAGGCACCAACTGGTGCCAACCAATTGAAGACTCATTTCAGTTTGATCCATGTGAGATATCCTAATCTACGAAAACTGTGAATACCCAGCGTATGGTGGCAGATAATGCATGCACATGGTCTGTGGTACAAGCAACGATGACAAGAAAGGTACATACATGGCTTTTCTTTGCATTATCCTTTACTCTCTCTTTAGAGGTTGATGACCCATGTCCAGCTAGGGATGTCACTCCCTGTGTAGGGTTAAGCTCAAGAATTGTATTCTGCGTATAAAAGAACAGTCAAAGTTATTCATCAAAAAACAAAAGCAATGACAGTTAGAATATGCTAGCAGGAGGTTTAAACAATTTTTCTTGGAGAGAAATGGATCCACAGAGAATTAGAGAAGGATTGACCTTTTCACTGGGTAAAGCAGCATTCCTGTTGAAGTTGATGGAATCCAATCTCTTTGACCTCTTCTTCGATGATCCCCCTCCATGCAAGGACCCATTCCGATTCACTGATGGAAGCATGAAACTGCAACTCGATTCGCCATTATTATTGTTTCGCAAGTCATCATCCAGCGCGCTGCATCCCCATGTGTAGATCACGTATTTCCTCAACTAGCAGCACGAGAAGCAGCAGATAGGTAGGAATTTAGAAAATGTAAGAGCACTTAATGGATCAAACACTTCGACTGGGATGTAACATACTTTCTCCCAGCGTGCCTGAGCTTTTAGTCTTTTCCTGATGTTCCGCATAGTTCTGTCTTCATTCCGCAATTTCTTAATTCTGTACTCGCACTGTGAAATAAGAAATGACAGGAAGAACGATTTAAATAACTTAGGATGATAATCTTCTTCTTTGCTCTTTGTTGAGTAGTAGAAAATGCAACTTTTATCGACTTCCTTTATACCTATATATGTATAAGGCCTATTAATCAATTCCTAGAGGCTTTGGTTCGATCAGCATTCCTCGAGATGAAATGTTTAAAACATTATTGTGTTATCTATTTTTTGTTTCATGTGAACCTGAGTGAATATCATTAAGCAAATTCTTGTTCCCTAAGTCGTCTTGTCTTGATTACAATGGACAAGGGGGGTTAGTGGAAATGTAACAACAAGACCAATATAAATGAAAGCTCTCGGACGAAGGAAGAACATACTTGCACCATCAGGTAGAAAAATATGCCAATGCTGATGCAATATAGACCACCTAGATCGGCAAGGAAGCTCACTGCACCATGAACAAGAAATATTCAGTTCCAGGCAGTTATAGGTTAGCACAATTACAACGAACTAAATCATACAATGCAGCAAGCTTAATGTAATGGCATTAACTTACTTACCAGGACCCATTATATTCTGATTTTCAATCTCGACGACGTAAGACGAGAGGTAGTTGATGTACAATGTGGTGTTGATTAAGCCATCAACAGAAGTTTGAAGGGAGTTCTGGAGCTGAGTCGGGTTGGTGTAAAAAGAACCAGGAAGGAAGTCATGAAATAGAGGTTGGATGAGCTTCAGATCACGTAGATTATGGTAAATCCGAGGAAACAGATTGAATCTGATTATATTTCTATCAGTCCCTCTGAATGTAACGGGTTGACTATTCAAAGTGCTTCCATTCTTCACAGTGCCACCGACTGCACTCACATGCTTCTTATCACCATGGTAATTTGCAGTGAGGTTGAACTGGAAAGCTACAGCAGCTGCAGGGCTACCAGGAATATCAACAAATTGCCACGAGATGAACAGTGAATCTGTGATGATCTGGCAGTTAGTACACTTGAAAGACAGAGTGGGGCCCATAGTTGTGTTCATGCAAGTGTAGTTCACAAAGTTCCGAAGAGGGACGACTCTCTGGTCCACGAATCCAGACCTCCCAGTGACCAAGTTTCCAAGGCCACGTAAGTTTGAACAACTCATGCTCGATACAGTGGTTATGTTGAACTCCATGTCGTTGAGGAAAGCAGCCAGATCAGGTGCATTCATTGCTCTTATGTTATGGACTTCGATCGTTCTCTTTGATATTATTTGGTACAGCAACCTGAGGGAAAACTGGAAAGCTAAGTCACTAACTCACTATGCCAATTCACTAACTTTGCTAAATGTCTCTCAAACTGGAACGAGAATATGTAAACTTACGCAGCAAACAGCCCAATGAACAGAATCCAACTGGCTATAGAGAAAGTTCCCCCTAGTTCAGTTTTCCTCTTCATTACCGGCCTTTGATCATCCTGCGAACAACCAAGCCGAAAAACAGAACACGAAATTCGTGCATCAATTGAAGCTGTTTGATGGAACTAGCATCACATTTCAATTCCCTACTCTCAAAGAAACACCCAATTGACAACAATGCTTGCTTTCTCACATCTAAAAGCTGAAGAGCTAAACACAAAAAACTCCATAGTTAAATTAAGCATAGGGAATTTGCCACAAAAGGAGGCCGATATAGAAAGGTAGAACTTACCAACCAATGTCTGGTGGCAAAGCAAATATCCAAGCGACTAATCCACCACCTAATCTTGAACCAGACATTCCTGCCATCTCCTAGCTTGAAAACCCTCAAACAGAAGCAAAACAGGAGCCAAGAAAGCACCATAACAGCAGTAGCCTCCAAGAAGACAGCTTGGGACTGAGTGAACCTGCGAATTGAATCGAAATCGAAGATGGTGGCTGGGAAAGAGAGGGTATTGTAATCGACGCCGGAAACCGTGTGAATGTCTGAGCTGGCATTGAACAAGGAGCAGCTCCGCCGGGTTGCCGGGTCGAGGATGTAACCCGGTGGGCAAGCGCAGAGGGTTTGGTTGTAGTTGATGGAATTCGCTGGACATTGTGTCATTTGAAGGAGCACGAAAAACAGAGAGATTAGTAAAGAAGAAGAAAAAAGAGCTCTTTTCTGAACCGGGGTAAGAAACGAAACTTTGACTGGAAGAAGAATTGTTGTTGAACTGATTTTCCCCTCTTTTGTTCACCGAAATAAACGAGACCGTCGACCCTTTGTCTGAAATCTGAACGAAAGAGTGGCCAAATCTATGATATGCCCAGGAAGTAAAGATGGGATCTTTGGAAAGGAAGGACAGAAAGAGAGGTTTGAAAGCAAGGAATTCGTTGGGAAGGAGGAAAGAGAGGAAGAAAGAAGAGAGCTTTCTGGGGTTTCCTTGCAGAGGAAGGCGGCTTCTGATTCTGTGTGTTCTTCTTTTCTCCAAAGGTCTAACTTTTCTGCCTTGTCTAGGTCTCTCCAGTTTTTTCCTGGGAGGGAAAGGAAAAAGAAGGAATATTCTGGGAAATTTTTGTCAAAAAATTAGATTAGCCAACTCAACTTAACATTAACAACAATGCAAATGGCGACAGGTTCTTCTATTATTCCTTTTTGGTTTTTTCCTTTCTTCCCAAATGAATGGTCCTTACTTTTCGTGTCTTAATTACACTGGTCTGGTTTTCCCGTTGCCAGTTGCCAATTGCAAGTTGCAGCGCCGCGCCTTCTTTCCTCTCTTGTGAAAAAAAAAAAGAAAGAGAGTTGTGTTTTTTTTTATGTAAAGAGAGTGATCATTAATAGTGTCTATGTTGTCTAGATTTTAAATAGAAGGGCTATTACCACTACAACACCCGAACTATCCGAAAAATGCCACTTGTGTCCTATTGTTTTCAATATTGTCCTGAACTATTATATTTTGTGTCATTTGTATCCTACCAATTGTGTTGACCGTTAAAGATAACAGTTGACCAAACGGCGGTCAACTTAACATTGACTTTTGCTTACGTGACAATGCCAAGTCATTGACACCTCACATTTTTAATTCAAAATTAAATAAAATTGTGAAATAAAAAATTGAAAAAACTTTAAATTCAAGAATATTATTTTAACCTAAGGCTTAATACACTTGTATAGCCACAAAAGTACACTTTGTGACAATAATAGCCAAATTTTGAAAAATACATAGATATAGCCATTCCGTCAATAACTTTAACGGAACAGTAACAAACGCTGACTGTATTAGCTTTTTTTGCTGACGTGGTGGGTTTCATAAAAAACCATGACAGGTGGAAATATTTTCTTCTTATTCTAATAATTAAACTATTAATTACATGAAAAACAAAACTAAAAACTAAAAGGGGAAAGAAAAATCGCCCGCCCCTCTTTCTTCCAAGATCTGCTTCTGTGCTCTTATGGCGGTCGAATCGTGCCCCGTCGCAGCAGCCAACGACCACTACCATTTCAGATCTCGATCGCTTGTCTCTCCCGAAAACGCCTGAACTTCTGGGTTTCAATTTGGCTTGTGGTGAAGCTTGCGGGTTGTGGATTCAGTACATCCACACGCCAACATCGTTTCTTTGTTCGTTGATATTCCAGTTTCGCCGGTTCATGGTGACGGCTCCTCCTTCCCTGAAGAATCCCAGAGCCCCTAACCAATCAAGTCTCTCTCTTCCCTTTCTTTTGAATCCCATCTCCCCATCTCTCCTAATACAGATCTGTGCAACCCATTCTTTTTGACCTTTCACTTTCATCAATTCATCTTGTTAATTCCCTTTTCATCCTCTTCTCAATCTTCTTCTCTGCCAACACAAATACCCAAGACCAGTTTTCTTTTTTGTTTACAGATCTAATTGATTTTGAGCAGGAAAGCAAGCAACTTGTCTTTACCCTGACCCAACCCGACCCCGATCCATAATCCGTAATCATGGGGTTCGAGAGGCAGAGCAGAGCGTCGGGTCCTGCTTTGCCAAATGGATTCAGTTCGTCGTGCACAAAGGAAATTCATCTCCCTCGAATCGAATCATCTTTGGAAGGAGTTGCCATGCCAGATTCGAAGGTCGCGCTCAAAATTTTCCAGATCTAATTCCTCCAACGATTTCCCACTACCGTCGAGCAGGGCATCTTGATGGCACTTTCCAGATCTCGGATTAGCTCGCCAAATCGAACATCTCATCGCGGTTTCGTCTTCAGTTTTCTTGATCGAAGGAATAGAGAGAGAAAGAGAAAATAAAACTAAAAGTATTTCTCTCTTAAAAAATATTTAATTTTGATTTTAGTAAAAATCATTATTTTTTGCTTAAAAACTTTACTTTTAATATTGTACGGTGTCTAGGTGGCATGAAGTGTCTAGTTGGCGATTACATGTACACTAAGGTGACATCCACGTCAGCATAATGTCTACGTTACTAACGGAATTGCTGACAGTGTTAAAAAATTTAACGAAAATGGCTATATGTGTCCAACTAGTTTCAAAAGTGTGGCTATATTTTTGTATTTTTCAAAATTTGGCTATTATTGGCACAAAGTAGATAATTATGGCTATACATGTGTATTAAGCCTTAACCTAAAAATTAATCTTAGTTTTTAACCTAATCTCTTCTCTTCTCTCCGCCTCCGCCGGGACATGTAGCTGGATAAAGGAGCTGTGAATCCGTCACCAGATCCATCGCCCTTCCATCACGAGTCAGCCTCCTTTCCTCCTCACTTCCGTCGTCGCGGCAGCAGCAACCGACCGAGCTTTGTTCCAAACCATTCACCCCATTCCAATCTCCAGCAAGAGCGATGAAAACCTCCCGACACAGCGGCTCCACCAATGACCACCTACGCAAGATCCACCGAGCGAATCGCGGCGGAGGAATTCGAATCGGCGGTAAACGATTGCTACTTCTTGGAACAGATCTGGAAGCTTCTCGCCGAAATCGAAGATCTCCACGTGCTAATGGACCCGGACGATTTCCTGAAACTGAAGAACCAGCTCTCGATTCGATCGGCGGCGGAGACGGAGCCGTTCTGCTTCCGTTCGAGGTCGCTGGTGGAGATCACGAGGTCGTGCAAGGAGCTGAAGCACAAGGTGCCGGAGATTTTGGGCGTGGAGGAACCCAGAAATCAACAAAATAGATCGACTAACCCAGAACACATCGACGAACAAAAACGAGGAACCCAGAGAACACTGAACCAGAAAGACGAACCCAGAACACTGAACAAGAACCACGAACAAGAACCACGAACCCAGAACGATATTAGCGAATTAGGTTTGGGAAGTGGCGGCACGGAATAGAAGAAGCAACCTCTCCCGTCGAACTTCTTCGCTTTGATTCCGTCTCCGACTTCTCTTCGTATCCGAAGTACAATTCTTATGGATGTCGACAAAGGAAGAGCAGGAGAAGGAGGAGATTTTGGGGCGGTGGATTCCAGATTTGCGATGTAGCAATGGATTGAGGGGGTGAATGGTGGAGATGAAACAGGAAGGGTGAATCAGGGAGAAAGGATTGAAGGGGTGAATGGTGGGAGATGAAACGTTTTTGTTTTTATTTTCATTGTTTTTTATTTTAAATTTTTTATTAAATAAATTAAAATTCCACATCATGTGCCACATCAATGCTGACTGGACTTTCTGTTAAAAACTAACGGTCAAAACGAGTCAACTTTAACAGAAAAATAGTTCAGGACATGAATGGAATATTAGAAACAATAGGACACAAGTGGCATTTTTCGGATAGTTCGGGTGTTGTAGTGGTATTAGCCCTAAATAGAACGCAAAAAGGTGGTCCCAAATCCCAATCATGCAATTAATTAAATAGTTATTTCTGTGATATTGCAATGACACTTGTTTTGTATCGTGTTATTTCAAAATAACTCGTTTTCTTAGTCTATTTTTGTCAAAGACCACATGTGCATGGTTCTACCAAACGAGATATTTTAATTCAATCATCATGGAAATAACACTAAAATAGCGCAAGAACAATTAATAAATTATTTGACTCTACAAATACAATATTGACAATTAATTCATCCAAACAACCCCTAAATTTTTGGAATACGTGCACATTTTGTAGAGTACTTCTACTATGCTATATAACATTGGTGCTTTAATGTACAACTTGAAGTTGTACCATAACATTAAATGTATAAGTTTAGGTTGTACCATAAAGGAATTTGTATCATTATGTTATGGTACAACTTTACAACTTGAAGTTGTACCATCACATAAGGTACAAGTTTAAGTTGTACCATAAAAAAATTTGTACAAAAAGTATAAGTACAATCTGAAGTTGTCCCATAACGTTAAATGTACAATTTCAAGTTGTACCATAAAGAAAAAAACCTATAGCACCAATACTATATAGCATTGTAAAATTCCTCCATTTTGTAACATCATATTCGATAAAGTCAACTTTTGTGAACCTTTTGGAAACTTAAAACCATTAATAGATGTTTTTGCACTTAACACTACCTTAGGTACCACTCTTGGGCGAACCAAAGGTTTGAACCAATTATTTAGGGTACGATTTTACAACATTGTCGCCTAATTGGTAATAGCGGGTGGTTAGGGGCAATCAAACCAATCATCGCGGCTATCCGATCGTGTTGGGAGAAGGTTATAATGGATCTTATATCTCTCTAAGACTAACACGTCCCTGCTTGAAGTTTGCACAAATCAAATGTTAATATTGGGGGTCGTGAAGATTTGAACACACGACCACTTGGTCAAACCAGCTCTGATACCATGTCATAAACCAGTTGGTCCCAATAACTCGAGTTATTGAAAGAAGGTTATGATGGATCTTATATCACTCTCTAGCAGACCGCCCCCGGCCCAGTCAACGCGAGGAATCCCCGTTTTGATTGGGTATTGGGCGGGTATGGGTAAAACCTGCAAAAAGTTTGATGGATATGGGGCGGGTATGATTTTAGCCTCCCACGCCTCATACACATACTCGTACCCGCCCCACCAAGATAATTTCTTCACATATAAAAAAATACTGGATCAAATTGTAACCTATCAAAGTGTTTTTTCTTTGTTTTCTCGTAAGAAGGTTAAATTTTAGCATTGCTTTTTACAATAACATGTCCGAATAGATTGCCTTGTCCCGTCAAGTTATGTACGAGTGCTACCCGACATGACATGCGCTTAATGCAAGACGAATATGGTTATTGAGATACCCAATCCACCATATCATATTGCCATTACTAGTAATTAGGGATGTCAATTTCAACTTAACCTTGCCTACCCGCATTGGTCCAACTTGTTTTGAGACGAGTATTACCCCCACCCTGGGGCCATACGAGCATGGATATTCACTTTGACCTGACCAGCCATGAACCACCCCATTCTTGACCCGTTTTATCTTAGTAATGTAATTTTAAGCAAATCACTAAAACTTAACTTTTATTATAGTATATTTTAGGCCTAATCAAATTATAGTAAGTGAAAACCTATGTTTCTCGAATTTAACTTAACTTATCAGTTTATTTCTCAAAATTGTAATGAAAAAATTAGCATCTTAAATATTATTCCTTTAAAATGCATATATGCATGGATCAACCTACTTCAACTCACGACCGTATCAGCATATATGAATACTGAGGTGCTGGTACCAACTTGTCGATTGACATTCCCACTAGTAATAGATTTCCAACTTCTTAGCAGCATGATTGTTATGTCAGTGGCATGCTGGTCGATGCAGCCGTCACTAGTCGGTTAGAATTCAAAAATTAGATTTTGATATTATTTGTTGAATTCAATTATGAATCTTACAATGTTTATGCTATTTGTTTGATTCAAGTACAAAATTTTGGATGTTGACTTTAAATCTTGTATTTAAATATGAGGATTTTTTAGTTTATTTAAAACGTTGTATTTTATTTAAATATAGATTTAAGAAAAAAGTGTTTTCAAATACATTATATATATAGACCTAAACTCATTAAACGTTGATGATCCCCACTTGCCAAAATATTTTACTAAAACCAACATAAACTATTACAAACTAATTGTACTACTGATCGGATCATACCACTTACCTAACCGACGTAACATGATTTCACAGTTTGCCTCTTGTAGAGTAGAACAAACCTTTCCGAGCAGGTCCTAACCCCTCAATTCCATGACAAGTTTTTTTCCCCTTTCTTTTGGGGAGAAGACAAGTACACAAGACAGTTCTGTTTTGCATGATTAGAATATAGAATCCCCATTTAACCGAAAGTCAAAATTCGAGGATGAGTCTCTTCTTCACCCCTCGTCCCTCCTACATTAATATTACCTGTCCAAACGAGTTCCTTCAAAACAGTCGCCACACCTGGTCTTTGTTCTTTCTCTGTTTTGCCATCTTGTCCATTTCAAACTACCGCCGGAGTATAAGGCCGATTGGACAGTGATCGCTACCCATGACATCAGGGACAATGTACGAGTCATGAACCTTGTCGGCCAAGGATTCCGAGACCAGGAAGTAGTCGAGCCGCCAGCCTGCAATGAAACATACACATAGTAGATGAAATATGGATTTAAAATTACTCCAAAGGATTCTCGAGTTAAGACATATGGTTGAGGACTTGAGGTGAAAAGAAACACACCTTTGTTTGTCTTCCTGCCACCGTGCCTATATCCCCAGTAAGTGTACCCAACAGCATTGGGGTGTTGGTTTCTGAAGGTATCCACAAATCCTTTGTCCAAGAAGTTTCTCCCAAATGACTGCCTTTCTTCATCGGTGAATCCGGCACTCCTTCTGTTTCCCTGGTGGTTTTTTAATTTTAATGTTGTCGGGTTAGGAAAAGATACGCTGAACAGCAAGATGAAGGCAACTGATGAGAAGAGATAACTTACAGCTGGATTGAAGATGTCAATTTCCTGATGAGCACAATTCAAATCACCCGTTAAAATCACTGGTTTAGTCTTCTCCAACTCCTGCAATGTGCATGAAAGAACAAACCGATGATTCCCCGTTGCTAGCTCTCTGAGAATTTAGCCAAGGACAGCACTCACTCACTTTCATGTAGTCGCTAAGCGAAGGGTCCCACTGTGTAATTCTGTATGACTGCACCAGAGAAATTATGCCTCAGCCAGAGATGTAAGAATATGTAGTAGAATCTGAAAAAAGAAAGAAATTCACCGGACAAATGAAATTACCAGTCTTTTCAACCCGTCTCCAGAGTTGGGAACATAAGCACATATTAAATAAAACGAATCAAACTCGGCGGTTACGATTCGTCCTTCGCTATCATGATCTGGTATACCTAGACCGTAGGTAACTGAAAGTGGTTTTATCTGTAACATAAGCAAACAAAAACTTTGTGAAGAAGCCTTCCAAAAAAAAAACTTATTGAAGAAGATGCTAAGACACTGGAATAACTGCTTGGAAAGGGCAGAGAAACCACACTGGTAACTTTTAACCATTCATTGACGCCTCAAGGAATTAATTACACCATAAAGCATTTCAGTATTGCTCATGTTCTTTAAGGTTAGATATGCAGCCAAACCAAAAGATAAGGCGAGGCGTTGGGTTAACCAGCATTATATAAAAGGGTATTCACCTGAAGTTATTTGTAACTCGTCACTCCTAATGTGGATTCCAATGAATTAGAGTAATGAACAAGTTATGACTTACGACCATTGATCTCATCTAGTTGTCTTCAACCAATATATAGAACTCAGGGGCAATTGAGAACCATCATGTTATATAATATTCCTCCATAAAAAATAGCACCAGGTAGGAGCTCAAAAAATGCAATTAAACTCAATTTTGAAGAGGGCAAGGCATACCCGAGAGATAATTGCCGTGCCAGAATAACCTAGTTTTGTAAGGCTGCATGTCCAGGAGCTACTTCCATATCCTTCTAGGAGAGTCTGTTTGATAGATTCAACATCTTTGTCCTGAACCAATAATAAATTAGTAAACTAGACAAGTAGCAAAATATGCACAACCAATCATTTTTAAGCAATACGCATTCTTACCTGCAGCTTGGTCTCTTGCAAGCACAAGATATCAAAATCTTCTCTCTGGGCAAGCTCAAGGGCAGAGAATCCCTCCAACTTCAACAAGGCTCTTAATCCATTAACATTCCATGACATCAATTTTACAGAAAGTGAATCTCTATCTAGTGGTGGAGGCCTTAATTTCCTGGGATTGTATGGAATCCACACTTTCTGAGGCTTCTTATGGGCAAGAACTGTCCAAGGTTCAGCTACTGGAATTATATCTACAAAATTCAGTTATAAAGAAAAGCTGTCTAAGTTTATCATTGGCTTGCAGGTTTTCCAATTTGCAAATTGACTGCCAGCACAAGACTCACACACATGAAAACTCATTCAATATAAGAGGTTCAATAATGAAAGTGAAACATTGGAAAGCATTTATGTAGAATTAAAGATCCGTGAACTCTTACCAGTTTGGACTGACAACTTTTCCTCCGCACCGGTTGTTTGAGCAACAACTTTGGTTCTTTTATCCCCTGCTGTGAACTTTTTTACAGTTCTCCTACTTCGGTTAACTACAGAAATCTCTGACACGCTGCTAAGCATTTGTTCTTGGCTCTCATCAACAGCATCTTCTTCCTTTTGTTGTGCAGTGTCTTCTCCACAACAAGAGCTTCCACCTGCGTGTGCAATAAACCTCTAGATACACTTTACCACCTAAACAAGTAAGCCAAAGTGAAGAAAATCGTATATTAAACACTACTTTTGGTTTACCATTTTGCTGTTGTTTCATAAATCCCGACAGAGCAGATACAAGATCTTGTTTACGGCCCTTGACAGAAGCTCCAATGCTCCTAAATTGTAAACCACAAGAAGTAAATACGGAAACTATACACTGATAGAAAGAAGAAAAAAAATCATAATCCACATGCTGAGTCAGATACCTCAAGGTTGTTCTGAGTTCTTGAACAGTCATTGACTCAATTTTTGCTATATCTCCCTTGAAACTTTGAGTTTCAAATGATTGCGCTTTCTGGTCAGTTTCCTAAAACATTCAATAACATCAAATAACAAAATCCTCATGGCACATGCCTGAAAATCACAATGCAATAAAGCATCAGACACTGGCTGACCTTAGCAACGATATCATATTGAGAACCAGTGCTTGATTCCTTCAAAACTTTCGGTTTTTTGTGTTTCTTGTCCTTGGTGACTACGTGAGTAGGCTTCGTAGTATCGGAAGAGAGTCGCTTCGAACTCATTGACCTAAGTACCGTAGCTGTAAGAGACAATCCAGTTCTCAAGTTCGTTGGCTTCGCTGCAAAGCTAAACTACAACCATTGAGCCACACACACTTCTCAGCATTATCCCTTTGACACAGCAGTACCAACCAAATGGAAATAGTACAGACAAGTAAGCAGGAAGAGATAGGCAATGCACAAACTTCACAAAAAAATGAGTGGGTTGAGGCAGTATTACCTAGGCCAGACCATTACAATCGGTAGCACACGTAGCATCCAGCCTTGTGCCGAATTACTGAAAAGGGAACAAAGAGGGTGAAGTGAAAACCTCAAGCTTGATTCTAAACCGAGGTTGCAGCTAAGCTAGAGTGACACATCCATCCAAGCAAGACCACAACTTGACACCATAAACCTATCTCGTCCTTTCCCAAAACAGAGCCATCAAAATTCAAAACCTAACAATAACATTCATAAAACCCTATTTCATGAGATATAAAATCTTTTTTCCACCAACTTGCTGTGCATAACAGAAGCAAGAAGAAACCTAAGAGCAGGTCATTTGCACGAAAATACTTCACGCCCAAATTTGTGACTCATAGAGATATAATATCAAACAGCTTCCCTGCATTCTTCCGAATGGTTCGCCGCCGGCTAAATGGTTGAATAATGCTTCCGTTGATTCTCTCATTTACCCAGAAGATAAATGGGAAAGTACAATGAAGAGGGATGGATTGTACCCTACCGTGATCGCAAGAAGTTTTTCCGGCCAACGTCGCCGTGCCCGGACCCACTGTTTGAGAAGCGCTTCGCCTTAAGAAATGGCGGTGAAGGCAGTGAAAGTGGCGCGCCCGTGGCAGTTGAGAGGCCAATAAAAGGGAGTGACTATTGGGCCATGATAACCCAGTTCGGCCCACGAGTTCAGATTACTCCTTTCATTAATGAAAATGATCGCAAAACATTATCACAAACTGATACAGCAAAATGGAAGAACCCAATATTGGTCTACCAACTCCCAAGCAAGTAAATTTATGGATAATGTATGGTACCCTCTCAGCATACAAAAGAAGAAGTTAAATCTCAGTCTGTAACTCCTTCTATCCTTGCAAAGATCTTCTTCAGCGTGATAGAATAGCAAGGCTTCCCGTCTGATCAGAAACCACACCATTGTCCAGATCCATAAGGACATTGTCATAAAACTTGTCCTCCCCAGTCCCAACAACAACAAGCTCGTTCACTCTTTGTGGGTTATCATTTAGAAACCACATACATAAACCTGATGGCCGGCCTTTTCACTTCATAAGAAAAGGTAGAGAGACCTAGTGTCCAAGCAGAAACAGGGGAACTTGTGACTTGCAACATAAAGTAATAAGAGGATCAATTTTGAAACGGAATTGTATATATACGTATTGGGACATTGGTCTATTTGTATTGTGCAGGCGTTGATATATTGGTTTTAAACGAATCATATCCTTATTCCACCGAGCAAGCATGGTATTTTAGGTGTTTGGTTCACGGAAAGTGATAGAATCAGCGGGAGATCACCCACAATTGCGACGGGGATGGCGCAAAACGAGGCTCAAGAACCACAGTGAGAGGCAATTCTCTTCTTTTCTGACTTGTGAGCATATGCTACCCTGCCGGTTGCACTGTTCGATGGAGGCAAAGGCCCGCGACGACGACGGATTTCTTCGCCTCTGTCGAATCAGAATAAGTGTAGGAGGAAACAAATGTAGACCCTGGAGATGGGATCGATGAAGGACAAGTCGCCCAGAGTGATTTCGAGAGACCGCCGGAGAGGGAGATCGACCAAGTTCTCTTTTGGATTGTTTGGTCAATCCGGTTTCTTGTCCTCTCCGAATTCCCTGTTTTTCTGTTTTCATTCTGCCGAAAAACAAAACTAATATTATTTAGATTAATTTTAATTTAATAAAATAAAATAGAAGATAAATAGAATAACGGAAATGGTTCTCTGTTAACTTTGGGAAACACGGTTTGGGTCACTTCTGTTGGGCCAGATGAGTTGGGCTAAGGTATAACAAATCCAGTCACGCCATGTCATTCCATGTGGACCAATCATATTAGGCGTCACCGGTGCCGCACTTTTTATAGCGGCACCGTAGTATTGGCCTAGTTTAGGAGAGGCCAATAAAAAAAATGTAGAAGTCAAATTCATGATATTATGTGATTTTATGTCACTAATATCATTTGACATTAATCGGTTTTTTTTTACATTTTTATGTATTTTAATAACCGACATGAATTGGCACAAACCGGTTGTATCATTGGTAGAACCATTTTACTTGCTAAATCGGCGCAATGGTATTAACCGATTTGACAACCTTGTTTTGAACATTGATGTTATTTAATTGTGTGTGAATTTTCACAATTTGTTGGATCCAAGTACAGTATTTTATTTTGGTGTAATGTTATATATTATTACTAATATATTAGATGAGATTTTATATGATTTATAAATGTATGAACAGTCTAATGACTTTTACCATATATCTGAACTAAATCGGATTAAAACGATCGATCTCCTAACCCACTTGCTCAACCGGACCAACAGACTAATTCGGGTTGACAACGAAACTCATCCAGATCCAGCCAAGGGCCGGATAAAAGCTAGTACTACTAAATAGATAAATTCAAGCAATGCATCCCAAAACCTTAAATGGAGAGGAGTGCGAGTGACGCAGAATGAACTGGAATCCTAATTCGACCAGGCGAAGACCAAATAGCAGCCGCCGGCCGTGTTCCTAAAGGCTAAAGGACTAGGAAATTTCTTACAAACAAATCATGTGCCATCTGTTGATGAAAGAAAGAAAACAAGCTAATCCTTTTTCCAGTTCCAGCGACGTTAATCCATGGCGCCCCGGGATTGTGCGTCTTCTCCCTTGCTCCTCCTCCTCGGCAGGGGAACTACATGGAGTCCGAAACCCTTCCAGCATCAGCAAACTCGGAGGCTGTCGAAATCGAGCAGCCCATTAGTACGATATTGTCCGCTTTGGGCCAAGCTCGTACTGTTTACTCTTGGGTGTCCTCTCCAAAAGGCCTCGTACTAATTGGGTTTGGTGGACTCTAATATATAAGGGTTCCTTCCCTTGTTTTACCGATGTGGTGCTTGGATTGTCCTCATAACAATCCTCCCCTCCAGACAAGGACCACGAACTTCGTGTCCTCACCTTAGCGATTATCTTGATCCGCCAGACACCTTGTACTGATGGGCTTCTCGGTACAAAGATATTCCCAAACGCGGAACTCCCTTTGATCTGCCAAACAAACGTGGATCTCTCCTAGATCCACCAGACAAACGCGGACCTCACTTGATCCGCCAAACCATATGTAGCTCAAACGTGGATCTCTCGTGGATCCACCAAACCAGACACATAGCTCAAATCCCGAGATCACCGAATGAGGGTCCCACCAAACCAACGTCCACGGCCCCGAACCGAACCAGACTCTGATACCGCTTGTCAAACCGGGGTGCTCAATTAGTACGATATTGTCCGCTTTGGGCCAAGCCCGCACGGATTTACTCTTGGGTTCCTTCCCAAAAGGTCTCGTACTAATTGGGTTAGGTGGACACTAATATACAAGAGTTTCTTCCCTTGTAATTCTGATGTGGTACTTGAATTGTCCTCATAACACACTTAATATTTATACGTTTCATTTTGAATCAAAACAAAAAATGAAAATTGAATTTTGAGTCCAGAAATTCATTTTCTAATTTTTTATTCAGAATAAAAAATAGTAATAGATGAAAAATAATTATAATATTTCAACTTAACTTTTTTAAGTAATCATACCTCCCCAGATAATTAGTCTCAAAATATAACAAGCACCATACGTTATAATCAATGCTACGAGCAGACACCCATATGTTGTGATCAATGCTATGACCCAGAAGATAATGGTTTTTATTTTTTTCATTCGTTTAAACTAAGTTTCAAGAAGGCATAATTTCACATGTCTAGACGCTAGGCAGTGACAAAATATCTTGCCTAGGTCCTAAGCACACAATTAGGCATTCATAACACCTATACTATCATTATATATATATAAATTGTTATCTAAATCAACCTTGGTTTAAACAACCAAAATCCTTACAACTATTGTATACATCTCACCTCAAGTTCGTGTGCAGATCATTCAATTGAATCTTACAAGTTTGGTGGAAGCCTGAAACATGTTCATCCTGTTTTGTGTGGTTTTTATTGTCCATTTAATTTTTATCAGACACTTTTTATAGTAGCCTGCTTATAATCAATCAGCCGTTTAATGACCCTCTTCCATTTCCGATAAAACAAAACGATCGACTCCAATTGCATTAACCAAAAACCACTCCACCAAAAGTCTAACTTCCACACAAGCAAATCACAAAATACTCAATCCGACGGACAGAAACAATACAATAACGCAAAATAAAAACCCAACAAACCCTCCCCCAATCTGCAGAACACACAAAACAATAAATCCTTCTTTCAAAGCGAACTAGAAGCAATCCTGTCCATGACTGTAGCCAGAACATCCTTAGACTCCCTCAGCAGCCTGATGCTCCCGTTCAGCTTCTCCCTCTTCGCCGCCACGGAAGGCGACTCCTCCAGCATCTTCTCAATCGCCCCGCCGTGCCTTCCCATCAGCTCCTCCACCACGCCCTTCTCCAGCTCCTTCTCCACCAGGTTCCTCATGCCCAGCTGCACGTGGAGCGCCATTGAATCCACCAGCCTCCTCAGCACGATCTTCCAGTACGTCGCGATCCTCATCTTCAGATCGTACGCCTGCTCCAGACAGGCCGAGTTCCTCACCCCTGCCTCCACCGAAACAGTTCCGAACTCCGGAATCGAGCAGCTTCCGGGAGAATTCTGATGTCCGTCCCTCGCGGATTTCAGGAAATCGGACCTCGCGGACATCAGCTTGTGCCACTCGGTCATGTAGTCAGGGTTGCAGGTGTAATCCGTCAGCTCCTCCATCTGCAGGACTTCGATCACCCAATTGATCGACCGGTCCCTCATCTTCGCCATCAGGTTGTGGCACGCTCGCCTCGTCGAAAGCTGCAGCTGGTGGTGATCCTCGCACCGCTGGGTCATGACTGTGACTACGACGTTCTCGATGTAGTTCCACACTTCCTCGACGAACCCGACGGGAATTCCTGAGATGCCCTTCACCTTGGAGCTCAGCCGGGTCAGGAAAGCGGATTGCGAGAGGAAGTCAGGAAGCCAGATTCCTTTGTACTCCTCCAGGATGCGGATCTCGTCGGCCAGGAAGTTGCTGAAATGGTCGCTCTCTGGAGCCGAGTTGAGTTGCGAGGCGAATTTTTCGAGCATTTCGAACAATCTGGCGGTGCAGTGCATTTGATTGTCGTCAGGGTACTCGTCGAACTCTCCCCTGACGATCAGTTTCCTTAGGGATTCCTTTGCCGAGCCCAGGATTACCATGAATGCTGTAACAGCTTCTCCAACGGAATTCATTCTTTTGGGCATCTTGTTCAGATCGGCAATGTTGGAACTCAATTTTTCGTTAATCTTCTTCACTATCTCCGGCAAGCACCTAAATGGTTGAACAAAGGGGCTCTTGATCAAAATTACTTAAAACCATTTTCAGAGTATTTTATTAGACAAGAGGAAAACTATTTTTACCTGGAGATGATTGCGGCCTGAATCTGAACAAGTTTCTGAGCCAAAACAGGAACCCCAACGATGGATTTGTCTATCCTGGAAAGCAGGGGATGGCTGCTAAACAACTGCGCCTCTGCAACTCTGGCATCCTGATAACTCTCTTCTCCAATCCGATTCCTGACGCATACATATCCAAGCCCGATTCCCACATCGTCAGCGGCAACCTTCTCCAGCAAGCCTTCCGGCGACTTATCGACCTTGGTCACAACCGCCAGAGTCCTGTCCCCTGTTTTATCCACTCTCTGTGACATCCGGATGGACTCGCAGGTCGAGAAATCGACGGTCGCTGAAAGGACATTCAGGATGATGCTCTCTTCAGGCTTGATATACTCCATGATGGTTTCGGTCACCTGCTCGTAGATGTCCTCCGGCTGGCCGTGGACGGGGACACGAGTGATCCCGGGGAGATCCACCATTGTCAAATCGGGAACTCCATTCTTTCTGACCACCAGAGTCAGGGGATTGTTGGATATCCCTTTCCCGCCCCCGGCGATCTCCTCCGTGGCGGAATTGATGGCAGCGGCGACATGGGTTTCGTCGGTGCTGACTTTTTTCAGCGACCCATTGGAGGAGTACTCGAGATAGAGCTCCGGCGCGGGCGCGGAGTGGTGGTGGAGCCGCATAATGAGGGGGACTCTGGTGCAGATCCCCTGCCCGCGGGGGAGGCTGATCCCGGCGAGGGATTCGAGGACGCTGGACTTGCCGGAGGACTGGTCGCCGACGACGACGATGGTCGGGAGCTGGATGCCTTCCTTGGCGGCGACGTTGAGGTGGCGGAGCTTGTCGACGGCGTCGAGCAGCGGGCGGATGCGGTCGTTGTAGGAAGACACAATCGGAACGAGGTTATTGCTGTCGTTGCTGTCGGCGGCATTTTGTACTGCTGCTAGTGAGAGGGTTGAAATTGGTACGGCGAGGGTCTCGACTTCCTTGTTGTTGCGGGGTGGTTTCTGGGTGCTGCTGCTCTTGCTGCCACCGGCCATTTTTCAGGGAAGTTTGCTGCGTGGATTTCTTTTTGTTGTGGAAGAAGAAGAAGAAGAAGAAGGGATGTGTTGATGGAGGGGAAGGTTTATGCAATGTTTATATATATATATAGCGCTGGAGATCAGTAATCGTGCGGGCAGATGGAAGGGCGAAGTAACAGAAACTTGGAAGGCGTCCTTTAATTGTTTTGCTGTTATCGAAACGGGAAGGAAGAGAGATTGGGTGTATTGTGTTTTCCCGGAGAGTAGCCGTTAACTCACTTTACTTGAGTCACTTCCTTTGTTACAGTTCCTGGGGAAGACGGAAGGGTTTTGAGGATTTCCATGAAGGAAAGGGAGCAAATGAGCAGTTGGACTAGCATGAATGAATGAATGAACTCATTCTGCCCTTTTGCTTCTCTTTAGTCAAGTAACATGAAGTGATTCTTGATTGATCTTTGCGGCATGGATGTTGTTTTGATCAGTGTAACATTTTAAGGGTTCAAAATCTGATGAATTGAAAAAGAAAGCAGGGGCACAAGTCAAGTATTTTGAGTATTACTCTTTTTGTGTTCGGATTCAGTGGTGGAGCGAGGAATCTAAATGAGTGAAGCTGATTCGATTTGTGGTAATTGTGTGAGGGGATCGGAGGGGGGTGGGGGTTAAAGGTTTATCGATTATTATAATTTTTAAATTTGTGCAAAATTTACATGAAATTTTATCGATATTTCAAAGCTTAGAGGGCTACTATATATATAAAGGTAATAAATTGTATTTACTTAAAAGTATATATCTATAATCGAAAGAACTTGGGTTGAATAGTAGAAAACCCACCACCAATTTTCTATAATATTCTTGTTCGAATGTTATCCATACCAACAAATAGTTGATTTAGTTAGAGTTTTATCTTATTCAATTAGGTCAAGTTGAAGCAGTAAATTATATTTTGTCAATATTTTTACTTAAAGAATTTATTTATAATTGAACGAACTTGAGTTGGATAGAAAACCATGACCACCAATAATCTATAATACAGTGATTCAAATTTTATCCATCTCAAAAAGCAATTGATTTAATTAAAGTTTTGGACTTTGCTAAGGTGACATGCATGTCACGGTGACATGCACTTTTCGGTCGACCTCATATAGGATCAGGTCGACCTAATCTGTTGTTTCAGTGTAAAAATAGTTTCATGGTGCCTACTTTGGAGATTCATATCTTACAATTGGCTAGATGGAAATTAGAGATTAAAGGCTTGTTTTGAAGCTGAAGTGTCCCTCTACACATTAAAGTACTTGGGAGCTCAATAGAAAGTCCAGAAGACCATTTTTGAACCTGACCAAAAGGTTATGCCAAAACTGGGAAACTGCCTGAAAATGGCTAAGTCTGGCAACGTGTTTGTCAAGCCTACTTTGGAGCTCAATTTGAGAAGCATGGATGCGAGTCAAGTCCAGGGGCCTCTACCACGTTAAATTAAGTATTTTTTTATACAAAGGCAAGGCATTGGATGAAAGATTTAATATCTTTAAGGCTTCAAACAAAAGGCTCGAAGTTGCTACGAAGGCTGTTTTCTGACCGCTTGCTTGTGCTCGAAGTCTGCCAGAAAAACAGCCTTCGTAGCAACTTCGACCCTTTTGTTTGAAGCCTTACAGATATCCAATCTTTCATCCAATGCCTTGAATTTGTATAAAAACATACCTAGTTTAACGTGGTAGAGGCTCCTGGACTCGACTCGCATTCATGCTTCTCGAATTGAGCTCCAAAATAGGCTTCACAAACACGTTTCCAGACTTAGCCATTTCCAGACAGTTTCCCAATTTTGGCATAGCCTTTTGATGAGGTTCAAAAATGGTCTTCTGGACTTTCTATCGAGCTCTCAATCACTTCAATATGTAGAGGGACACTCCAGCTTCAAAACAAGTCATTAGTCTTCAATTTCCATCTAGCCAATTGTATGATATGAATATCCAAAGTAGGCACCATGAACTGCTTTTACACTGAAACAACAGATTAGGTCGACCTGATCCTATATGAGGTCGACCGAATCCCAAATGAGGTCGACCAGATCCTATATGAGGTCGACCGAATTCTAAATGAGATCGACCTAATCCTAACTGAGGTCGACCGGAAAGTGCAAGTCACCATGACATGCATGTCACCGTAGGCACACCCTAAAGTTTTACCTTTCAATTAGGTCAACTTGGAGCGATTAATTATATTTATCAATATTTTTGTCGCCCTACTTTTTTACACCCATGCTTACAACTCAGCGTACCAATGATACGAAAACCTCAATGATCTAATTGTTGAATCAATTGAATTTTGTAATAATTCCTAGAAGAAAGAAAAGGAAGTATTTCTTAATTTTGTTGTTGTTATGTATGGCGTTCCACCAATAAAAAATAAATTCAAGTTTTCTCTTTTATCATTATCAAACTTTCAAAATACAATTACTATAAGCACTGTGGATGATAATGATCCACATAAAAGAGCGACCCAATACCATCATACTTATGTGCATCATCAAACATTCAGGTAGAAGGGCATAGACTAAGATGCCAGATTCAATGAAACACTTTTTGGCCAAGTCGAGCTCGAGCTAGCTTGTTTACTAAAATTTTGCGTTTTATTTGGTACTTCATTTTGTATATCATGATACATATGATTTATAATAGTTTTAACTACTCCAAATCAATGTTATTTCATAGTATCGAAGCAATCTATGATACATAATTTCTTACTAAAGTAGAAAATAAGATATATTTACTCACATACTCAACGTGTTAAACTTTATATATGGTGAGATATATAATTTAACAACCATATGAATTAAAATCATAAGATATAGATTGATTCGTCCATAAGTCAATAATTGAGCCGACTCTCTGGCCACATGTTGAGACATATCATGAGCTCTAAACGAGTCAGCTCACGAGTTTAGCTCAACAAGCCACCGAGTTGAGCTAGCTTGCGAGTTTCACGAGCTGAACAAAGCTTAGCTCATGTTCGGTTCGTTTATCAACAAACCGAGTTTCGAACGAGTTTTTCTCGAGTCGAACACTGAACCGCTCGCAAGCAGCTCAACTCATTTGCAGCCCTACTTCCAATTGCATATTGTACACAAAATCATGAAAGGTAAATTAGTAACTCTCATTTTAATTGGTGAAGCCCTTACTATATTTCATATACAAAAAATTGAAAATGGAACAGCCGCTCTTTTACCATGGAACAGCCGCTCTTTTACCAACACGACGCCGTTTCAGCTTACTGACTGACTCTTGACTGCCTTTCCGCGTACGTCGCTCATTCCCCATTGTGCCCCTGTCAGAAGTCTGAAATTATGATTTGACCTCGCCTTCTATTCGTCCTCATCGATCTTCCTCTTCCAATTGTGCATATTGTAACACAAAAATCATGAAAGGTTTTTCCAGTTATAAATCGGCTCTCATTTCCCCAATCCAACAAATTTCCAGAACCCTAATTTTGTAGTCAGGGTTCCCCAAGTAACTTGGGCAATTTTCTACCCCTGCTTTCCACATTCGATCTCTTCCACCCCGATTCAGATCGTGGGGATGCATTGATTCGACTCCGCGAATTGAATTAAGTCAATTCCTACATCCCGCGCTCTGAGCTGAAGCCGCGCCAATTCCCCAGAACCTAAGCAGTTCTTCTTCTTGTTTCTTTTGTCGGGGGCAATCCTGTGGTTTGGGGGGATTTGTCGTTTCCGTGGCTCTATGGCGGATCAAGATGAAGATGACCTCCGAATGGCTCTTAGGTTGAGTATGCAGAACCCTTCGACTCCAGAGCCCAAGCTGCAGAATTCCCCGCCGGAACCCAAGCGGAGCAAGCCCAGGGACGCTGCTGCTGTAGCAGGAGGAGGGGCCTCGGTCTCGCCGGATGATTCGAGGAGACTGCAGAGAGAGCTCATGGCCGCTGCAGCTGAGAAGCGTATGCAGGCTGCCAAGATTGTCTCGCCCTCAAAGTCTGTGACTTCCAGTGCTACTGCTGTTACTGGCAGCAGCGCTGTAAAGACTGCTGATTCTGCTATGAAGGAGAAAGACGGGAGCTTGAAGGAGTGTCATTTAGGGCGGGAATTGTCGATGGAGGAGGCGAACCAATTGTTCTCTATGGTGTTTGGCGCCGGCGTTTCCAAGGGCATTCTTGCTCAGTGGAGCAATCAGGGCATAAGGTACGTGCCCGTCTCGTGACATTGCCCAATGCCATGAATCTACTTATGTTCATAACTGGTGGTACTGTCATCGATGGCCACCTTCACCAGGCCGTTATCAAACAAGATACCAGGGACTGATTGAAAAAGAACGGTTATGAAAAGGAAGTAGATTTTTCTTGCTCCGAATGAGGCAGAACTGCCCCTATGTAGTACTCATGGAACTTATTTTCTTGGGTTTCTGATAGCAGTTTCTTATTTTCTAGCTGTTTGGGTGAACAAGTTGCCTACCGTGAATTACTGGTGCTATGGCTAGTTTGTGATATAGATACCTTCAGAGCTTAGATTATGCTATCTTTCTATGCCTCTCAATCTCACTGCATCTCAAAATTTACCAATCTGGCCGATCGCTAAACATAGTTTACTCTGATGATGTTCACATGTCCGATACTGGCTAATGTTTATGCAAAAACTTATGCAGGTTTAGCTCTGATCCAGAAACGTCTATGGGCCTAGTGCAGCATGAAGGTGGGCCCTGCGGAGTCTTAGCAACAATACAAGTAATTTCCTTAAATTTTGTTTCATGTTCTCTTTGCCAGTTATAGTATTGTGTGCATGGATCTTCAATCATCATGTTCTGGGATATGCGTAGTGCTTCTGACACTCCGTTGTCACTTGTGATGAAAAGTGCATTGAGCACATCACTTGGATTCTCTGGCTAAATCCACAAACTCTGCTTGGAAGCATTTGCGGGAATGCATGTTTGCGGATCCCTTTCTTTGCCAGCTATAGTATTGTGTATGGATCTTCAATCATCATGTTCTGGGACATGAGTAGTGCTTCTGACCCTCCACTGTCGCTTGTGATGAAAAGTGCATCGAGCTTATCACTTGGATTCTCTGGCTAAAGCCACAAACTCTACTTGGAAGCATTTGCAGGAAAGCATGTTTGGACATTCCTTTCTTGGTCGGGCTATTTTTCTACTTCCACATGTCAGTTCTTCTGCTGAAATGACCTTTACCTATCCAAGCTAGTCTCAGTTATTGGATCTGGCTATCATGCATTCCTGTTTTGTTGTTCTGACCTAATTTGGGGTTCATGTAGATTCTGTGCATGTTCGATACTGCTTCATGTTGCTTATCCTAGGTTGTCTCTGTGCAGGCATTCGTTCTCAAATACATCCTTTTCTTTCCTCATGAAGTAGGTAAAGCTGGGCCCAGCATGCATCAAAATCCTGGTTCTGGAAGATTGTCCAAGACTAGATATGTTGCTTCATACAATTTCTCACGACTTACTGAAGATGGAAGAGCAAGGTTAGCTTTTTAACGGCCATTTTGCTTTTACCAGCAGTAGACTTATTCCTGAGAAGCTTGAGGTTATTCTCTCTGACACCAGCACCAGCTCTTTTAATTATCTAAAAAACAATTTTTATAAGTTTATTTTTAAAACAATGTAGTTAAGGGTCATTGATTGGCTGTTGTGATACGTATTCCAACTTTTAGTGTTTTACCGCCTTGTGCAGAGCCTTGGTCAAAAGTATGAGTGAAATATTGTTCCTATGTGGAAGTGGTGATAGGGCTGTGATTGCCACATTGAATAACACAGATAATGGTAAAGAGAGCTCCTCAAAGGACGAGGTACGCTGGATTTTTTGGAAATCTTAGAAACAGGGTCTTCATTCTATTGCCTGTACTCGATAGTCTTCAAGGGCCAACTTTTGTTTTTTTTATTTATTTTGGTACTATTTTGCTTATTCATATTGCATTCTACCTGACAGATTATTGCAAAAGCACTTGAAAGCCTTTCTATTGAATCAGCCTCTGACTTGCAAAAGGTTCTTAGAGTCGACACATTCACAAACGAAGCAAGCGCATTGCAGAGACTTAAGGAGACAATTCCCATCTTCCAATCTCGGATGGGAGCGCTGCTATTCCTTATTTCTGCACTGCTTTCTCGAGGATTGGTATGTTTAATGATCTTAAAGCCTGTTGCTACTTCACATAAAGTACTTCTAAGGAGCTTTTCTATACCCGAGAATATGATATAGCTTATCTGCATCCTTGCATCCGCGTACATGATTATCACTTCAATGCATTTTCTATACCCGAGAATATGATATAGCTTGTCTACATCCACACATTCGTGTTCATGATTATCACTTACATGCATTATGATTGTGACCTAATAATGGCACTAGATCTTCTTGACGAAATAAGCACCATGTATCTTTTAATGTAATCACCAGGCATGCTTCCTTAGTTTCTCCAATAGTATTACAGTTGAGGATATATAAAAAAGTAGTGTAAAGTGGGGTCCAGATCAGTTTAAATGAGATGTCAAGGTAGAAGTTGGAAGTATGTGTTGATGGAGAAGTTGGTTATAAAATCAACTAAAGGCACCACCAGGTGCCAGCCAATTGAATCAACTCTTGGAATCTTCTGTTGCTTTTGGGCTTTGGCTACTTTAATTTGATGATTTTTCTATTATACTTTCAGGACAACGTTCAATCGGACAGAGATGATCCCAGTCTCCCACTGGTCACGGCACCTTTTGGTCATGCCTCGCAGGTACATACATATTCATGAAACAGGAAATTGTAATTGATATTTCTCTTGCAAAGTTGACTGTTTATGCAGTAAACAATTATTTGTTAGCATAACCTGGTTATATTTATCACGAAATATATTAGAAATTAGAAATTAATTCCTTGAAGTACTCGGTTCTGAAACAGGAAATAGTCAACTTACTGCTTTGCGGCCAGGCAGTTGCTAACGTGTTTGATGGCCGGATGGATTTGGGTGGTGGAATGTTTCTGAAAGGTATATCAAGTGGCGTGGAAGTTGGGTTTCTCACCCTTTTAGAATCCCTCAATTTCTGCAAAGTTGGTCACCATCTAAAAACCCCAGAGTGGCCCATATGGGTTATTGGCAGCGAGTCCCACTACACAGTTCTATTTGCTCTTGACACCTCTGTCCAAGACGAGAACGAGCTGGAGCAGAGAGAATCAGAAATTCGAAAAGCTTTTGATGCCCAAGACCAGAGTGGCGGCGGCGGATTCATCAGTGTGGAAGGTTTCCAGCAGGTCCTTCAAGATGCCAGCATCAGACTACCGACAGAGAAAGTCGATCTTCTCTGCAGCACTGGTTTCATTGTGTGGAGTGAATTCTGGCAGGCTGTTCTTGATCTGGACAAGAGTTTAGGTGGGTTAAAGGATTCAAGTGGTTCGATGGGGAAGAAAGTGTTTGATCTTTACCATTTCAACGGCATTGCAAAATCCGACTTGAATGGTAGTAGCAATGCATCAGTTGGAGGTGAGGCACCGGTACAGAGACCTAGGCTTACAAAGCTCAAGGTTTCAGTGCCACCAAGGTGGACTCCCGAGGAGTTCATGACTGATGTAGCTATGTCCTCTGCTTCTGCTTCATCTGGTAGTGGTGAATCTAAAGACATGGAAGTGAATAAGCCCGAGCCTTGCCAGCACGCCCCACTTGTGGACTGCGTCAGAACTAGGTGGGCTCGCGCCAGTTGTAATTGGGCTGGGGATCCTCCCAGTATAGTCTGAAGCAAAAAAGGGCAAATCACCGGAGGCAGAGAAATGGCGAAATCACCAGAAGCGTGGCAGGTGTTGAGAGAAGATGAGAAAGAAGGCAACTTTATGCAGGCTGAAGAGATTTCCAGGGTCATTTCTTGCAATGTACGATTGTAGCTTCTCTGTATTTCTTTGTTGGTCAAATTCATGATTGTAGTAATTCGATTCTTCAGATGCTATAAAAGGGAGAGAAGAACGATTTGTCTAGTTTGGTGCCCTTGGTTGTTGCACTCTGTAAAATGTGAAATGGGGTTTTGCAGAATTTTTAACTGTTTGATCAGCTGTTAGTTGAATTGAACCCCTTTTGGTCGCCGCTTTTGTAACAACTTTCGTTTACCGTGGTTGCCAAGTTCTGTCCAGGTCATCCAAATTTTTTAACCTGAACAAGTCAATAAACCTTGGCTTCCTGTCATTCATTACTGAAAGGTTGAGAGTAATTATTGCATTTTATGGTTAACTGCTCTGCCGAGACGAGTTTTGTAGATGCCTACATTGTCTATTTGCTGTATTTGGATGACGGTCGTTTGTGATGACACTTCCTATTTTCCCCAGAATGCTCTACAATCAACATACGCCAAGGTTGTCGTACATAATTCAATATACAGTGAAAACACAAACTTATATAACATCAATATTTAAATATTCAAATAAGGATTTCAAAAGATTGAGTTAGGCGAAAAGAAAAATCAAAAAATAGGCGCATTTTGCAAACCAAAGAAAAAATTGACACAATTTAACCTCCTACCCGGTACTTTGTAGCGGTCGACCCGATGAGTGCGTGCGGCCCATTTTTCTCACCAGACCAGGGTCAAAGTGAGTTGACCCGCGGATTGACAACCATGACATACACTGATTATCAGAAGTTGAAAATTGATGGAAGTCATTAAAATTCAATCCCGGAAAAAATGACTTACCAGTCGCCACCATCAAATTAAATTTCAGTTGGGTAGCAAAATAAAGACCTTCGGCTTTGGATCGTTGGTTTGATCTCATTTCTCATTTAACTGTGTTTTAAATAGGTTAAAGCACATAGAAAATGTTGTTTCCTTTTTTTTCTTCCCGCCATAGGTATGCAAAATGAGAAACAACAAGATACGAGCATATAGAGAGGATTTTGCCGGTCAAATCACAAAGTAGACAAAAAGAAGAGTCATTGGACCATCCAACAATGAGAGGGTTTTTTGTCACGATATGGACAACCCTATTATACCTATTCGGTGCAAAGTGGAACGAGGCACGCTGCAAGGAGGAAGAAACATGATCCTCGTGAAGAAGACTTCCACCCAATGTGTGTGCGAAATCCTTCGAATTAATCATGCAAATGAGCACCTGCGCATCAATACAGAAAAAACGAAACATTAGAAAAGAATGAGCCAAACAAAAAATAGAGCATAGCCTAAAAGTTGAGATGGCTAAGGCACATTAGCGCTGGACAACGATATAGAATAGTCTCATGATGATGCTTCTGAGATTCATGGGAAGATGTCAAAGACTACATCGCAACCCTATGCTTTCTTCCATATGCATTCACATGCAAATCAACTACCAAGGCACACTTGGAAACATCCTAGAGGAAGAGACAAAGTGTGATGATCCTCCTGCATAGATTATTCGAAGTTCAACAAAACTCTTGGAACCAAACATTGGAGAAGAGGACACAATGAAGAGGACTTCACCTAAGGATGATCAACCTCACATGGAAAATGAAGGTGAAAGGCCATTAGAGGAGCAACCATCTCGGCCTATTTAACCAAAGAAGGAGCTTCAAGAGGAGCCACTTATCAAAAATGCTGACGACTAGACCAAGTGAGTCCAACTTAGAAGAAGGGCAAGATACCCCCTCCATCCAAGATACCATCGAGGAGTTCATCAAAGAAGATATATCATCTAACTCAATGGAGAAAACTTCAAGCCACAACCATCAAGAGTTCAACTCGAGTTGGGAGGAGGAAATTGACGAAGACTGCAATTTCGATCTTGGAGAAGAAGGAACCTCTACAACATCCTCTACACTAGTGGAAGAAGAGCAATGAGTAGCAATCCCTCCACCTATTCTAGATGATGAAGCTCTATGCATAGAATAACCAAGCTTTGAAGTGGATGGACCCCTTCAAGATCCCTTCACATCATCTTTTGAAGGTTATGCACATAACTTTGAACAAGAAGAAGTCACAGTTGAGCAAGAAGAGTTCATCACTTACAAGGGCACTCTTGTTTCCCATGCTTTCTAAGTTTATTTTAATTGCATTTTGAGGAGGAGAAGCACTTGTTTCCCCTATGTTTTGTTGCTTTGATATTTTCCTTTGCTTTTAAATACATATGAAAATATAAGAGAGAAATGGAGCAATAGGGATGGCAATGTGGCGGGTTTGTCTAAACCATCCACATCCCCATCTTCAAATACCTAAACTCATACCCGCCCCATACTCATGCGGGGGAATATTTTGCAAACCCATCCCCATGCCCGTGGGTTTCGGGTACCCATGGGTAATACCCGTACCCGTACATCCAACATTATTATACCTAAAACTTACAAGAAAAATTTCAATAATAACTCTAAACGAACCTATTATATCATGAAGTCAACAAAACACGGGCATTTTCTTAATAAAGTTCAAAGTATATAATCCTAAAACATCCATTACTACATAATATAGAGTACAATATTTTTCAAATTATTATCTTCTAACTCTGATACATCTACTAAGTAATAATTAACTAACATAATCTTATTGACAAGGGGGAAAGTGAAAGAGTGAAAGGAGAATTGAGGGAAATAAATTAGATTTTGATTAAAGTGGTCGCTCGATTGCATTTCTACTATTTATTTTCTCGAGTTATCCTCATCACCATTGATAGATTACAATTTAATTCATATATTTTTTATATGTGAAGAAATTCTCTTGGTGAGGGAGGCCAAAACCATACCGCCCCATACCCATCAAAATTTTTGCGGGTTTTACCCATACCCGCGGCCATGGGTTTGATTGCCGTCCCTATGGAGTAATGAGATCCAATGGTGCCAAATTTCACGAATCACTCAATAACATTGAGAAAAACTTATAAATGTAGATAAAAGAGCAGGGTCGGTTCTACCCATTGTAGCACTGCCTCTAGTAAACCCTATTCAACTGATGCTAAGTTTTCTTCTCCAACACGAAAAAGGAGTCAAGATAGTCTGTCTCCAATAAGAAGAATGATAGCTTCTCAAACCAATGTTACCCCGCCGCTACCACCCACCACAGACGGTTCGAACCAAAGCTACCGCGCCGCTACCATCCTACACTAAGTTTCTGTATCCTACATGAAGAGGGACTCAAAAAGTCAATATCCAAATAGGAAAGTAAAGGTGGTGCCCCTCGACTCCCACCCGCCGTTTGCCTATAAAAGAGAGAGACCCCCCTCTTTCTTTTCCTCACATAAACTCAGATCCAAACCATTCATAGCCAAATTTGGTGCAACAACTCGTGGTAGCTCAATTCCAAAAAGATTTTCGAGGAAGGAGTTGTGAAGGTCCATCCTTGTGAGATGGTGGAGAGAAAGAAGAGCATCAACGTAAGGAAGGAAGAGGGAGGTAGCCATCCAAGGAGAAGAAGGAGACATGAAAGAAGATGTTGGAGCCTGCTCAACCCAATACAATGGAGTCATCTCATGCCAAGAAGGAGCACAAAGACGATGACACAACCTTAGCAAAGGAGATGACAATTCATGAAGAAGCATCTTGATACCCTATAATGGTGCGAAAATTGATAGAAGATTTAAGAGGAGAAGAGAGTGACATGCCATTTTTGGAGAGCATTCTAGACTGTGAGGTGATCAAGATGGAAATAGAGACCCCATACGCCTTGGTCTTTGGGAGACCATTTCTAGCCACTTATGGTGTCATGATCGATGCGACGGCAGGAGAAATCACTCTACAAGTGGGAGAGATCATGCATTGAATAGTGGGGTCTATCAAAGTTGAAGGAACAAAAAAGCCCACTAATGATAATGATTTTGAGGAGAATGAAGAGACGGGTTGTAGATAATAATTAAGTTCCGAACATGATCTCTATATGAGGATTCCTTACATGCAACATTTCATCATTACAAAGAAGACCTAGTATGGGGAGACAAGTTGAAAGAAGCTCCACCAACTCTAGATTCAAAGCTAGCACAAGTGGCACTTAAGATAGTCAGCACAAGGACAAAGCTGCTGCTAGAGAAGATCGAGGAGTTGGAATATGAAGCATCAGATGACTTTCAAGAGTTCATATGCCAAAGTGGATTCAATCACATCCTATGGAGCCAACCACGATGAATGCAACTGAATAGGATGATGAAGAGTTTCAGGCTCAAGGCATAGTAAAAAAAGGCAATTGCTTTTACTTCCATTTAGTTCTAGTTAGCAAGAAAATGGTCGCTTTTTTCTTTACTGACATCGGGGTTCCAGAGCATTCAGAATTGAGGACTCATCGAGTGGAGCCACTATTGTCGTTCGATGAGGGTATGTTCTTGAATTGAGAGTAACTTCTATCTCTTTGTTTTGCTTGGATTTTTTTTGTTTGTTATTTATTTAGAATCTCGCTAAATGAGATGAATGCTAGTTGCCAAGCTCCTATTTCAAAATTTGAATGACATATTGGGTAAACCGTTTTCAAAATTTCCCATTGCTCACTATTTTTGTCCATTGAGGAAAATGCTCATTTTAAACTGTGTGTTGCGTGTTACTTGAATACACTTCCATAATATAACTATTCGCGTTGTGACAATAATAGCTACTTTTGAAAAAAATACACAGATATAATCATTTTGTTTATAAACCTAACGATTTCTCACGACGACTGAATAGAAAAACGAATATTTGTGACGTGGCCAAGTTTCATCTACGTGGCAGTCCATGTGGAATATGTTCCTAATTTATTAATTACAAAAATTAGGCCAAGCTCAATGGAGTAAGCCTTGAGCCATTTGCATGAAGGTTGAAACGTGGCGGTGGCAGGGGGAACTCAATGGAGTCGAAGCGGCAAAGCTCACACGCGGCATTCAAAGGAGCCAAAAATGGCAGAGACCAGCGGCAGTCGGCCCCTTGGAATGCTCAACAAAAAGGAAATACACACAACACAACAACGCCTGCGCTGCAAATGCCATCTCCTTAATCCTTATCTCTTATCCTCCAGAATCCAGTCTCTGCGCATTCCGCCGAGCACCCGCCATCGTCATTCGCCAGTGCTAACCTGTCTCTCTCCTCTTCCCAACGCGTGTCATTTCCCCCCCAAAAACCCTAAACCCTTTTCCATCTTCTCGCTTCATTTTGAAATCCCATTCCAGTATATAGAGAGACGAGAGAAACAGAGGCTTGAACATTGGGTGTTGTGTTCATGTTTATGCACTTGTGCTTGGTGGGTCTCGTTGTTTTCCTTCTGCGTTGCTGCGGTGTTGATTTCCCCGTCTAGTATTCCGGCAAGCGGAAGATTTGGGCATGGAGGAAGTGGATCAGCAGTACCGTGACATTTACGGATCCGGGTTGGGTTCGGAGTCCGAAACCCAGTACTCGGGGAAAGCCGGTTGGGTCATGGACCAAGGATTAACACTGGGGAAGAAGATTCTGGTCACTGGATTGGTGGTCACTTCAGCCCCAGTGGTTATCCCTTCAATTCTGGTCATTTCTGCTCTTGGGTTCGCTTGTTCTCTGCCTTCCAGCTTTTTCTTAGCAACCTATCTCTTCACCGAGTCTCTCATGACCAGATTGCTCCCTCTCCAAGCCAATCATCATGTTCCTCCTGAAGAGCAACATGAAGGAATCGAGGACTCCCATGATCTGGACAAGTATTTGAAGACATCAGGGGAGGGCACGAGAGGGCGGACCCTCGAGCCGATTGAGGACGAAGACGACGAAATTGTGGAGGAAAATCAAAATGGATATAGAGATGGTGAGGATATGAAGGGACAAAGAGATGATGAGACAGTAAACATGGCTGTTGAGATGCATGCTGTTAGTGGTATTGTGGTTATAGAGAGGGAGGGTGATGTTACGACTCCTGTTGCTGCTGCAGTTCCAATTGAGGTAAGGACTCTGGTTGTGGAGGTTTCGGAGGGAAGTGATGATGTTGATGAGAATGAGGAGCTTACAAAAGGGACAACGGGGTTGTTGGAGAGCATTAGGGATGAAGGTGTTTCTGAGTCTCCAGCTGAAGTGAATGAGAAAACGACTGAGGGTAAGTGAGAGTCCGAGTTTTCAACCCCATTTTGCCTACATGGATGGTTGTAATGTGATTTGAGAGCGACTTTGGGGTTTGTTATGTGCTGCTAATTAGCTGTTTGCTATTTTTCTCACATGCAGCTGCTGCATCTGCAGAACCTGAGAAGCAGCAGCAGGATGGACCTGAGTCCAATGCCGGAGGAAATGCCAACCAGAATGGTTCCACTGAGGTATAAGAGCCTGAGTTTTTCCCCCCCCTTCTTTCTTGCAGCCATATATACTTTCGGCTTACTTGGCGTGGAAGTAGTGTCATTCTGATCCATCGTTAGGAAAGTTGGCTACTTGACATAGAGAGAGACATAGGTTCTGTCTGATTTCTGCTTTACATTATGCCAAAAGATGGGAACTTGGATTATCTGTTTTGGTCTCCTAACTGTCTTGATCAGATCGTTGCTGTGTTGAATTTTAGAAGCACGTATCCAGGCTTGTTTCAAGTAATGATTCGATTTTCGTTGAACATGAATGCTTTAGAGTAGAACCGTACAACGAGGGAGCATCCCTTCTCCATTGTACCATTGTTCTGCTGTAAATGAACCAATATGCTAAATTGGAAGATCTTGAATTGGACATAGATGAAAAATTGGTATTATGTTTGCTGGTTTGTCTGACGCTTCTCTTTTCCCTTTCTTTTGTGCCTGTTTTGCTGTGATGTTAAGTCTTCCAGAAGGGCTAAAAGGAAGCAACCGAAAACTGCCAAGAAACAACCCCCCAGGAGCTAGCTCAATTGAGGATGTAATTCAAGATAAGATAAGAGAGAGAACGCCATTAAGAAGGGAACCACATTGCCTAGATCCTGATACAAAGTTCTTATTGCACCATCTGGGCTTGGGGGAGAGGGGTGTTGAATTACTGGAGAGAATGTTTTAGTTTTTTGGTAGTGTTGTGTAATAATCGAATTGCTTTACCTCGAATTTCATGAGATATGTCGGTCTTTTCCCCGGGATGTTTAGGTTAGATGAATGGATCAGAGCTTAATGGATGCCTATGTTCTGTTTACTTGTCATACACATTTCACCTGAATAGAGCAATGTGAGGGAGAGAAGCTGCCTTGCTTGACAAGTAAAAAAAAAAGTGATTTCGCGTTCGTTGATGGTCATTGTGCGAATGCAGGTGTGGAACAACGAGAAGATATGGGAACAGATCAACGCGCTGCGCGTTATTGTGGGATATACAGCTTCCAGGCAACCAACGTTAATGGAAGAGCTCAAGGCTCTGTATGTTTTCACTGGAGTCGAGCCGCCTGTTGCATCATTCAACGACCCTTACGACCTAGAGGAAGTGAACGGGAGGCTCAGGAGTCTCAAGCTGATAGTCGGAGTAAAGTGAGAAGAGGCAGCATGTAGAATAGTATTGTATTCACTGTCCACTCGTTTGTTTTCACTGTTGGGTTATGCTAACAATGTTACCAAACAATAATAAACTGCATGTATCTTTCTACCAATAAAAATGCATGTATCAAGCAAGTCGTTCGTTGGTAGCTCTTGCTTAGGAATGCAATAGCTGTGTCGATTCCCTTCTCGGGTTTAGACAAGTGAAGGCGTTAGCAACTGCGAAATTTCGCGAAAAAGCAGGTTCCCTTCTCGGGTTTAGACAAGTGAAGGCGTTAGCAACTGCGAAATTTCGCGAAAAAAGCAGAATGCGAATAACGGAGAAAGGAGTAGATTGCGAATGACGGAGAACTACATAACAACATGGTGTCTTGGCCAGAAAAGAAGGATCAATAGAACGATATGCTGTATAACAGTTTCCGTCGGTGCTTTGCTTCAAATGCGGCAATCACTTCATCAATTGACTCCTCCCATGACTCTGCTGCATCTTCAATCTGCAAAGGCAACGATGGGTTCAACAACTTTTAACTGTTAGCAATGGAGTGGGAAATAGAACGAACAGAAATAAGGATTCGTATGAAGCATGGAGAAACAAAATAAACTATCTCTACCGCTTGGCACAGATCTAGAGTCAGTCTAGCTCCTGCTGCTGCTTCCTCATGATTGTCTTTCACTTCCAAGTTGATCACTAGAACAGTCTTTAGAAGGACATGATCCCTGTTATGGAGGTCTGTAAACAGATTTATTTTCAACACCAGATAACTCAGTGGGTTTTCTCCATTGATCAAGAAACTACAACTTTCTACCACTATGTTGATCATTCAATATGGAGTGGGTTTATGCTACAGTAGGATCTGGTGGCGACATCCCTTATGCACAGTGGAAACGAGTTCTTGGCAAGTTTTGCTTGCTCTTTAACTCTACTGGGTTAATATATGAGCGAATAACGTTCTCGGCCTAGCATTACTATTGTATTCATGGCAGAAACTCAAACCAGACTCCTAAAACTAGGGTACCCAGAAACATTTAGCATAAACACTGGCCTGGAAAATGCTAATAAAGTGAGTGAATCTGCAGTGGTGAAACCTTTCTCAGCAACGCACAAAGAGCGAGTACTGTGATGTGAAGAAGGACCATAGTCAAAATACAAACCAAATGGAGTACTTTAAACTAGCAATTCAGGATGCTCCTACCTCAAACAACAGCTGCTAATCAATCATTTGATCTAGTACGACAAACATCTAATGCCCATTGCTTGTGTAGAATCAGTGGAAGATTTCAAAGCAAAATTCATCCTTACCTTCCACAACCATATCGAACACCTTTTCTTCAAATGAGAACACTACATCAAACGAACCGTCAGCTGCATTGTCTTGCCAACGTTGAGGTGCCAACTTGACAGCTGAGTTTCTTTTAAGCATCGGCAATATACCATTGCGCTTGTAACTGTAAAACAAAGTTAAGGTCGTCCAACTGACAAACACATGACAAGCAAAAGCAAAAAAACAGGTAGAGCTTCTCCAACCCTGACAAATGGCTCCCCATATGACCATTACCTTTTCAGTCAGGACAACGAGTACCAATAACAAACGAGGTCGCTCCAGCATCACCGGCTCAAGAAACAAGCTACCCTAATGATTTGAAGCCACTAAACAGCATATAGATAGCATGCACCGAAGATGTTCGAAGAAATTACTAAGAGAAGACAAAACCCAGAAGCAAAAAAGAAAGAGCGAGGGCAAAACTGAAAAAGGATACAGCTCGGGATCCTTCCGCCTGAGTTCCTCAAACATGTGCTTGTAGGGGGTTCCGAACTCGTAGATATTGGGCTCTCGAATGGAGGGCCCGGGGAGCTTCACATGAGCGCCGGTTCCATAGGAGCAGACATCGAAGCCGTTGCGCTTGAGCAGAGCGTGAGCTTCCATGCTCCGGTTCTGATTCGACGAACACACCATTGCATAGCGGAATTTCATGATTTTTTGTTTCGAATTGAAGTTAAGGTTAATGCGAGAAGAGTGATTTGAGAAGGATTGTGTAGCGCTGGGGGGAAAAAGGTTCGAACTTTAGCAGCACTAATTGGGATGGGGAGGAGGAGGAGGAAGTAGGGTTTTCGACTTGTGTGGAGTTTCTACGGTTTCTGTGATTCCGGCAGCTACCTGTCCGCCTTCCTACGACGCGACGGCGGCAAAGCTCCTGCTCGCTCCGAATCGGAAAGGGGAGCGAAGCTGCTTGGAGTATGAACTATGAATTACGGAAAAAGACGGGTGGTTGGGTGCGGTCGGGGCGCATATGAGAGCGGATTCCGCGATAACGAAATAACCACTCGTAAGACCATCTTCAAGGTTAGTGCTATAGAACAAGAATAAAAATTTGCTCTTCGACACCCACAACTAATGATGTTTTTGTTTGGTATTTGGGCATGAATTATTTAGGAAAATACTCAAACTACTATAAGTATGCTTAGAAATTAGAACGTATTGACAATATGAGAAAGACAAATTGACTAACAACAAAATATAACTAATAATGACCTATACGTTTACTAATAAAGTATTGTCTATTTAACTGTCCATAAATGAAAACACGAGAGTTATTTTATATAATACGTACACAATCAATCTTCACCATAAATCTTATTGTCATTTGATGGAGTTCATATATCCATGAAATACCCCCTCCAATTTCTATCTTCTTTGTTGATCATGACACCAGTTAAGATATTGAAATTATATGATTTGAATGAAAGAGAGCATTTTGGGGATTTGTAGTAACATCCCGAACCTTTTCCCACAACCAAGATATTGTCTGATTGGGTCGAGATGAGATCCACACGGTTTTTGCATTGGGATGCAATTCAAGGTGACTTCCCATAAGATCACGCATCCTTGTTGTACTCCACAGTGAGCACGTTTAACTTCAAAATTCTCACAAGAACTCCTCCATTTCACCCGAAAAATGCGTCTTGCCAGTGAAGTTTGGTTTCTTACCTATGAACCATGGATCTCTCTCGTGCTTTATCGATGTGAGATTCATTTAAGGAGTTACATACCCCCCCCCCCCATGACTCAACGTCATCGTTGAGGTTTGCCTCACGATCGTTCAAGAGGGACGCAGACATACTCTGATACCACTAGTAACATCCCGAATTCAAGATATTGTCCGCTTTGGGCCGAGATGAAACCCTCACGGTTTTTTGCCTTGGGATGCAATTCAAGGTGACTTCTCATAATATAATATGCTTGTTAATAAAGTAACGGTTTTGTTAACGGTCTTTTAGCGGTAATACCAATTAGACTAATAAAGTATGAATCGCCAACTACACTGATTCATGCTCCGGTTCTATTCTCGCAACAATGAGTTGTTCACATTTGTATATATTTTGTTAAATCGAGACGAATCGACATTATATCGGTTGTATCCCGGTCGAACCATTATCATTTGCCAAACGGCACAATATTATAAACCGATTTAACAACCTTCATTGTAAATCCACTCTTTTTTCTGATTTGTATACCCTCTAATATCTATCTTATTTACAAAATAAGTATTATACCAATTCTTAACCAAGATGATCAAACTTTGCGCTGCGAATTTTGTGGAGTTACTGACCAGCCTTCGGGCACAGTTGGACCAATTCCAATTCTCGGCGTCGGTGGAAGAGAGAGAGAGAAGAGAGCAGAGAAAAAAACGGTTTAATGTTTATTGCTTGCGGCCGCTGCTGATCCATTTCCTCAAATTTCTCGCTAACCTTATTTATTTTCCCTTCCACCACCAAATATGAATGAATGAGAACCCAGCCACCATCTTTGCTCTCCCTCGCCATTGACGCTTCTGTCCTCCACCTCTCTCACTTCCCCGATCTCTCCCCTCTCCCTGATCACATTCTGCTCGATCTCTTCCTGGTACTCTCCTTCTTCCAACTTTTCCTGCACTTACCTATTTGATATGTTGGTTTTGGCATATATTGGTTTTCGTTTCTGGAGCTTATTTGGTGATCCAAGTCTGAATCTTAATTGTTTTCATCTGTTCCTTTACTTTAGATTTCTGCCTTAGGGTTTGTATGGAGTCCGTAGATAGATAGTGTCGACGAGACTGGCAGTCTCGGTAGAAGGTAGTAGGCTGTAGTTTAGAACTATGGGATCTAGATCAGTAAAAAACCTAGAGGTTGGGCATTTCCCCCATTTCGATTATTGCAATATCTTACGATGTATGCTTTTATTGATGATCCATCAAAACTGGGTACGATGCTGTGACAAATTAGTGGGTGTTTTTATCTTCTCTATCTTGATTGGATTGCTATGTATCTTGAAATGTATTGTGAATGCTGGACATTTCTGATTCTCGATTTGGGTTAGGCTTTATTGTATGTGAATAGCGCTTTCTTAAGACGATCTATTGCGTCGGATTTAGACTAGTTTAGTTGAATCAAGCAGATCTGTAGCAGCTGCCCTGGAGTTGGGATACTTGGCCGGCTCGTAGTACTTAAAACATTACTTGGAAATCAACCTCAATGCTTATGATGCTTAGTTCTTGTCTTCTTGATTCCAAGAATTCTGATGGTTATAGTTAGAAAAGCTTAGATTGATTCTTAATGTCATTTTTGGTGACACCGGTTTATGTTTTGTTTTAAGAAGAAAACCTTGAGAGCTGGGAAGCTGAATGAGAAAATTCTGAAGCTTTTCTTGGCAACAGGCAAAGAAGAAGTCCTATCTCTTATTCAGACACTTAATATAAAACACATCCTGAATCCCGTCCTTCCCACCAGTGAGTATTTTTTTTTCCCTTCTGTTTCCTGAGAGGTGTAACTTGATGAACCTTGACCAAGTTTTCTGATATATTTGTTTTCCTGATAGGATGCTCAGAGAAATTCTGAGACGAATGCGCTAGGTTGCATATTGATTCAGTTGTTTCTAGGAGGGGGTTAAAGGGGAAGAAAACTATTTAATTGTTCCTGGAGTCTCCCAAGATGTCTGCAGTCAACAACATTGAAGATAGTGAGATTGACATTGTGATTGGAGCACTGCACTCCGACCTCAGGCCATTTATGAGTGCATGGAAGTCGATATTTTCTCGTTATCACTTGATTATTGTCAAAGACCCTGATCTCAAGGATGATTTACAAATACCAGAAGGGCTTCCGTTCAAGGTTGACATCTACACAAAGTCTCACATAGACAAAGTAGTGGGCAGTTCCACCTCCATTGTTTTCTCGGGTTATTCATGCAAGTATTTCGGCTTCCTTGTCTCTCGTAAGAAATACGTTGTCTCGATTGATGATGACTGCACGCCGGCCAAAGACTCCGACGGTTTTCTCGTAGATCCAGTGGCTCAGCATGTGAGAAACCTTGCAACTCCAGCAACACCTTTCTTCTTCAATACCCTTTATGACCCATATCGTAATGGGGCAGATTTCGTTCGTGGGTATCCATTCAGCTTAAGAAGTGGGGTAACATGTGCTTTGTCATGTGGGCTCTGGCTTAACTTGGCAGACTTGGATGCACCAACACAAGCCCTGAAGACGGAAAAGAGGAACTCCCGTTATGTTGATGCAGTGATGACCGTTCCAGCCAGAGCAATGATGCCAATCAGTGGGATCAACATTGCTTTTGACCGTGAGGCTGTAGGGCCTGCTCTATGCCCAGCACTGAGGTTGGCTGGGGAAGGGAAGCTGAGATGGGAAACAATGGAGGACATATGGAGTGGAATGTGTGTGAAGGTGGCGTGCGACCACCTTGGTCTTGGAGTGAAGAGTGGGCTTCCTTATGTGTGGAGGAATGATAGAGGTAGTGCCATCGAGAGCCTGAAGAAGGAGTGGGAAGGTGTGAAGCTAATGGAGGAAGTTGTTCCTTTCTTCCAATCAATGGTGTTGTCAAGAACTGCAACCAAGGTCGAGGATTGTGTGGCTGAGATGGCAAAAAGGGTGAAAGAACAATTGGGAGGTTCTGATCCAGGGTTTGGTCGTGCAGCCGAAGCTATGATGGATTGGGTTGAGCTGTGGAAGAAGTTTGGTTCTGGTCCTTCCCCAGTGTAAGAGATGGTAAGAAAGCTGATAGTTTCATTATTTCAGCCTTTCCAGTCAGTCTACATGGAACTAGAGAAGCTTAACTAGGACGGTAAAGTAGTTATGGTTTCCTGAGGTGGGTTGTTCAAACTCAAAGTAGCAGAGAAGTTACACTTGTTGCTGGTTGACGAGGTCCCGAAGCGCAGGGCAGTTTGTTTAGATGCAGTTCCACCCTTTGCTCCTGATGTTGGTCACTAAACTATACGCTTTTTACTTTTTAGTGTCTTAAATGATTTGTCTGTGAGCCTTTCAGTTTGTCAAATTTACTGTGTCATTGCTAATGGACAGTATTCAGTGTGTTCCTGTTCTATCCACATTTTTCATTTGGATAGCAATAAGAAACTTGTCAAAACAATTTGTTCTGTGTAGTTATGTACGTGAAATGGGAAGGCTACGAGTGCAAGGAATTGCTGAAAACAGCAAATGTTGTTGTTGCCAGCAACAGCCTTGACCTCTTCATAGCAAGGCTGTAACCCAACTGAAGTTGGTTGGACTACATGAACAATGAAAAAAGTCCAAATTCAATACATTATGGTCAAATCAGATTTGGTAATATCATTTTTGGGCATACTTATAATGGATACTTACAAGAAAATGAATATTCTATTTTAATACGACTTTTGTTTTCCTTTGTTCTGAAACAAACAACAATGTGGAAGCACCAACTTTGAAGGTGTGAATTTTGTTGAAGACGGCTATTAAGATGGTTGAGTTGACCGGAATTGGGCTCATTCCAAAATCAACCAAACCCAACACCATTAAAAATGCATATGAATCCATTTGGCTCCAATCTAATACCCATATGGGAGATAACAATTGGGAAATTATTGTGTAAATTATACATGTTTTTATATAGCTTTCAAGCCTTTTTGCTTGGTCATTTCGAAATGATTTTATGTTTTTGTCAGTTTTACGCTTGGTTTGTAGTTTTACTGTGTTTTAGCCTTTAGGTAATGACAAGTGATGTCGATGATATTTGGACGAGAAATACACAAAGTACGAAAGTTTTTGAGCCTTAGAGCATTTGGAATGCTCTTGGAGGGTATTTACCGAGGTTCCCACGGTTAGCCTCACATACGTGGGTTGGACCGTGAAAATTAGCTTGAAATTCCCATCAATCGCCAAATAAGAAAATTAATGTCGAGCAATTCACGGCCAGTGTCATGGTCGTGACTCGAGCCTTGAACACCTCATAGACCATGAATAGTAACTAAAGCTCCACCAAGCGACGTTGGACCATTTAGGGTATCGGGCAAGGATGTGAGTCATGGGTGGCCTCATGATCGTGACTAGGGATGCGATTCTGACCTAGCCCGATTTACCCGACCTGTTTGGCCTGTTTTGGGGCAGGTCAGGTGGGGCGGGCATGGGTACCTCTCAAAACCTTTTGTTTTTTCCTTGTTGGTTGCTCCAAAAGTTCGCACCTAAAGCCTCCTTCTTTGCAGTCGTGATCTTCGTTACAGAGGCTGCGATCTAGCTATCCAGCTTCGTGCCTCTATTCCCGGCTGTGATCTTCTATGCCTTTGTCGTGACCTTCAATTTTTGCACCTTTCTCTACACTTGTGCCCTCTTTTGATACCTAAAACATTCATAAAATCTAATTCACCCTAAAACGCTAATGATTGCTCTGAGGAACGAATATACAGTATAATTGACCATGTGTCAACCATGAAGAACTAGAAATTACTCGAAACAAACCTAAATATAGGCTCTAAATAACACCATTTTGGGTGTTATTCGTTTGTCTCTCCCTCCAACTTATTTACTGTGTCCATTGAGGACAATGTCCAGTTTAAGTGCTGGGGGATGAGTATCGATTGCTTATTCTTTATGCATGTGCGAATGTTGAATTTCGAACCTTATAGTCTAATCACTTGATGATTGAGTAATGCGAGTTGGATTCTTAATAGCCTATACTGATTATTGAGCGTATAACTCTTCCATCTCCATTACGAACAGAAGTCCTACCACGACGAGTCTACTTACAAGACATTGCCGATATAATAAATAAAACGGTAAATGCCAAGTGTGAGGCGACCTCTCATCGCACAAAATTGAGTTTTGGAAGAGATGCTAGTTGAATCTTGGTGGGGTAAGCCTATGAGACGATTCTAGTTCCTCTATAGCACGAGTAAAAGTTCCACCCTTATAGAGGACCGTCAACTTGAGGATGTGTTTTTACGTGCATAGGTAAATCTTCCGACAACCCTTGATTTCATTTACCCTATGCACGATCGAGGAAAAGAAGTTAAACGTATACCCTTATGCGAGTGCTAAACTGTCGAAATTGCTCTTACTCAATCTGGCTGCTAAAGCAAAAGAACCCCACTTGAGACATAAAATGGCGAAGCATGCATAAATCAAGATTGTCGTGAAGGTAGAGATGAACATAAAAGGTTAGTGGAAGCTACATGTGTTTTGGCCCAAATTTATCGTAAGACTCGAATTGAGGAAAGTACTTAGAATCGCATGAGGAAAATTAATTTGTCCTTTTGAATACGCTTCGCGCATCATTGCAAAGGTCATAGTTCTTTAAGTGAGAGGGTTAACCTTATAAGTTTGATATGACACTACCTATGATCAAAAGTCACGTGATATCGGGAGAGGCTAGTGAGTTGTATGATTAAGAGTTTTGGTCTGCATGGGGATAATACAAAGCTCAAGTGTGGAAGAATTTCGATAACACATACAAAGCACCATTCTTAACCCTCATACCGTGTGCCTTCATGATTATTGGTATGATCCATACTCTACTTTATGAGATATCAAGGTAATGACAATAAATGATTCACCGTTTCACCTTGTTCCTATGATCCGACCAAGCATGTGCCTTGAACGTTTCTAATGGCAAAACTTGTGTTTTGATGTTTTTTTAGAGCAAGCAAAGGCTTAAGTGGTTTCACCTTGTACCTATGATTCGACCAAGGGTATTTGATAACATGTAAATTATACATGTTTTTATATACCTTTCAAGCCTTTTTGATTGGTCATTTCGAAACGATTCTATGCTTTTGCCAGTTTTGCGTTTGTTTTGTGATAATAGTGTGTTTTAGGTCATGATGAGTGATTTCAATGATATTTGGACGAGAAACACACAAAGTACACAAATATTGGAGTCTTAGAGCATTTGGAATGCTCTTAGAGGGTTTTTCTCGAGTTTCCCACGGCAAGCCTCACAGCCATGGGCCAGACCGTGAAAATTAGCCTAAATACCCTCAATTGCCAAAGAAGAACATCAATCCCGAGCGATTCACAGCTAGTGTCATGGCTGTGACTCGAGCCGCGAACACCCCACGGGCCACGAGTTGTAACTGAAGCTCCACCAAAGTGGCGTCAAACCATTTAGTATATTATGCAAGGATGTGAGTCACGGGTGGCCTCATGGCAGTGACTGTACCCGTGAAAGTCATTATGCCTTAACTATTTAAGCATCATTAAGCCTAATTGAGAAGGGAGTTTGGCAACATAAACCCTAATATGATCATAAATGAGAGAGAGAGGGGGGGGGGGAGCAGAAGAAAGGTTTTCCATCCATTTTACCCAAAGGAGGCACCTTGCATCCGATCCAGTCTTCTATGATGGAAATCAGTTCTTCTTCTCTTCCTTTGTTCATTTTCCCATTAGTCATGAACTAATCTTCTCTTGTTGTTTGAATGAGATGAACCCTAGTATATGATACTGATTTGATTGATATTGCATGGATATTAATATTTATGATCTTTGATTTGTCTATTAATGATATTTCAGGTATGCAATAGAAGTGCATCTATTGTACGCTTGCATGTTTCATATGTATGTTGAGGAGAAGATCCCCATAGATGCGATAGAATACTCATAGATAAAAAGGACTTCAAACTACTAGAAGATGAAGGGAGAGGGACTTCTGGATTAGGGTCAGACCTAATAGGGGGGTTTATAGAGCGATAATCTTTAGAAGATCCAATCTAAGTCAAAGAGAATATCATATCTAGGTTAAATCGACTAACAGGGTGTCAATACATGAGAAGATTGACTCGCCTGTACCGTCACACTAGAAAGTGGCCAAGTGTAACCACCTACTAATGCGTATTATAGCGGGTTTAGCTTTAATTGTCAATCCGGGTCCTAGATGTGATGACTACTCCGTGAAGTTCTTATTATTTAGCGGTTTAACTGTAGTGAAGTATTAACTAAGCTAAACAAACACAAAGCAGTAAAGGTTGTGGTTCAAGTTTGAGAGAAGTCACCCAGATATGGTCCCCCCTATATTGCAGTTAAGTTTGGTTATAATTCTCCTAGTCCAAATTCAATGACAGTTATACTGCGGAAGGTTCTTATTCAGTCTGAAGTCTCGACTAAAGGTCTCCAGACCCTCTCAATCTGAATACCTGGAGGGCGACTAACCTCCACCGGAGTAAACCAACTGAGGCCTTAACGTGCAAAAACCTCCTCTATTGGAGTAAATCCCGTACAAAGTAGTGAATTGACTCCTCGACTTAAGTAGTCAATTCACCACCTCCAATTAAGGGTGCTCTATCAACCTAGGCATATATTCTCTTTCTAGGTCAAAGTAGGAACTACCAGAATTTGATCAGGATTAAGCAATTCAGAAAATCATGCCTCAATTGAATATAGTCAATTTCAAAAGATCATGTACTGGGGTTCATACAACCAAACCTAACATACAAATCTAAGGTTCTTCATACCCAGGTGAGAGAGAGAGTTTACTCCATAGAGAGAGAAGAGAAATTAGATTAAGATGCAGAAATCATCTTGTGGAGGATGGAAATCAGCTTCTGGTTATCAATCGATGCATCTCCAGGCTTCAATCGAGCTCCAATGATGTTGAATCTTGATTTAGGTCACCTTGAGATGGTTGTTCGTCACTTTCTCTCTCTAGATCTCTGTTTTTAGCTCTCAAACTCGATTCTCCTCTCCAAACCCGAAATTGGGTTTAAAACCCAGCACTGCTCGATTACACGACCAGAACACACGGCCATGTAAAACCCTGGTCTGACCGTGTAAAACAAAACGTCGCGTTCCAATTAGTTCTCCGCATACTCTACACGGCTAGCGCATGGCAGTGTAAAACGACCACTTGCCCGTGCGGATCTCTAGAAATCACCCACGACCAGAGGCGCCCTTGCATGGCCCGTACAACACCTGGTCGTGTGAACCTAGTCACACGGCCACACTGCACGACCATGTAACTCCAATGTCTGGCCGTGTAAATCCTTCAGCTTCTCCTCGATCATCCTAACTTCGTCCAATCGACCCCGAATTCGTGTCCAAACCTCCATTCAAGTACTAGGACCTGAAACATCACCAACATGAACAACCTAGCGTGAAATCAGCTTAAAACAGGAGAAACGAGCTTCAAACAATATAAGAATGGTGGTACAAACGTGTGCAAATATCGAGTTATCAAAGATCGATTTAATACCAATTCTAGACACCTACAGTCAAAGAGTATAACATCGAGTCTATGCATGTTCAATTGAAAAGTTATGATTAGATAGGGAGATTCAAAGTCTGAATAACGCATTCTCTATATAAGTTTGCATCGTAGTCACATTTTTTCTTTGTTGAATTTCATTGTCTAGTTAACTGAAATAACTGAAGAGAAATCAGTTAAATAATAAGAAACACAACTCAGTAGTAGTAATTCATAGTCTCTGTGGAATACGACATTGTTTTGCTTGTCACTGTATTGCCTCTATGAAAGGTACAATTGCTTTAAGTAGTCGCACTTAGAAAAAGACGATCAACGGCTTGAGGAATAACCAGATCAGCATCAACAACAGTTGGAGGAACATTCCTCAGACGATTGCCCTCGCCAACTTCAAAAAGTTGAGCCCAATTGGCCTGCGATGGATTGGTCGGAGCGGCCATAACCCGCCGATTCGGTTCAAATATGTTTTATATATGATTAAATTCATTTATGTTAATAGGTTTTTACATTTCTACATATATATATTATTAAACCAGCATGTGCCGGTACAAAATCGACTATGCAAGTAATTGAACTTTTCCACTGGTTAAATCGGGACAACGATATAAACTAGTTTGACAGGATCTCAGGGGTGGAGGGAAGAATCAAGCGATAACTTTTTTAATACATGCGGTTTGGAAATGCCGATTGCCGAACGGTTTGTCCAGTTGTGGCCGGCCTTAATCCATTTTTGTGGTGTAATTAAAAAAAGTGGGGAGACGAGGACAAGACTCAGAGAATCGGAAGCAGGCGGAGAAATTGGTTGTAGGTGAAAAAAATGCAAAGATTCCCATTTTGTTTTCGTGTACCGTAGCGCGCTCTTAGCTCGTAGCGAAGAAGTGGCAGAGACCTTTCGTCTCCCTCGTTTCTTTCCTTCCTTTACAAAACTCCTTCACTCCTTCCCGTTTTATCGTTAACAAGATTTTTATGTGTCTGTACTGAAAGCTGACACCTCGCTTCCGTCCCCTGCGGAGTCCTCTGCCGCTCTCAAGGTCCACCGTACGGCCATGGCGGCTGTAGCTGCTGCCAATTTTCACTCCTTTCAATTCCCTTCTTCATCCGTCGCCGTTGCGGCCTCTCACTCTTCCTCCAAGGCCAGCGTCCACTTCAGCGCCTTCAAACCCGCATTTCCCGCTGTTCACACTGGTGCTTACTGTTTGAAAAGTTGCCGTCTTTCCCAATGTCCATATGTGGAGGGAATTTCCGCTGATTCGTGTGTTTTTTTTTTCTGGGTTGCAGGGAAGTCGAGGTCTTTCAGCGTTATCTCCTGCGCTGCTTCGAATGGTAGGAAACCGGAGTCGGCTGACGGTGGGTCGAAGAGTGAGAAGAAGATTCTTGAAGAGAAACGGCGCGCCGAATTGTCGGCTCGAATTGCCTCTGGAGCGTTCACTGTCGAGGAATCTGGGTACGATTCTACTCCCACCTGAAAATTTTGTTGGGAATTTCAGATGGGATTGTTTGATACTTATGGTGTATACCTGTGTGGATGATTTTGATCCTCTTTTTTTTTTCTTTTTCAATTTGGGTCCTAAGTTTTCCATCCATTGTAAAGAATGGATTGTCGAAATTGGGAGTTCCAGATGGGGTTTTGGAGGTGATGTTCAAATGGGCTGATGCCAAACAGGATTATCCAAAGATCCCAGAAGCTAAAGGCGCCATTAGTGCCATCAGGAGTGAGGCCTTCTTCATACCCTTGTATGAGCTTTTCCTCACATATGGCGGAATTTTTCGGTTGACTTTTGGTCCAAAGGTTTGTTTTTCCCTCTTTCAGTTTCGTCTATCTTGTGCTTTTTTGAGATTCTATCTTGTGCTTATTGAATCTCAAAACTTTTCCTCACTTTTGCAGTCATTCCTTATTGTTTCTGATCCTTCCATAGCAAAGCACATCCTAAAGGATAACTCGAAGTCGTATTCTAAGGTAACTAGTTGCAATGCCTCTCCTTCCATTCATTGATTTATGCTAGCAATTTGCCTGTTGAGCTGGTCTTTCGCATCAATATGCCAGGGTATTTTGGCAGAAATTTTGGACTTTGTCATGGGAAAAGGATTGATTCCGGCTGATGGGGAGATATGGCGTGTTAGAAGACGAACTATTGTCCCTGCATTGCATCAGAAGGTATCTTCCTTTTCTACTTATTTCAGTTGACTTTAGAAAGCTAGTTGAACTTTCGCAATTTGACTATATTTACATGTAATGTAATTTTATGGTTTTCTTCTTTTCTATAGTATGTAGCAGCTATGATTGGCTTATTTGGACAAGCAACAGACAGGCTTTGCAAGAAGCTAGACACAGCGGCATCAGATGGGGAAGATGTGGAGATGGAGTCACTTTTCTCGCGTTTGACATTAGATATCATTGGGAAAGCTGTTTTTAATTATGATTTTGATTCATTGACTAATGACACTGGTATAGTAGAGGTAATGCCTTTGGCTTCTCTGCAAATGATGTTCTTTCGTCAAATTTTGTGGTTCTTGTTTTGTAGTGTTCTTCAATCAGAAGGCATATATTTTGAATGCTTCACATGCTTATTTGTGTATCTTTTGGCTGTTCCATCAGGCTGTTTACACAGTTTTAAGAGAGGCAGAGGATCGAAGTGTTTCGCCGATTCCTGTGTGGGAGATCCCTATTTGGAAGGACATCTCACCTCGGCAAAAGAAAGTTAATGCAGCCCTCAAATTGATCAATGGGACACTTAATGAACTGATTGCCATATGCAAGGTAACAGCCTGGGTCACAGTAAAAGTAAAATAAAGAATGTACATGTCGTATGCAGTAACATATTAATACAAATAAGTTTAGTTGCTCATATTTTTGCCCAATTCCGTAATCACTGTTTCTTTTGGGTTTGATCACCTGTAATCTGTATGCTGCTACTTAATTACCATTATTTACTGGTATTTGTTACTAAGATCACTCTTTATGATCCGACTCCATGAAAGCGTCCTGAATTTATTTATATTTTTAATGAGAGTATTGATCTAAGCCTTTTATTGATGCTTTTCTGCAGAGGATGGTGGATGAAGAAGAGCTACAGTTTCACGAAGAATACATGAATGAACGAGACCCCAGCATTCTTCATTTCTTGTTGGCTTCAGGGGATGATGTATGTGCTTTCTGGCAGCAGCTAATGAATTTGGTGCTGGATCAGACAAATATGAAGGTTACCATTTTTTTGGCAGGTTACTAGCAAGCAACTCCGGGACGACCTGATGACGATGCTTATAGCTGGACATGAAACGTCTGCTGCAGTGTTGACTTGGACATTTTATCTCTTATCCAAGGTACGTATTAACTCCAACTACTTCCTGTTCTACACAATGGTTAGTACTTTCCTGACTTATATTCTGTCTTCCAATGACTGTAGGAGCCAAGTGCTTTATCAAAATTGCAGAATGAGGTAAGCTTAGACTTGGATAATAAAGTTTCTTCTAATTTCATGTGCATACAGATTACCAGAATATAACCGTTCCTTTTCTGTTCACTTTCTTTATCAGGTTGATGCTGTTCTAGGTGATCGGTACCCTACCATAGAAGATATGAAGAAACTCAAGTACACAACTCGAGTAATCAATGAGGTATGAATGTTGAAAATCACAGTTGAAAGTAAACTCATCCAGTATATCTATGTACTTCTCACAAAAGAACTTGTTTTTCCATGGCGCGTTCTTTAGTCTCTTAGGCTCTATCCACAACCCCCAGTCTTGATTCGTCGATCTCTTGGGAACGATACACTCGGAAAGTACCCTATAAAAAGGTTTTACTCCCTGCTTGCTCTGTGTTCATGCTGATCCTTTTACCTAGTTGATGTGCATTTTTTTGCTGTTGCATTTCCATTAGCAAAGTTGACTGCTCAAACCTTTTTGACCTTTTTTGACATGTGATGGTTACTGTTTCTTGGACAGTGGTGAAGATATATTCATCTCAGTATGGAATCTCCATCGGAGTCCTCATCATTGGGAGGATGCAGATAAGTTCAATCCCGAAAGATGGCCTCTGGATGGACCAAATCCAAATGAAACGAATCAGAACTTCAGGTATTCATTATGTTCAGCTTGGGGTCTCATGAATGCTTTACATAATTTAACTAGTAAATGACGTCTATCCACACAAAAACTGTATTGCAGTTACTTGCCATTTGGTGGAGGGCCAAGGAAATGTGTAGGAGACATGTTTGCTACCTTTGAGGTATAATTCTTTTCAGCTCTCAGCATCTTTTTTACTCGCTGTTTTAGAACCTGATGAAAGATGCAATATGGTGGTCATTGTTACAGACAGTAGTTGCTGTTGCTATGCTGGTTAGAAGATTTAACTTCCAAATGGCACTCGGAGCACCTCCAGTGAGTACCTTTTACTTTTTTCAATATGTTTCACTTCCATGAAAAGATGACAGCTTTTGAAGCACGTTCAACTTACTGAACAGATGAAATCTATTTCCAAGAAAGCAATCACGAGAATTCTGTATGGCTGACTCGTGATGTTTGATTACAACGCAGGTGGAGATGACGACAGGGGCTACGATCCACACGACACAAGGTTTGAAGATGACAGTGACAAGAAGAATTGTGCCTCCAATAATGCCCTCTTTGGACACACAGTTATCGGAAGTGGACTCATTACCATCATCTCCATCGTCGTCGTCATCATCATCATCATCTGTTTATGTTTCTGGGGGCTAAACTCTGAAGTGCAGGGTGAAAAGTTTATCCCGTCCATTCATGAGGTTCCAACCTTACACGCCGTAGTAAATAGAATATCATTCAGATGATTTATCAGACTGCAGAGTGAGGAAAATGAATCGAATAGATGACAGAAAATGGGTAAAAGAAATGCAGAAATGCAAGTTCTTAAGGTAATCACATTGTTGGAGGATATCGCAGAGACGGATATCTGAAGGAGATTGGGATGTATAACTTGCAATTCTGCGAATCCAAGTTCTCCATTCATGGTCCTCTTTGGGCAATCTAATACATGTTTGTTTATCAAAGAAGAAAGGATTAATAGCTCTTTGTGCCCTTATATTTTGACCTGTTCAAGCCAGTTGGCGGACTGAAAAATAAAAGCTAAAAAGGAAACTTGCAATTTGCTAAGGCAGGCGCGAATCAGTGTAAACCCCAGAAACAGTGAACTATAGCAATTTCCCTTATCTCAAGTTTCAAGTATTTCTACCTATAGCAGCATTGTTTTACATATACACATACGTTTTACAAATGCACCTCACGTAATTTCGTAAAAGTTCGATTACAAATAAATGCACACAAACAGCTCCAAAGTATCCAATTTCTCATTTAACGCCTGTATTCATCGCCACAATCACCGATCACTTCCATCAGATCCCTCCCTTTCTTGCTCACTTCCAGTATGCTGTTCACGTCTTCTTCATCCAGTTCTAAAGCAAACACGGCATTCGAGTCTTTGACATGTTCTGATAAACCAAGCCGAACGCCTACCATCGACCCTGCCACTGCTGGCTGCAATGTTTTGGTCCCAATATACGTAGTATCAGGGGAAATCAACAAAAAAGGGTAAAAGAGAACAATGTGATGGATTGTCGCATTGGGGCATAGTTTAGTTTAGTTTAGTTTACCTGATCTAGTATGTACTTCACGGCAACGGTGGGAATGGAGACGCCATGTTTGGAGGCTACTTTCTTAAGGGTCTTCAACAGAACTTGGAATTGACCCCATCCTCCCCATGCATCTACCATCTGCATAAAAAGATCATAGTTTGAAGCTTGTGTAGATTTTGACAACAGAGGCGTACTAAAAGGATTTGAAGGTGTGATCAGGTTTTTACCCTTTTGTACTTCTGAAGCGAAGGAGTGTTCAGAGGAGGACCGGCAAAAGGGATGGATAAGTTGGTATCTAAGAACTTCTCAGATAACAGCCCTCCCATTACAGTTCCATACCTGGATCCACAAATGGATGACCATATTAATAGTAATAATAATTTTCAGATATTGATGGACATTAAGAAGCAAGCAAAAGGAGAAAGGATCACACGTTATAAGTTTAACTCCAGTGGCTTCACATAGCTCTGCCATTTTCTGCTGAGGTCGCATGTCAACAATCGAATGTTGCACCTAAGGGGATCCAGAAAGCAATCCTCAGAGTTCAATCAATAAAAAACGCACCTCAAGAATGATTTGCAGCCGCTCAGTATCGAAATTTTGTTAGTTTTCCTAAAGCACCTGGTTGCTGACTATTGGGATTCCGTTCTCCAAAATGATTTGCAGCCGCTCTGTATCGAAATTTGTCAATGCCACAGTCTTGATTTTACCTGCACACAACTTGATAAATGAATTTCCATCAAATAAAGTTAATAGAGATTCTCCTGGTAGGCAGAAATAACTGGAAAAGAAAAAGATGACCAACCTTCCTCTTTCAGGTCTGTTAGGTGTTTAAGGGCGTCAAGGTAACCTGAATTGGAGTAATCCCACCTGTATACGATTCGACATTCACAGAGTTTAGGGCAAGCAATCTCCTAGAAGTAACCACTAGATTCAACACAAATGTAAAGGCGGAGCACTAGTTCAACTCTGGAGAACAAAAGAAAGGGAAATATTTACCAATGGAACTGAAGCATGTCCAAGGACGACACATCCATTCGTTTGCGGGAAAGGTTGATGTTCTCCCTCACGTAATTGCTGGTCATCTTAACAGGTGGAGGCACCCACTTAGTAAGCCTGCAGAAAGCAGAATAAAAGAATTACGATACAAAACAAAGCCTTGACATGAGGTCCCATCCTCTTTAACTCCAACAAAAATTAATTTCAGGCGAAAAGTTAATGTGGAATGCATTAAGTATTATCAACAGATGCTAAGCTTGCAACTTACCCTCGAATTTGCTCCAACAACTCTGGCGGACGCTCTCTGCGAACTCTGTTGATAAACATACCATACAGATCCTCAGCAGGACCATCTGCATTAATTAACAAGGTGACTTTAGCTCATCAATCTACACCTTATTCATCAGAGAGTTTAACTTAACACAGAAGACCTAAAACTCGAGGGAAGTGTACATATATCGGCCATGTCAAACGTATTGAGCCCAGAATCAACATGTTTGATCATGGCATCAACTGCATTGTCACGTTCGATCTTGCCCCACCCGCCACTAGTCTGCCACATCCCATTCACTATCCGGCAAATATCCAATGAATCCTTTCCATTCTTCACCACAGTTCTCCCCTCTTGTTTACTTGACACACATTGTATCATTGGCCTCCAACTGCAGCTTCTAGTTTTAGCTACCACTCTATTCCCAACAGCTTGTGTAGGACTAAGAGCAAAATGGGCCAGTGGATGCTGTAGTAATAACCCTGCCATATTTCCAGCTTAAACTAACTCTCCCCACTATCCAAAAGAGCGAGATTTCTCTCCAGAAGAAAACGGGTTGCATCTTATCTGCACTGCTCTCAGCTTCCACCATCGGTTGAAATTCTTGTGTTAACAAAAATGCCACGATGCCAAATATGGAAAAATGTCCTTCATTGATCAACTACGCATTTTATGGGGGGTCACGTGAGGAAATAGTAAATCTACAGGGATGTATTTGTAAGAAAACAAGATAGACCTCAGTCCAATTAGCTGATGACACGTAGGTCGAAGGGGAACGGAGCTTACAGTGGTCGGCCATGTCGAAAGTGGAAAGCCCGGCGTCGGCGTACCGGAGCATGGCTTCAACGGCGCCGTTTCGGTCGATTGCTCCCCATCCTCCGCTCGTCTGCCACATGCCGTTAAGGACTCGGCTTATATCCAGCGAATCGCCGCCGTTCTTCAGCGTCACTCGTCGGGCCTCCGCCTCGGCCGTTCTTCTGGATGAATCTTCCGTCTCAGCTGTTGAGACGGAGCACCGGACTGCGCCAATTCGGACTCGCTGGGAATTCCGGCGGGTCGTCGCCGTGTTGAATTTCAAGGCGTCGAGGTTATGTGTAGTGAGATGTACGGAGGCCGACATTTTTTTACTTGCGACGGCCAGACGATGAGAAGAGGAAGAGACTCGCTAGCTCCAGAGAGCCCGACGGACGGTAATGAAGATAAGAGAAGGTGATTTGGAATTGGATGAGTGTGTAAATTCCATTTTGGTCATGAAACTCCTTGAGATGTTTATTATTAGACACTGAGCTCATTTTTTGAACAATTAAATGGCCAAACTCATTCTAGAGAAAAGATAGAGGATCAACCTGTGAAAAATAGGGTGCAATTTCATTTTTTGTAACTATTTTTTTTTTATATAATTGACATGAAGCTGATGCGTCGAACACATGAATTGAACTGATAATTAACTTGCGTGTTAAGACTAACTTTAACGCAAAGTGGCTATAATTTTGTGAGGGTTAAAGACACATTTGGTCACTGACAAGGTTGTCAACCTGGGTCGACCCAATTTGACCCTGACCCGGTGAGAAAAGCGGGCCGCACGCACTCGTCGGGCCGACCGCTATTAGGTACCGGGTTGGAGGTCAAATTGTGTCATTTTTTTTCTTTAGTTTGCGAAATGCGCCTATTTTCCAATTTTTCTTTTCGCCTAACTCAATCTTTGGAATACTAAGTTGAACATTTGAATATTTATGTTATATAAGTGTGTGTGAATTTTCATTATATGTTGAATCTAAGTACGATATGTTATTTTGGTGTAATATTATATGTTATAACTCATATGTTAGATAAGATTTGATATAATTTATGAGGATAAGTACAATATAATGACTCTTTCTATATTTCCGGGCCAAACCGGGCTAAAACGGTTGACCCATTAACCCTTGACCAACTAGCTCGACCGGGTCCGGGTCAACCCGCGGGTTGACAACCTTGGTCACTGAGATTACAAAATCGGGACATGTTTAGTCACTAGAAAAAGTTAATATCAAATTTGGTCACTACAATTACTAAAACTGGACGCATTTAGTCACTCGCCGTTAGTCTCCGTCCAACTCCGTTAATGAAGTCCGTTAAGTGCTGATGTGGCAAACAGAATTGCCTAATCAGCCGGACATAACCCAACAAAAATAAAACCCGACCTGCCACGTCATTAAAACCAACCCTACCCAACCCTTCTTCCTCCTTCCTCCCACCTCCTTCTTTCCCCAAAACCACAGCCGCCGCCGCTCTCCTCCTTCCTCCCACCTCCTCCCGCAAACCTATTCGACCAAACCCAGAAGACCAATCCTCCTTTTCTCTGTTCCTCTCTTCCCACCAGAAAACCCTAACCAAATTGCCCAATCCCTATATTTCCGAAACCCTAAAACACCCCGATTTCCCTCCCCAATTCCTTACCGTCTCCTCCTCACTTCAATCTGAAGCATCCCACAGAGATGCCGAACAACGACAGTCAATCCTCGTCGGCGGCATTCCCGTCGATTTCCTCGCCGTCCTCCGCAACCGCCGCCGCGGCAGCCGGCATCCTCCATTCCTCCTCCTTCAGAGTCCCGTCCTCTTCCTCATCGATCTTCTCAACTCCATTCGTCCTCACCTTCTCCCTCCTCCTCTCCCTCCCGATCCTCTTCCTCCTCACCCCGCGAATCCTCCCCCCGCGGCTCTCCTCCGTCCCAATCTCGCCCTCCGACGAGCTCGAAGACCTCTCGCTCTTCCGCCGCGCGTCCGCCACTCCCACCACCCGCCTGCCTTCTTCCTTCTCCCACCTCGCCGCTTTCAAGCCCAAGCTCAAGATCGCGTTCCTCTTCCTGACGAACTCCGATCTGCAATTCGCGCCGCTCTGGGAGGTGCCGAGGTGGGAGGAAGGAGGAAGAAGGGTTGGGTGGGGTTGGGTCATGGGTCAGTTTTAATGTGGTGGCGGGTTATAATGACGTGGCGGGTCGGGTTTTATTTTTGTTGGGTTATATCCGGCTGATTAGGCAATTCTGTTTGCCACATCAGCACTTAACGGACTTCATTAACAGATTTGGACGGAGACTAACGGCGAGTGACTAAATTAGAAGTTGATCTGGTGGCGGAGGGAGATGGTGGTCCGACGGCGGCGGAATTAGAAGGTGGTCCTGCGGAGGGATTACTTGTTCCGAAAAGAACGTCCGTCGGAGGGAGAAGGATTCCTTCCTTCACAATCGCTGGATGGAGGCTTCGGCTGTGCGGTCAGTGCGAGAAGAATAGTCCAAGGTGTTTGACAGCGGGAAAAGGAAGAGTCGCAGGAGTAGTAGGCACGATGAAACACAGGGTATTTTGGTAATTTCCGAACCCAGTTAACGGTGAGAAAACAGAATTTTCAATAAAAGGGTATTTTCGTTACGTCGTAATAGTACAAGGGCACCATTGTGCAAAATCATAGTACAAGGGTACGTTTGTTACATCGCAGGGGCAGAAAATACTATTAACCCTTTTAAAAATTCGTTTTGACTAAAAAATAATATTTAGAAAAGGAAAATACAAATTGCAGACGGCAGAAGGAGAGAGCGGGGCGAGTGTGATTTCAAAAAACGGCTCCTTGGTTTCCATCTCTCTCAAGTCTCAACCCACTTTCTCTCCCCCAACGGACATTTTGGTACCGGCGAGCGACGGGAGCCAGAGATGACCGATCAAGCTCACAATCAACCGGAGGCGTCTTCGTCGGCGACCGAGGAAGCTCGCAATCAATCGGAGAAAATTGCCGCCCCATACGGGCAGTGGTCGTTGAACAACTTCGAAATCGGGAGACCACTGGGAAGAGGGAAATTCGGCAGAGTCTATGTCGCTCGAGAAGTCAAGGTAACCTTTCCTCTTTCGATTAGACATTCTCGTCGCTTGTTTCCACAGATCATCCCTCAGGAACACAGAGAGTAATTACTTACAGTGGAGATTTTTTCACCTGGTTGAATTTCTAGAGCAAGTACATTGTGGCGTTGAAGGTGCTCTTCAAGGAGCAAATTGAGAAGTACCGCATCCATCACCAGTTGCGAAGAGAGATGGAGATCCAGTCCACCCTCAACCATCCAAATGTTCTGCGCCTCTATGGCTGGTTCGACGACGACGACAGAATTTACCTTATACTCGAGTACGCTCACGGCGGTGAGCTCTATGGTGTGCTGAGGGAGCGCGGCCACTTGACAGAGAGAGAATCTGCCACGGTGATGATCCAACACATTCCAATTTCAATTTTCGTTTTTATCTGCTGTGCATTTTGGTTCTCGGAGCTCGTTAGGGTTTCTAACCTTTGTGTCTCGGCCATTGTAATTGTATTTCAGTATATTGCAAGCCTTGCGAACGCCTTGGCTTATTGCCATTCGAAGGATGTGATTCACAGAGACATCAAGCCGGAGAATCTCTTGCTGGATCATGAGGTACACGATTTTGAATGTATGCCTGGATTTCGCTTACCAGAAGAAATGAGCATCTGGGTTTTTCCCCAAATTGAGCTTAAGTTGCAGAAATGGAGCTCTTTCTGCTAAAAGTTGAGCCATTTATTGAGCTATTTCCAATTGGGTTTTCGTTGTTGCGACTGCTTAAAGTTGAGTCACAGTTCACACCAAAAAAAAAGTTGAGTCACAGTTTGAATGCCTTGATTTTTGTATACCAGAAGAAACTAGGCATTCGGTCTTTCCAAAGTGAGCTGCAGTTTGTAGTCTATATTTCCAAAGGGACGTTTGAGCTTCGTTGTGCAGTTTGTTTCCATTTGTAAGGTTGATTTCTTTTGTAGGGTATACAACTCTGTAGTTTCTTTGTGGTGCCTTGTGGTCCCTAAGGGCACTGTAGTTCTCCTATGGCGAACAGTTTATCGTTAGTCTTCAATTTAATATATTTTCCCGCCATTGTTACAGGGTCGTTTGAAGATTGGGGATTTTGGGTGGTCGGTACAATCGAGAAGCAAGAGGCATACCATGTGTGGAACTTTGGATTATCTAGCTCCAGAGCTGGTGGAAAACAAGGCTCATGATTATACAGTAGACAACTGGACATTGGGTGTACTTTGCTATGAGTTCCTCTATGGTGCTCCTCCCTTTGAAGCTGCGAGGCAGAATGATACCTTCAAAAGGTAAAAACGTGGATCCAACCATTTTTGTTGATTTGAATGCATTGGCAAAGTCGTTTACTGTCAAACGAATCCTGCAATTTCAGGATCATGAAGGTTGATCTTAACTTCCCGTCTAATCCTCCAGTCTCGAAAGAAGCCAAAGACTTAATTAGCAGAGTAAGTTTTTCTACATCTGAGCTCTTCTCATTTTGAGCATTTGCATGTATTGATGAGAAAGTATCGCCCCGCATATCGGGTAGTCTTGTGGTAATGGAGTCCTGTAAATGTCTTTGCAGCTCCTTGTGAAGGATTCTGCAAAGCGTCTCTCTCTTAAGAAGCTTATGGATCATCCATGGATAATCAAGAATGCAGACCCAAAAGGTGCGTGTATCCAGTAGACAGTGGATTCCACATTTTAGAGTTTGATATTCGTGGAATGAGCGAGAGGCTTTTAGGATGCAGGGGTTTCTTTTGTGTGGTTTTGTTTCTGAATACAAAGCCAGTGTTACTTATTGCTGCTATTGTTGTAGTAGACAAGGTTGACATTAAGTAAATTGCAAAGCCTGTCAGCTTGATTTATTTAATTAACTCCCATGCTAATGTTTAACTGTTATCTATCGGGAAACAGAGTATTAGCTATCACATTCAAAGAAAAGGAGAACAATCTTTGATAGTTTCTTGAGGTATCCCAACCACTTTGATCTCATTGGTGTTGTAGAGGAAGGCTTGGATGTGCCTACGTGGGTGTGAATAGTGCTGGAAGTTTGGTACCGGTATTTGGTATATACCGAATACCGTATTGAATTTGTCTATATTTGGTATTACCGAATACATGTATTATTTCTTGGAATTAGGATTGGGATTGAATTTCAATTGTTATTCGGTATTAGGGATTACGGTGTTCATTTTTCAATTGAAATTATTCAATGAACATATAGGTCGTTTGGATGTGGAAATGTAATGCAGTAATTGGATCCAATTACCACATAACGCAGTAATTGGGTTAAAAATCCATGTTTGGGGGAGCAAAAATGGTATGGAAATTGGCTTCAATTACCACATTCATGGTAATTGAGAATACTACACCTCCCCCTAGTAATTTGACATTACCACGTTTTCTTACTTCTTTTTTCAAATTCCACACCATCAATTCCCACAAAACTAAACCCTATCCAAACGTGAATTTTTTTTCAATTTTCACAAGTCAATTCCTTGATTTTGTACAACATGGAAATTCAGACAAATTTCAACGTTTTAAAATTTCCACATCCAAACGACCTAATGTCTCAATCACATAGCATCAATTTTGCATGCAATGTATTCCCTAAAACATAGTTCAGATGTACTAGTAATCAAATCTCAACACACTCCTTGGGGTAAAAGCAGTTTTATGGGCCTTTTCATTTAAGTAGCATCAAATAACTCACATTGTGCTCGAGGAAATAAAAGCAAAATCATGCGATCCAGATACAGAATCACCTTTCTTATCTACAGATCAAACTCGAAAAACAAAGTATCAACAGGTTTTCCATCTCGCCTTGTTCATCCTTGATGCAAGAGGGAATTCAGGTCAGGTGACTTGCCTCCAAAAACACGACACTTGACACAGTAATACCAGAAACACGATTTCACACATCAGCAAATCACTGCAATGGCTGCACTACTGGCTTTACTGCAGCACCAGTGAGAAAAGGGCTCTCACCACTTGTGGTTTTCGGAGATTGCTTGTTCGCGAGCTATTAGCTGAAGGCAATAACTTGCACTTACCCCCAAAATTGCTAGCCACTGAAAGGCGGGATCACTATAACTTCTCTATCTTCAACGTTCAACCACGTCAAGTTGCAGGCTTTTGCTTATTTTGGTGTTCCATTTGCTAGCCCATCCATAATTTCAGTACGCGGTCCTTACCTCCTGAAGCTACTTTCTCACCATCGGGACTCCAATCAACAGCAAATACCTAACTCCCAATAAAAGATCAGAAAGCATTAGGGTTAGTCACCATTATTATCAATAAATTCACAGTTAGTGACCCATAATGGATCAGTTGAGCAAGCAAGTGCACACCTCATCCTCGTGGCCTGGAAGATCTTGCTTCAACTTCCGGGTGCGTATATCCCATATCTAGAAACATGTAGAAAAAAAAAATTGAAGCTCTTATCCAAAAGCATAAGAATTTGAGGAAAACATGATGTTCAGAGAAGATAAATAGAACACCGAGGAAAAAAATTAACATAATTTACCTTCAGCGTCGAGTCCTTGCTCCCGCTCAGTAGAAGCCTACTGTCAGCAGACCAGCTACAGAAAGGTCAAATTAGTAACTAGACAAGATTAATGAACACGAACGGCCAAAAAAAAACAATTAAGTGTCTCGCTAACCTGATTTGATAAACAGGACCAACATGGCCTCTAAAAGACGCAACAAATTGCCCTGTGATGCCGTTCCACAACTTAACAGACTTGTCGAAAGATGCACTAGCCACCCATTGGCCATCAGGTGAAAAATAAACATGATTTACAAGCTGCAGCATGCAACAGGTTCTCCATTTAATATGCGAAAGATGTAGAACACCTATGAATTCTACAATTGCCCTCATTACCCAAAAAAAGCTATATATATGCCGCAAAGTAAATCAATGTAAGCACAAGAACAAGTGGCTATAAACTTTCTTAGAAACAATCTACACTGTTGTTGGCAGACATGAGATACAGAGGGATTTTCAGGTGAGATATAAAGAATGTCATGGCCTACAATACCATAACGAAAGCCCAAGTGACGACTAACAGCTTCAACAAAGTCACAAGGCCTCAGCCTGGTTGGCAGCAACAGGTGGACAGACCATCACAGATAAAGCACTACCAGATACCATCCCTTCAAAAAGACCAACAAGAACTGCTATCAGAATTGTAGCAGCAATGCCATAATACCTGTTGATGACCTGTCATACGAGTTTTAGGGTGTTTGCTAGTAGCAGGTTCCCAGAGGAACATGGTGAAATCATCAGAACCTGAGACGAGCCTTTCAGAGGCGTTGCCTTTCATTTTGTTGTATCTTTCTAAAGCAACCTACAAGCATATGAACGGTACTTAGCGCTTACGGAGGTATATTTAACATTTTGCGCGAGGAACAATTCATGCTAAAGATGAGCACAGGAGATTTCTGCAACAACAAAATAATGATGTACCTGAACCTAAGACAAGGATAGTTCGAGCAGAATATTCATACATGCACGGATGATGCTTGCTGAGAGATACATGGGGCTCAAAACTAGAGAATAGTAAAAGCTAACCAGGAAGTAGTAATTTAAGGTACCTTTTTCATTTCCTCGGGTGACGAGTATGTTCTCCCAGTATGATCATAAGCTCCTGTTCGAAGCACATATTCGGTACTCAATGCAAGTGAGTTAACCCAATGGCCATGACCCTGGAAAAGTATCATATGAGAAAATTACAGAGCAGGTCAAATAGATTAGAGAAATACAAAATAATAAATTGAGCTTTGAGCAGGAAGATTGCAGCCAATCATTTGCCTATTGTTGAACAGGAAGATTATAATGGTGTCATAAATGGAGCTCTGAGGAAATAAGCCATAAGCCATCCATTCATATGTTAGGTATGACTAATAACAACCCCTAATGAGAAGTGTAAATAAATTAACCATTGCAAGAACGTAATCAGCAAAGAGTGATGGCATTCCTCTATCCGACATAGCATCCGTATCAGCAAAGAGTGATGTTACCTTCAGCTCACGAATTAGCTTCCCTTGGGTAGTTTCCCACATTTTGATAGTACAGTCCTGGGAGCTGGAATCAGTGAAAGATGCAAATGAGTGCTTCATACATTAAAGCTTGGCCTAAACTAAATTGCAACACTTGATTCAAGTTCAAGTTTGTAAGTGAACCAGTAGCTTTTACAAGCGATGTTGGTCATATGTTGCAGTTATCACAATTACTTTATAAACAAGCTAGCAGATATACACTCAACACGCTAAGAAGATGTCTGAAAGAAGAGTTCAAGTTCCATGATCATATAGTCTGCCCATTAATTCAGATTAATTCTTGAACACCAAGGGCAGCCGGGACTGCCACTTTCTAATGAGAAAGAGGCCATCTTGGACAGGCGATAACATGTAGTTTTCTTAAAAAGAAAAAACAGCATACATACCCAGTATAAATTATTCCATCTCCACCCCACTTTACGCAAGTCACAGCAAGCTTGTGTCCACTAAGACAGATAACACTTCTATGCAATGTTGTATCCCATATCCGTGCATCACCATCTTTGCTAGCAGTAACAAACCGAGAGCATGGAGAGTTCAAGTGCAATGGTTCCCAGGAGATGCCAGTAATCCATTTCTTGTGGCCCTAAAATAAAGGGGGAAAAGCAACAGATTAATGTAAGGGAGGTCTAGCATAGCACTACTTTATAAACAACCAAACATAGATATGTATACAACAAAGAAGCCATGTAAATAGCTTAGGAGCAAATTCATCAAATAAAATAACTAGGTTGGTAACTCAATCTACAAGAATTAACAAGTAGAGGCAATCATCATGAAAGACTTTACCGAAAGTGGATTGCCTGATGGCTTTCCTGTTCGAGGATCCCAACACTGAAGCTCTCCAGCCTTGCTCCCACTTACAAGATGCTTACCATCAGGTGACCATGCTATGCAGAGAACCCAGTTCTTGTGTCCTAAACCGAATAACAGATTGATAATTCAAATATTACGGATAACAAGGTCCGGCTTTTAGTATAATGTTCTGGTTCTATAACTTGAAAGGGATTTTCTTCTATAAACAAATTTAAAATTACTTAACAAAGTTTGAACCTGTGCAAGTAAACATAGGGGTCTGAGTATTAAGATCCCAAAGGCGGACAGTGGTATCTCCAGAGCCACTAGCCAAATACCGTCCATCGGGACTGAAGGCGACTGAAAGTACAGCTTCAGAGTGGCCTGCAGGATAATAGCCCTACAGTTATCAAGACCGTGCAGACTAGAAGCATGTCTCAAAAAACGGGGGGTAAATGATGACAAATTTCACAACTGACATTCGACATACATGAATGAGCATATATATAATAAGGATTGCAGTTACCATTCACATCTCCCACCCATTAATAGAATATATAAATATAGATTATAATAAAAGTCATAACAAACAAGATCATGTGATCTTCTGAAGCAATGACAATGTAAAAGTAAGCCATTACAGTACCAGCAATGGTAGCCGAACAACGATTAACTGGACGGATTCTGAAGACAGCTTGCGGCTGGTAAACTATGGGCAGTACCTTCTCCACAGAAACTGGGAACCAACCGAGAAAAGGGCCATCAAAATCAGAAAACTATAAAACCAATGACAAAGTAAAACTAGAATCTCAATTCTCTTATCGGTGTTTGCCATTTTCCGTCCACCTACCTTTGTTTTTTTCTAGGTAGGTTTCCAGAGCCACCACAAGCTCCTGGTTCGATATGTAAAAAGCATATGGGAGCTTCTCTTCCTGAACCAAACACATAAAAATTCCAGCTTTACCTCTAAATCCCATCAGGTCTTTCAAAAAACCATTGAAACGTGAAAGAAGAACGACCTGACTCGAATAGACTAGGATTGGATTGGAAAATTTACATTCTTTAGAAGCTCGTTAACGATTTGTTGAAGCTGAGGAGGGCCAGCGTTCTGTGGCAGGTACAGAGGAGGTCCAAGAGAGTTCCCTTCAGGGTCAGTGAATTGGCAGATGACATTGTTGACTACTGTTTCCACCTCCATTTTTGCCGTCTTGAAAAGCTTTCGGCTTCCTGCCTTTTGGCTATACGTAGAAAGAAGAGATATTGAGAATGATTAGAAGAAAACTCAACGTTTTGTTTCTCTAGGGTTTTTCTGGGGTTTTCAAGTTTCATGGGCTTACTGTTACGAGATTTTGTGTTGGGGCTCCGTCTGGCGTCTGCTGAGGAAGAGACTTGCGACCTACGAGAAGGGGGAAATGCGGCTCCTTGCTTGCTAGTTGCTAGGGTTGTTTTTTTACGTGGTTCTTTTAACCAAGGTTGTAAACCGGTTTAGTTCGTTAGTCCGGTCGAACAAGTGGGTTGAGGGTTAATGGTTTGATCGCTTTATTCTTGTTTACCTTGTCATATTGAAAAAATCATTAATTATTATATCGTTCATATATTTATAAATTATATTAAATAGTTACATGACTAATAACATATAACATTACACTAAAATAACATATTGTACTTGGATCCAACATATAGTAAAAATTCACACACACTTATATAACATCAATAGTCCAATTGAGAAACTTTGTAGTGGATCCACCCGTGGATCGTTTTTCTCTCTGGGTCAGGGTTAAAAAGGGCTAAACAACGGGTTGAACCTCCGGTCGACAACCTTGCTTTTAACCGCTTCGAGCTATATCTAATTAATTATAAATTCTCGATTATTCGGTATATATAGATCTCAATCCTGTAATCTCGAATACCGAATAACACCTCAAAACCAACCCAATCCCTAAAAAATCATTCGATAATACCAAATAATGGTAAATTCAATATGATGGTATGTATTTCTCAAATACCAAAACTCACCCTTACCCATCCTTATTATTTTCTTTACAAATTTTCCTAACATGGGGATTTTTCTCGTTGGCTAGGTCAGAAAGAGTCCAATACCAACTGTTTTGGTTAGGCAGATCTCTGGTGGGATTGATCCGATTGTCCCCCTCAATGGATACATTTCTCCTATATGTTAGGAGACTTAGCAACTCAATTAAATCTGACATTTGTTCTACGAGGAATCAGAAGAACCTTAGTCGGATGACAAAATCTGTAGTATTGATTCAGTCTAAGGTTGCACAAGCAAAATCGAAACGAGGTGAACTGTGAATATTTCATCCTCTTGAGGGGTGTTGAATTGCATATCTGGGAGGGAATCCATATATTGATACAGACAAATTTTGAGCACTCAATCTGGAATTTTTTTTTTACAAAAATGTAAATTGCGGCGAACCTATGACTTCCGGAAACACTTGCGAATCGAAAATCTCGAGTGATTCTTGGAATTATGGGGCTCCGGTTGACTGGCGGACTCGATCTTTTTCATGGGGAAATGTTTATAGAAGGCTTTCACCGCACCTGTGACTCCATCCTCGTTCTCCATGGCCTTTGCTAATTCAACTGCACGCAGTTTCACCTGAGGAAGGAACACAGCATTTTCGGATTCAGCAACTGCAGGTTTTCATTTTTCCTGCAGCAAAACAGATGAAAAGCAAAGAATATGCTGTAGTTCGCGCATTGTCGTTACCCTGGGATCCATCATGTATTTGATGGCATAGACGAGCTTTTCTGTCGAGAAATCGTCAACTGGAATAGGTGCTGGACCTACTCCTCGGCCATGGACCTGTTCACCCCAAAAGTATTGGTCGCCGAAGAAGGGCACTATCGTTGTAGGGCACTGGTTGAAAGGATCAATACACACACCATCAAAATGCTGCATACTTTTCACTGAAAAGGAAACACACACATGCACGCATATTATACATAGTTGCCGGAGTCTTACCGCAGCTTTGAGACCGGCAGCTGTTGTTCCAGCACCTCCATGGTGCACCTAACAGTGAGGAAAGAGCAAGATTCGAAGAAGGGTCAACCCGTGTTACCATTCTATCTGGGCTTTCAGAGTAAGATGATGAGATACAAGAACTACAACATTAAGCATACTAATCACAATCACTATTCTGTTCCTACATTGTCTAACTGTCAACCGCCAGTCATCCAAACATGATCATGGGGAGAATCCTATTTTTGGGTTCATGTCATCTTTAGTTGCACAGCTTCGTATATTGCTAACTGTAAGCTTTGCCTTTGACCTCGATTTTGAAATCGAGTCTTAAGATCAATGATAAAATGATTGCTACCATTTAGTAAGATATATAATCGTTAAGTTAAACCACTTGAACCTCCACCAGAAGTTGCCTCTTACTTTATTAATGGCTTATTCTCTTGAATCGGTTCTTTTTGGTATCAGGATAAGAGTCTTACCACAGCCTTGCATCTCAAGAACAACCAGTCATGAGGACAAGAATCCAATGAGTACACGTACTTCTTGGGTTCCGCCACTGCAAGATTAACAAGGCATTTTTACATGCGGATATCAATGATCGAGAGGTCAACAAACGCATATGCAATTCAACATAATTTTGAGTTACGACATGTTAGCGCACAGTAACTTACGATTCCCCAATCCACCCCAGCCTTTGTTTATGATGCCCCTTTGGCCAGTTAATTCCAGGGCCCTGACAATCACCTCGGTCATCTTCTCTGGTTCTTCAACAGGCTGATGAAAATTAATTGACATTACTTAGCTAATCATAAAAAACACGATATCAATGTTCTGAAGCGGTTCTCATTTTGGACAAACAAAGTAACTTGATCCAGCCAGTACCATTTGTTGTTTTATGACCTAATCCTATTTACCAGTAAATGGTTTTGTAGAAGCGATGCTTCTTGATCAAGGATAAAATGATAACCATGGCCCCGGTCTATTTGAATCATCCACATTGCGAACCAAAGAGAAAATTTATCCTATCCATAAAACTAACTAATGATTCTCGAGTAAGGAATTCATCGTTGGATTTCATACTAACATATAGGAAAATAAATTCAATTCCTAACCAGCTTTTAGAATGATCCCGATGTTTTACTCAGTCAGCAATGAAGAGTACAAAAACTTGTACGGATAGCACTATTGTGATGGGAACTCACTTACTAAGCGGCAAGCTTGTGAGCAGTTATACAACTTATACTAGAAGGGTAGCACCTGATTCAAACAAGTAGTACTTATAAAAGGATTAGGCAAAGAAACTCACAAGGCTCCCAAAACCAATATAGATGGGTGCATCACCGCTTCTAAGCCAGTCCAGAAGAGCAGTAGGAGGTTCGTAATTTGTCGCAAGGTCAAGAAAGCAAAAGCCAACAACATCCAGTTTAGGCCCCCAGTCTGCTCAAAGAATAATAAAGAATTAACATTAGCCGACACCTTCAACATTACTCTTTGGCCAAGGAATTCCTACTGATCTAGTTGAAGAATTAACAGGTTGCAAAAGTCCCCTATACCTTTCCTGTTTTTGACTATTAAGAGGACAAGGGGGAAAGATTTACCCTTTGGTTTGGGAACAAGGTGAGGGCTCCATATATATCCAAAAGGCACCTTCATGCGTGAACTCTGGGATCCACTTAAATATGTGACTGGTCTGAGCTTCAGATGCTTCTTCCTGTACTCATTTATCAGGTCCCGTATTCCAAGCCAAACAAGTGTGTCAATTATGTGATATGATAACTGCAGTAAGATTTCAAGGGTTAACTAAAATAATTATGGAATGACACATCAAGGTTCACTGAAGAGTGCAATTGGCCAAGACATCCTTACTCTATAAGCAGCTGGTTGCTTGACACGAGTGAAAGGATGTGGGAACTCACTAGTGACCCTGATAAATTGAGGAATCGTCAACATATGGATCCATTTGTTGTTGCTAGACAGTTAAAATAATGGTTTCTCTCTACACCACACTCAATAGTAAGCAAATAAACTGTAACCCTAATGACAAATATATCTACTTTGCACCAAATTCCAGGACTAAGAATACCTACGTCCATGGAATTGTGAAGATCATATGTAATGGCACTTTCAGCAGCTCTGCAACGTGTGTGTGCCCTGGACAGATATTCAGAAGATTAAAAGTTGTGGCTAATTTCAAGACCAAAAAGCAAGATGGAACCTCAAAGCAGAAAGAAAGACAAGGATGTGTAACCATATGCTGGGGGGTTGGCAATTATAGCGTCTGCTTTGAATCGAACACTTGTTTGAGGGTCTGGATCTTTGCATGCCGCATACAAAGAGAATATAATTTCTCGCATTTGCTGCCTCTGTACCATAATTTCTGAGTGTTCAGATGGAAGAAATCCTTTGTTCTTGACCATATCTATAGAAAACAGATTCAGAAACCTTTTAAAACCACAATAACAGGTAACACAATTAGCTTAAGAGAGAAGAACGAGAGAGAGAGAGAGAGAGAGAGAGAGAGAGAGAGAGAGAGATGGCAGCATTTGAAAGGAAGTAGAATCAGAGAAGACTCTGCACAAAAAACATAGGTCATTCTCAACTAGTTTGCATTTTCTTATTGGATGACAGATCTCACTATCTAAATACAAACAGAAAATTAAGGACAAAAGAGATGTAACAACAAATAGCAGTCAGCAATTTCGTGTTGAATAGCACCAATGAACCCAACAATTACACAGTTTCAAAGAACCTTGTTTGATCTAAGCAATTCCAAGCAGGCAAAGCATTGGAGTTTCACCAATCAAACTGGTGAGATGCTGGGTTTTCTGTACTTCAGCTAACCATTACATATAATCAGCAGCCAACAAACACGAAGTTCATAATGGTTAAGAAGCACACTTACAGCTTGCAAGCAGTTTGGCATCTCCCCCCAAAGGGAAAAACTCCAAACCAGCATCTAATACAAAGTCTTTAAAATTTGAGTGTGTCGCCAGTCTAACTCTGTGGCCATCTTCCTGCATGAAACTCTCATGTGATCAACTGAAGATGACACCTCATAAACCAAATTTATAGAGCTTTAAACTAGCTGGAGTCAGAAAAATATATTCCAACAAGTAAAGAAGGACCAGGAAGATGAAAAGAAAGTTTGTTCTTCACTGATTCTAGCACAGTAAAAAATATCATGAATTTCCACTAGAAGCAAATTCAATCCAGTAGCATGGCATCTGTGTAAAACTGTATATAAGTACCTGATATAGTTAACAGCTCTAATAAAAATAAAAATAAACGGGATTTCCGCTAGAAGCAAATTCAGACCACCAGCATCTGGACAAGAACCTGCTACACTTAACATAATTAACTCCACTACCCACAAATAACTTTCCTGGAAAGGAAAATTACATGGCAACATAAATTCCATGCATGATTACAATAGACATTATCAAAGGGCTTCTTGAAAAACCAGAAGTACTCACAGTACCTGAAAACGTTTTCCAATGGCAACAAATGGTTGCACATCACCTCGAGTTCCAACTATAAGCATCACAATTTGCAAGGGTGGTATGTCTTTCATATCATCTGTATCAACAGATTCATCGTCCGTAGCCTCAGGAAAAACTTGTGGTTCAAGTTCAAGGCTACGTGGTTCTATATGTCCAGGAACTTCGAATTGAACAGTTCCATCTTCTTTAATAGTAGCAAGACGATTAAACAATTTTAGCTGCAAATTGTTTTAGTAAAATAAAGGTTAGCAAAACCAAATTGCAGGGGGTGGGATAAGCCAAGTCTGAATCTTATAAAACAAACCTTCTTCTGAATGGAGATCTTTTCATTAAATAGTTCTGCTGCCAGTGTATCTAATGTATTATCAAATTCTCCACACTCGTCATCTTTTGGCTGAAGGAGGGAGCCTGACTCCGATATCCCAGGATTTCGCCAAACCCCTGATACAAAACATTTAGACTGATACTGACAAACAATGCAGAGAAATATAACAGAAGCCAATTATGTCAAGCAAGAAGTTATATTGCCAGAAGTTGTCGTGCACAGCAAAGTGGATGTCAATGGATAGAGAAAGTTCCTCTAAAATCTGAAAACTAACAAATGCATACGATGTTCTGGTGCTTCTTCCCCCCATCTTCTCTCCTTTTCACTTGCTCTCTAAAGTCTAAACACACAATAAACACCTACCAATCTGTTCCCTTTAGAGTTTGAAGGCCAAACCCATTAAAAGTTACAAAAAAAAAAAAAAGACTTCACATTGAAAAAAAGAAAGATAATAACATTGAGGAAGAATGAGGAACAAGAAAGGAACCAGAGGAGTTTGAGGAAGTTGCATTTTTGGGGGTGGCGGCTTCAGCATTTGGGGCAAGAGAACGCCACAGAATCTCAGCTTCCTCATTGTAATCAGAGTTGGCCGGATGACCACGGTCACGTTGCTGCCGAGCTATGAGACTGTGATTTTCCTCCATTTCTCACCCTCCCTTTCGTCACGAGCCTCGTCTTCTTCTTCTTCTTCTTCTTCTTCTTCTCCTTCTTTCTCCTTACAGAATACAATCCGGGCAGAGTCCAGGCATTGTTGGCAGTATATATCCCCCAACCCCTCAAATCTCCCTCCAAATTTCAGCATTTCCCCCCTGGAAGTGTGAGAGAAAACCCTAGAAAACGAATCTCGACCAGACAAAACCCCGAACTGTTATCGGAGCTCACGGATAAGTTGATCCGAGAATGAGTAAATAAAGAATCCGGACCTCAGGATGCTCATATTTTGGAAGGAGGAAAACTGTCCGTTGTCTTTCGCTCGAGTTCGACGCGGCTCCAACTCTTGGTACAGACAAAAACGAGACAGCACAGCTGAAAAAGGACAAATTGGGCGGATCGGAAATCGATTGCCGCTTTGTTCATACCTTCACAATGTGATGAACTGTGGGATCGGAACAGCTGCGGCGTGGAGTTTAATTAAGGCGGGAAAGTCGAATCGGGGAAGCATCCCGTGTGTTGTTCCGCTTCTGCATATTCTTATTACTTATTACTTTTTTTTTTTTCCAAGAAATGTCAAGAGAGAACCTATACAAACTACCAAGACCCTGCCCAACCCAATACATCAATGAAGCCAACCAACGAAGTCAAAGGCGCACAACTCTAAGGGGGAGAGTAACAGGGCTTTCATCGCCACTCTATGGGCAGCCCTGTTAGCAGTCCGGGGAACTGCCCTAAACTCTAAGGATACAGAAACAGAGGACAGAAGAAGGAAGCAATCCCGAAGCACCGGACCTCCAATGGAGTCTGAGAAAACACCTTGACGAAGCTGACGAAACACCACCTCTGAATCTCCTTCTATTATGACCCGAAGTAGAGATTTGGAGACCAAAAGGAAAATGGCGTCTCTAGCAGCTAGGAGTTCTGCGAGGTAGGGACCAGCAATACCGGGGTGAAGAGACCCTACTGCCAGAGCCACATGCCCGTCTGAACTCCGCGTCACTAGACCAGACGAGCACCCGGAAGGTCGAACAGCAGCATCAAAGTTGATCTTCAGAAAACCATCAGGAGGAGGGGACTAGGGAGAGCGGCGAGAGCAAGAGGGCTGGGGCGGAGGAGCAGGGACCAAAGGTAGGGAGGATGACAGTTCACGAACTTGGAAAAAACATTGACGAGCGAGAGACTGGGCATGAGGTTGGAAATTCTCAAAGACCACCTTATTTCTAGACTTCCAGATCCTCCACAATACACAAACGTATAGGAGAATATGGGTTTGGGGGTGCTCAGAGAGCATAACATGTCGCCACCAGAGACTGAAATTCACAGTCGGGGCTGAGGAAATGAAGTCATTTAGTTGAAATTGAAATTAACTGGAATTATTTTGATGCCATAGAATCAGCCCACCCGAAAGGAGCTCTCTAAATCGTCTTCTGGGAAGTTAAAACTGCAGTTTAATACTCAGATGCAGCAATTAAATTCAAAATTCTCACCATTAATAGAATTTGCCATTAATGTTATCAACATGACACCGTCGCCGAAAGTTTGCCCGGGACTGTAGAAATGATCGACGGTGATTGGAAGTTATAGAGAGCTACGACGTGCAACCATTATATCTCATATCGTCTCAGAGAAGTTCTAGTCGATGACAACCATCGTAATTCGGGTTCTAAAATTTCCAAACTCATCGCTGAAATTATAGCCTCTGGGTGAATTAAATTGGGCGATATCAACGTCTAGGGGACAAGGGCCTCGGATCCTATCGTCATATTTTACGTTGAGAGTCTTTGTTCATTGAGGTAGTCAGAGCTTGATAATTTGAAGTTCAAATTTCTCCATGATTCACGCCTGTAAATGTGGCGGTTAATTTGAGGTCTTAAAACCCCATAGTAGATGCCATAGAAGGATCTGATTTTCGGAGCCTTAGCTTGCTCCGTTTCGTCATTAATTTGACGAGTTAATGGCTCAATTATGGCCTTTCCGGCGCCGGCCGTTACTGTGTGTTTAGCCCTGTAAATGCTATTAAAGATCGAAGTTTTTAACTCCATTGAATGTTGACTTAAATGCCCTGTGTAGGAATCAATCGCCGTCGGCTTTGGCCTTGGGCTTTGCCACCGCCTTGGTCGTAGCAGCCTTCGGCTTGGCTGCTACTTTGGATTTCGCAGCAGGCTTCTTAACTGCAACCGGCGCGGCGGCGGCGGCGGTGGAGGAAGACCGAGACGGCAGCTTGAACGAGGCCTTCACTTTGACGAGCTTGCCGGATGCGACGAGTCTCTTGGACTGAATCAGAAGCAGCTTCCTGAAATTCGACGGCAGGTTCTTGTGCTTGTCCTCGATGCACTTGGCGATGGCGATCTGGCTCGATCCAGTCCTCTCCTTCAACGTCTTAATCGCTTCAGTAATCATCTCTTCGAAAGAAGGATAGCTGCGAGCAGCCTTGGGCTTCTTAGCTACAGCTGGCTTCTTCGCCTTGGGTGCTGCTTTGGCCTTGGATGCCGGCTTGGATGCGGCTTTCTCCTCCACCTGCGTCTCTTCTGGAACGGGCGTCGGCACGACGGGAGCTTCCGTTTCCGCCATTGGAGTGCGAAGGAATCGACTGGAGAAGGGATTCTGTTTCTCTTTGAAAGAAGGATAGCTCCCGGTAGGAACCGCGATAGTGCCGCGAGGTTCAATAGGCGAAGCTGGATTCAGAATGGTGACAATGTGGCCGGAAGCGACTGCGATCAAGTTCTCGTCAGACCAAGCAATGGCGTTGGGGCAGGAAGGGGCACCAACCAAGGAAGCGGCTTGAAATCTGGAAGCCACCATTGGGTTTCTCTACTTCCTCTGCCTATTTGAAAATGAGGGCCCTACTTATTACTTTCTTTGCAGATAAGGGAAATGTAAAGTTCGGTTTAAATGTTGAACAACAGACAGAGGAGCATATTTTCACATTGAGAGATGTAAACTCGGTTACTGATTAAGGTTGGACTCCTGATATGTAATTCTTACTAGGCTCATCCGTTCAATTCGATCCATCCCACTTCTATTTACTTCTAAAATTAAGGTTTAAAATTGAATAAGGGTTTTCTTTTGTACAACTCGCATCTTTTAGGTTGAGTGTGGGTTTTGGGCTACACAACCCGTAGAACCAAATCCAACCCGTGTTTCAACTATTGAGATAAGTGTTTGAATCCATACCATATTTGTGTCGTATGTAAAAGCATATACGTGAGAAATTTAAGATATTTTGTTATATTTTCTCTCGTGGTCTCCCTAACCTAATACATTCGTCGACTTAAAATCAAGATGTATATTTAATATTGGTTGTGATTCACGTAATTATTTTCTCGTGTACGATTTTAAAAGAATAACATAATATGAATGTGTTTGCTTATAACCTATTCAGCTTATTTCGACAACTGTTTGTGAAAAAACTAGACATATATTGAAGCAAATTACATTTCATTAAAATCCAAACATCTATGCATTTTGCGTTGGTTTATTTGTTTGAAATTTTATTGATTATATAATAATATAGTGGTGTAGAGTAATTTATTTGTGCTTTGGGTTGGACTTTTACTTAAAAGTATCGACGACCCGACCCAACCCAAATATAATTAAGCCGTAGGGTTTCAATTTTTTTTGTGGTTTGGATTTTATAAACACGCTACCGTGGGTCGGGGCGGGGGATACCCGCTCGTAGGGGTGGAAATCGGTACGGTATCTGTATCCCAATATCGAATATCGAAATTCCGAATACCGAATTACATCATAAACTCAATCCCAATCCCTAAATAATTTCGGTATCTCAATCCCAATCCCTAAATATTTCGGTATCCCAATCGGTATTATCAAATACAAAATTAATTAACTTTGCAATTAAAATTAAATATATAAATTAGATTTGATTGTTTAATTTAGGAGAAAGAGGCTAAGTAAAGAGTCTTGAGTTTGCCTATAGCTAGAATACGGATAAGGAGAACGGAGGAGATGTGACATCTCAAGTTTTTGTAATTGGTAATCTTTAATTTGACGAATTGGAGGTTGAGAGATGACTAATATTAGTGTTTGTTTTTTGGTATTATGAAAATAAAAGAGATATTAGGTGAGAAACGAGAGTGAATTAAATTGGAAAGTCACATTTGAGTTGGATGGGGACTTCTAAGTTGTGAAATAGTGATGGAATTATCTATGTATAATTAAATGACACTCTTGGCTGTTGAGGTTCGTGTAGTAGTTAATGAGAGAGTCTAGTTGAGAGGATAAAATGCACTGTATCTTATATTTCAGTATTGATCGGTATTTCGGTATATACCAATCTCGATCTCGTAATCACTAATACCGAATAACAATTGAAATTCAATCTCAATCCCAATAAATAATACGTGTATTCGGTAATACCAAATATAGACAAATTCGATACGATATTCTGTATATCCCAAATACCAGTACCAAACTACCAGCCCTACCCGCTCGGATACGGGACGGGTCGACCCACTTTTACATGTTATTTGAAAAAAATACACTCAAAAGTTTACTTTTTACGATAAAATAAAGAGAAGAACACTTTATAAATGAAAATAATGATAATATAGGGTAATTGAGTCCAGCCAGTTGAAAGATGATGTCTAACTTGTTGAAGAAAATAATATAAATATGAATAGATATTGTACGAAATTGAAATAGAATAGGCCAATAACGACAGGGGGTGAGTGGAAAGTACATACTAATGCCACATCGCTACTACGGGTTGGGTAATACTCGCCCCATTGCGGGTCAGGTCGAGTAATACCTGGTAGGATGGGTTCAAATCGCCATCCCTAGTTAGATTAAATGAATAAATGATTCATTTGCTTGTTTGAACTCTTGATTATATATCTAATTGAGGTACTTCATGAATTGGTTTGGGAATTGATTAAACTCTCCAATTATTGCTATTAACTTAAGGTAGAGAACATCCAATTAGGTTTATTAGAGCAATTACCTAATTCTTCATTATGGGTCGATGGATCGAGCGTGAAATCGGACTACAATGTCGTATTGGATCACTATCCATTAAAGAGAATATATTTGGCAAGCCATAGATGTGCTATTTTGCCAAATGCGGAAAATCTCCCTTCGGATAGTCCATTCTAGGCGAACTTGAATAGCTCGAGAGGGAATTCAAGTAGGATTAGGATTCTTCGCAGTATAAATCATGAGTCGAAAGCTTGGAACGTCAGTCATTGGTCTATTTTGTAGCTGGAGGAAAGCACAACCGAGTGACTTTTCTCGAGAGTTTTCAGTCAAACTTAAATTGTTTTGCTCTCTGGTTGAGTTGATAGTTTAATTCAATTCTCAATTTGCTAGATAACAATATAGTTCCATCAAATAATAGTAGATTTGCTGTCCGGGTTGATATTTAAAGCTTACTTCCACTATACTGCACCCGATCAATGGTTGCACTTGGTTTACGATTGGGATAAGTAGTTCGATTCAAATTTTTGGTATCGTTGCCGGGGAGCATGACAAGTTATTAGAAAAGTGAACTATAGTTACTCTAGCTTTTGTTTTGTGTTACTTGTTTGTTTGTTGAGTTGTGATACATGTGTATGATCCGAAGCAACCCGGAGAAATTGAATATGATCAACCACAACATCAACCTCACCTTGCGTCATCTAGCAAGGGAGAGAGAGCTAAGATTGGCTCGGGAGAGGTTAGCCACTCATAACCCTCCGGAGCAAGAAGAAAGAGTTGAAAAAGAAGGAGTAAAAGCCGAAGTTGAAGCAATGGCGAAAGAGAATCATGACTAAGAGAACAATGTGGAGGAGCATGCAAGGATTATGGGGTATAACTTCACCCTAGAGTCAAAGACATACAAGCGAGTATCTGACATCCTCCCATTGCCGCCAATAACTTTGAAATCAAGACAAGAATCATCTTCATGATCCAAAATAATATACAGTTCAGCGGTCTCAACCACGAGGCTCCAAGAAATCACATCAATAGATTCTTGAAACTCATGGACAGGATTAAGGTGAATGGTGTTCCTTAGCTATCAGTTTGAAAAATAGAGAAAAAGGAGGAAATGAATGATGGATTACGTGGTTCTCACATTGCAAACCCCCTTGGTGGTTTGCCTGATAACTTATTCCGTGAACTCTTCATGTTTTCTTTTTCTTGGAGCCACAAATGACAATCACCTTGTTGAGAAAAGAAACAAAAATTTTAATTGATTAAATTGAAAAGAAAGACAATCTTCTAATCACCCATTTAGTTCTCATTAAGTGAGATTAGATTCAACTATCATATCATATTTCAAATGAAGGATTTAGCCAATTGACTAAGCCAGCAAGCCACTCCTCTTTGTCATCTGATCTTGGCCCGACACTGATGACTTTAACCGAAAAATGGGTAAGATATGTTGCTACAGCCGAATTCTGTTATGGAAATATTACGGTTGGGATTTTTTCGATCAATTAATCAATTCTTATTTTGGTCCTTATCACTGTTGGGACATACTTTTTTTCTTTTAATTTCTAGGAGGAACTTAAGACATATGATCATGTTTTCAATGCGTGTAAATCACCTAGCCAAGGAGGAGGAGAACAAATTATTAGGGTTAAGCATTCCAACGAGGAAGAAGAAAGAAACGTAGTATTGTTTTCCGATGTGTTCATCGTTGGACGTACCCACGCATCCAAAAGAGAATATAACACTCCAATTTTTAGATGGGTATCATTTGATGCACTTACCCACGCCTTCCGATAAAGGGAAGAAAGGTTGAAGACCAACAGCTGCTGCTACATTTCCCTGGCTATAGAAAACGTTCACACTGCACTGGAAGCCGTTGTACAACAAGGACGTTTCCTCAAAGTAAGCTATTACAGGAAATCAGGGAAGACAAGAAGCAACACACACTCCAAACATCGTCGGGATTAGTAAAACTTAGCACAACACACTCTATGGTTGAGATTAGCATTGGCGGAGATTCGCTTGATGGTGAAGTTAAAATCCTCAGAATCACAGTTGAAGCAATGGTCAGTGAATGCCGAAACACCCGCGGATGGAAAGCTTCGAATGAGGATGACCAAGTCCATGCCCATGTCCTATGTGGTCATCTTCGTCGTCCTCGGTCTTCTTTCCAGGGAAATGCTTGTAGAAGGCTTTCACGGCACCTGTCACCCCGTCTTCATTCTCCATGGCCTTTGCAATTTCAACTGCTTGCTGTTTCACCTGCAGTTGGATAATGGTGGGCATTAGTCAGAGGATCTCCATCCTGGAATTGACGGTTCTATAAAGCGGAATACATAACCAAGTTGCTTGCTTACATTAGGATCTAGCATGAATTTGATAGCATCAACCAACTTTTCAGTCGTAAACTCATCAACTGGAATCGGTGCAGGGCCTACTCCTCTAGCATGGACCCGATCACCCCAGAAGGGTTGGTCGCCAAAGAAAGGCACAATGGTTGTAGGACACTGCATGCATACCATGTAATGTGCAAGCAAAGTAAGTTAATAAGAATGGTTCAGTTCCTTCTATCAAGGTATGGAAGCTTGCGAAGCAAGGTATAGTCCTACCGCAGCTTTAAGACCAGCAGCAGTTGTTCCAGCACCTCCATGATGCACCTGCGACATATCCAACACCGAAGGACGCAGGCCCAGTGAGTACACTAATACTGAAAAATATTAGCAGGAAGGCCATCTACACTCTTGATCTAGAGTTAACAGCGAACATCAGGTATGGCAACTTCTTTATCAAGCAAATTCATTTCCCTTTTCAACGCAACATGGTGTTTGGTGACAAAAAAGAGATCAAAACTTACACATGGTAATGAAAATGTTAGAGAGAGCAAATAACATCTGATTTCAATTTCCAGTGGTTCCCATTGTAATATTTTGGAAGGAATGATGAAAAAGAGGACTGTCTTCTAATAAAGGTTTGTGTCTTCACAAGGATTACTGGATTAGAAGATTAAAGCAAAAAAGAACAAAAGCCTAACCACTTCATGATCACAGATAAGCACCATGACTTCCTATGTGCCTTTTGAGTTCAGAGTTAATACAAAAGGGTTAAAGAACACACGTATAATAAATTGATATGATGACCCAAAACATGCCGCGCTATCTGGGCAGTTTCTTTACAAGTTTCTTATCCACAGCAGAAGCCTAACCAAAACAACAAATGAATCATGAACCTAGTCTAATCTCCATGGATGATATTTTGTTTTTTTTTTTTTCTCTACCAGAATTCTAAGTTTCGGGAAGCAGTAGCATGCAAAAGCCACTTTTGTATTTTCTATGATATGGTGTTCGGGATTAGAGCAGGTAAAAAATGGAAGCCTTACCACAGCCTTGCATCTTAAGAACAGCCAGTCATGAGGGCAATTGTCCAGTAAGTAAATCGAGTCCTTTGGTTGTGCCACTGCGAAAGAACAAGCAGGATATCCATTTGAACATATAATTACAACAATTGCTTGATAAAAGACATCAGTTAAGAAAGTGGGGGAAGGACTTACAATTCCCCAGCCCTCCCCAGCCTTTGTTAATGATGCCTCTTTGACCAGTCAGTTCTAAAGCCTTGACAATCATCTGTGTCATCTTCTCTGGTTCTTGAACAGGCTGTTTCAAACTTGTTATGAGTTGGTAAATGACATGTATGATAAGTTTTTTGTAGAGTATAACTGCAAAAAGAAACTCACCAGGCTACCAAACCCAACATAGACAGGTGGATCACCACCTTCTAGCCACTGTACAAGATCATCCGGAGGTACATAACCTGATGCAAGGTCAAGGAAGCAGAAGCCAACAACATCGATCTTGGGCCCCCAATCTGATCAAGGGGAAACAAGAACGCTAGATGAGATTCATGAATCCAAACCCACGATAGACACACCACCTTCAAGCAAGGGTACAAGGAAGCATGAATATGGAGCATACAAAACATTATCAGGAATCTCAATTATCGATCCAATAGCATCAGTTGTGATTCTCTGAATTCCTAGAATCGTTGCAAAATAGCCAGCAAACAAGTTCAAAACGTAACCTTTTGGTTTGGGGAGAAGGTGAGGACTCCATATATACCCATAAGGCAATTCAGGAGGTGAGCTATAGTTGCCACTTAAGTATGTGACTCTTCTAAGCTTTAGCTGCTTCTTCCTAAACTCGTTAATCAAATCTCGTATTCCCAGCCAAATGAACGCATCGACAATTTGATAAGACAACTGCAAAAGTTTTCCAGTTATTTTGGAACAAGAACTCACCAAATATAGAGTTAGTTCAAGCCTCAATCAAATTAGAAGACAAAAAAGAGAACTCACTTTATTTGCCACTGGTTGTTTAACACGGGACATAGGATGTGGGAATTCACTAGTAGGTCTGACAAATGGGAAAAAAGTATCACCATACGATTCAAGTCAAACTAGAAGGAAGCAAGAAAAATGATGACGCATGACAAGAATTGAGAAGAAAACTTACGTCCAAGGCATTGTGAAGATCACATGTAGTGGTACCTTTAGTGCCTCCGCTATGTGTGTATGACCTATATAAAAAGTATCGGGTGAGTTTGGAAAGCACTATGATAGTAGTGCAGTATGAAATTGTCATTAAAAACAATATTGAACTACAATCCTTAGTCAGAGCATTGATATGGACTATTTCTAAGAGGAACAAAAAACCCAAGAGCGGAAAAGAGGGAAGAGCATGCAACTACCATATGCTGGGGGGTTGGCGATGATTGCTTCTGCTCTGAATGGAATATTTGTTTCGGGATCAGGGTCTGTGCATGCAGGAAGTAAAGAAAATATAATTTCTCTCATTTGCTGCCTCTGGACAGGAATTTCTGAAGGTCCGGATGGGAAAAAACCTTTATTCTTAACCATATCTGCAGAAGACAATTTGAAAAGATTTAGATTAATATACAACAGCAGCTTCTACTGAAAAAAAAAACATACTTAGGAAAGATGCAGTTGAAGGAAAAATGAAAGAAAGCTACTAGCCCGGCCAAAAGTACAACCATAAACTCTACAAAATCCCCATAATTGCACGTGATGATAATTAAAGAATACAAGTACTTTCTTGAAAGGAAAAAACAGAAAAAAAATAGTGAAGAGTAAGATTTAGCTCCAAGTTCCATGCTATTTCAACATTTGGAAGCATCAATAGCTGATGTCAGACCAAAACACACCAATGAATGCAGGAGGAGGGATGTAAGGAAAAAGAAACGAAATATCAGAGATTATTTTGGAAGAAATAACATTTCGACTTCTGGAACAGGTTGTAAAAGACATTGGTCACACCTAAGTGCATTTGGTCCAAATCTAGTGGGCAATAATTCGAATTAGGATCCTCACAACGAACGAGACAAGAAATTTAGCAGAATATAAAACAAGACATTCAGATACAATAAAACAAGGAACAATATAGTAGGGTTAAAATAGCAAAACCCAAATCCAGACACTCAGATGTCCAACACCAATGACCACTCTCTTCATAATATGGAGATCAAACATTAACCCAAGGAGAACAAAACGGTTTGCAGATACACAGGCAATCTATCATCAACTAAATTGGAAAGGGAAACAAACAGCAGTACAATGCTAAGCCAACGAAGCACTTTAGTAACCTAACCACAACTGTTTTTAGTACCAATCTCAATGGTCCTATAACTGATCACATATTACTTATTCCAAAGAGACTGGGGAAAGAAAAGGGTGCTTGGGAAAAGAGAAATTAAATTGGCGGGATGGGAACGTACAACCGGCAAGGACCTTTGGATCTCCGCCTAGAGGGAAAAACTCAAGACCAGCAGTCAATACGAAGTCTTTAAAATTGGCATGGGTCGCCAGTCTTACCCTGTGGCCGTCTTCCTGCAAAAACCCTTCATCACTTGAATATGCCTAAATTCCACACATTTACAGAATTGAAAGCCGATGATGAACAGAAAAGGAGCATCAAGTCAATGAAGTGACAGGATAACAGGTAGTCTTTCAATGTGGGGTAATCAGCATTGCGTGAACTTCTTAGCATTTGACAGACCCACTAGCTGTGGTAATGTCAACCCTCCAGCATAAGACACCAAAAACAAATGCTGATTAAGTTGAAAACTGGCACAGCACAGAGCATAATGTTACATGTGCCCCACCAGCAGAAGCATAGATCTGATGACAGAGGATCAGGCAGATGTCGAGCTGAGAAATAGGTGAACACAGTTTCCAAGTTTCCCAAGACCGCTATTTCAAAGATGTTGACAGCCAAGTACACCATGTACAAATGACTTCAACGAGTAAAAGCTCCTGAATTTCCCTGAAGTACTACAAAGACTTCAAAGAACTTTGGATGATAACCATATGGTTATTATCAGTCAAAAACTTGTGAACAGTCATAAGATTAGCCCGTTAAACTGATCTTCTGGGTCTCCTTTTCTGGTTCTCATTGCAGTAATAGGTAAGTGGTAGACACACTGGGAAAACAAATGCATGTGACCACAGAGAAGCTGAGAATAATTATTCCTAAAATGGGCCGGTGGTACCTGCAAACGCTTTGCAATTGCAACAAATGGCTGCACATCTCCTCGGGTTCCAACTATGAGCATTACTATTTGTAGGGGAGGAATTTCTTTAACGGGGGCCATGTCAGCACATTCTTCACCAGCAGCTTCATGATAGACAACCCCAGTTCCAAAATCAAGGCTCTGGGGTTTTATATCCCCAGGAACATCAAACTGAACGGTTCCATCCTCTTTAACGCTCGCAAGCCGATTAACCAATTTCAGCTGCATATATATTTTGACAACAGGAGACCCTTGTTAAGACTAAGAAATTATGACTAGGAGAAATGGTCAAAAGAGGGAAGTATGGTGGAGTACATATACTACAAGGATAAAGAAAATACATGAAACATAATTTATGATGCTCTTAAATCAATCTTGGAAAAACATAAGATAATAATAAAATTGAGACATTAAGGAATGTTCCCAGTAAGAGAGAGAGGGAGGGAAATAGAACACAATTGCAAGTCACCTTCACACTATTTTAAATTGACAGCGTATAAACAGCTATCGGAACCACGCTGCCATTCATGAATTACACAGCTAATAATATGAAAATATTCATCTAACTAGGATAAAAGGTTTGTGGATGCATATGAATAAGATAATACTCAACTATGGACACATTTCAGATATGTGAATTCTCAACACGTCCAAAACACCCCACTAGGAAAGTTCTGCTTCAGGTATATATAGCCTAGGTTCCTCATTGAAGCCAATGTGGCGGCTAGTCTTTTCAGAAAACTATAGTACATACATGTACATATATATAGCGCAATATGAGCAAGGAAAACCAACCTTCTTCTTGAGAGGAATCTTTTCATCAAAAAGCTTGGCAACCACCATCCCTAACCTGTGATTATCTTTGAATGCTTTAGCTTTCTGACGAAGACTGGAACGTGACCTCAATTTCCCAGGACTAGATGCTTCTCCTGTTACATTCTGTTTAGTGATGATGTGAATGGAACTCCGAGCAAGAAATCAGAAGCATAACAACAATGAGGAATGTCGAAGCAACAGAAAGGCATCAGGTTGTCAACTGTTAGTTCAGATCTAAAAAAGCATTCGCTCAAGAACAGAGACACACCGAGGTGAACCTCTCATTCTGCTCCCACCCAACTGACATGCAACACAAACTTTTACAAGTTAATTTATACCTCACATCCATTTTTCCTATTGAGAAAAGTGCCTTTAAATCCAAGAAGAATCATAGTAATCATACTCCCAAGCAGCTAAAATGTAGAGAACTGACAAGACAGTCAGAAACGATTGATAACCTAAACAGGCACGGTGAAGAACACTATTCCGGCGACCAACTCCAAGAAATCACTACAATCGTCAACAGCAAGAATTCAACTCCTCCAAGCTATGACAAAGAAATGCAACAGCGGGAACCTACATCATCGCTCATCGATCACTTCTCCACACAAACCACCCCTCCCCCCACTACTAAAATTTAGAGCAACAGACACCGAGTTGACCTTCCGCCGTGCACTGACAAACACAAATATCAAAACATCCAAGCACCAAGGAACAAAAGAGGAACGGAGCAGATGCAATCACAAGGAGTTAGCAAAAGTGGGGAAAAAACCCCGCAATGCAGGTGGCAAAGCGAAAGGAACATACCAGGTGAATCAGAGACGGAGGAAGCGGCATTCTCGGTGGAGATATCAACATCGAGGACGACGGAATCGCCGGAGGAACTGTTGAGGTCGGTGGCGCTGTGATCATCGTCATCATCATCGCCGCCGCCGCTGCTGTCGTCGTGTCGATGTACGGGAATGCGATTGTGATCCTCGGCCGGCGCGTTGTGCGCCATACCTTACTTGACCTTCTCGCCTGCCTTGTCCTCCAGAAGAAGAGAAAGTGGGATTCTGATTCTGTGACTTGGTGGAAATGGAGAAGTAGAAGCTTGATCGGCACAAAAAGGGGGAGGGTTGAGACTTGAGAGAGAGAGGGAGTTGAGGGAAAGGTATCAGAGCCGGCCAGCCGCTACTCAGCACACAAGGAAGAGAAGGTGCGCAGCGCAGTTGGTTGGGGTTCGGCGGCCTACTTTTTTCTCTTTTCTTTTTTTGCTTCGTTAATCGTAATTGCTTGCCGCCTTTCTCAAAATGCATCTTCCACGTTTTCCGAAAAACATTTTACACAACTAGTTGGTATTGGTACCATAGTAGTCAAGGAAGCCCGTAACATGTTGGCCGATACAATCAAGTTTAACCGGCTGTGATTATAAAATTAATTGAAATGTCTTCACTATGATAAGTATGATTTTTTTTACCTTTAATCAAAATGGTCGTTTTTGTTGGGCCATAGCTGAGCGGTATTGGGCTTGTAAGTCCAGGGCTTGTAAGCCCACAGAAAGCCCAAGGAGAAAGGCCCGTCGGGGGGCCCGAGAAGCGGACATGGGGAACAGAGAAAGGAGGGCGGCCGTCCTAGGATGGGACAGGTAGTAGGCCGCCTGACACAAGGAGCCGTTACTCGGTATAGGGCGAGATCTCCCCAAGATACTCACATCGAACTCCGCAGGACTGAGCATTAATTGCCCGCCGTAGGCGGTCTAGATAAAGAAGGGTCGATCTAGGACGCCTGACAATGGCATTTAATGCCCGAAACCCAGACCAGATCCCTATAAATACATTCATATCTGCATTGATGGTAAACCAACTACTCTCTCTCTCTCTAACCATAAACACAAACTCTCTATTCCATCTCTAACTTAAGCATCAGAGGGTGTCCAGGGCGACCGCCCAAGGACCCTTGTTTTGCAGGAGCATTGGAGTACCCCATCCTCTAGAGCAGACGCATCGCTCGTTCCTCTCAAGACTGCCTAGAACATTCTAGGCTCAAACAATTTGGCGCCCACCGTGGGGCGAGAGATAGCGCTGAAGAAAGGATGGATGGGAGCTCCAACACCCCTGTCAAAGACATGATCGGAAGAAGCGACCCTCGCGGTCCAGATGTACAAGCGAGTGGCATCCGAGGATTGGAAATGCCCACTGTGGAGGAAGAAATGGAAATGGAGGACCGCGTGAAAAGCCAGGGACAACAAATATCGAGCATGCAAGAGAGCCTGGGCCAGATTTTAGCCATGCTCAAAGAGAAGGAAAGCGAGACGCCTGGAAGCTCAGGAAAGCGGCTGAACAAAGGAAAGGGAAAAGAAGGCGATCCCGACAGCCCTGCTCGGACAGAAGGCGGGGAGTCCGATGAAGAAGAAGACGCCAAAGATCCTAGCTTGGGATTCTTGGAGGAGCACCTCAGACCCACATATGGCCGGACCAAAGGGCCCACCATCCTCCAAAACCCACTGGCTAGGAGCCTATTCAAAACCCAAGTTCCCCCGAACTTCTCATCACTCGGGCTACCCGTGTACGATGGAAACTCGGACCCGGCTGATCACCTGAGCGCCTTCATGTTAAAGATGCAGCTCATCAACGCCACGGACGCGGATTTATGCAAGGCGTTCCCAGTCACATTTGGCGGTCAGTGTAGAACTTGGTACACATCCTTGCCAGAGGGGATAATTGAAGACTTTGAGCAGTTCGCGACCCTTTTCTCTTCGAAGTTCGCGTCCCAGCGAAGGAGAAAGCTGACGGTATCGTCACTGATAAACTGCAAACAAGGGGGAGACGAGCCGCTTGCGGACTTCTACGATAGGTGGAACACAATAGCTGGTGAAGTGCAGGGCATCTCACCAAGTGTGGCGGCGGGAAACCTGCGTATGTCCACACACAGCCATGAGCTGCGAAGAGCGCTTATCAAGAAAGAGCATGCGCTAAAGGAATGGCCTGATCTCGACCGCTTAGTGAGAAAGGCAATCCTGCTGGAGGAAGCTATGGTTGCGGAAGACGCTAGCAAACGCGCCAGTACAAGAGGCGAGAAGAAGAAAGGTGGTTCACCCAAGAGGAGGGGGCGGTCCCCTGAAAGGCGGAATTATAAACCCCGGTACACACACCGGGACAACAGGAGAGAGGTTTTCACCACTAGCCGAGAAGAAAGAAGAGACGGCAAAGGCGAAGGAAATGCGCACCAGACGCACAGGAGGGAGGAGGACCGGAAATGGTGTGACTGGCACCAGATGCCCACACATGACACCACAGAGTGTCGGGAGTTCAAGGCAAGCCTGAAGTATTTAGCGCCCGGCGACCTCAAGAGCCGTTTGGACACGAGACCGCATCGGCACGAGCAGAGGCATCAAAGGGAAAGGTCGCCAAGTCCGAGGCAAAGATCCCGAACGCCCAAGAGAGGAAGGTCAAGATCGCAAAGGAGGAACCGCTCCCCAAGACATGACCGTTCTCCAAAACGTGACCGCCTTCCTCCACCGCCGAGAAGGTCCCCTCCTCGTCGACAGCCACGTGTGAACGAAGATGACATCGAAGTCATAACCATTGCAGGAGGACGCAAGAGACCCAGGAGCGAGGGGGAGCGCTTAGTCCAGTGTCTAAATGTCAATAGAAGCGAGCAAGTGGACATCAACTTCTCACCCTCTGAACTGGCCCAGGGTGAAAGCGCCGAGGATCCACTAGTTATTTCGTTGAGGACGAGAAAGTTTAAAGTAACCAGGGCATTGGTGGACAATGGTAGCTCAGCAGACATACTATTCTACTCTACCCTCAAGAGCATGAAGATGAACGACCAAGACCTCAAGCCCTCCACTACGAGCTTAGTAGGATTCTCGGGTTCAAAGATCAGAGTAATGGGGGTGGTCACGCTGCAAGTGACGATCGGAGAGGCAGACATAACAAAGACACGCACGATGGACTTTCATGTGGCTGATTGCCCGTCAGCGTATAATGCGATCCTAGGACGCGGTTTCCTGTCGTTATTTTCAGCGGTCCCCTCCACTTGCCACCAACTGCTAAAGTTTCCCGTGGGCGGAAGAGTGGGGCAAGTCAAGGGAAATACCGAGCAAGCCAAGGAATGCTACCAGGCAACAATAGAGAGCCTGGAGGTGGATTTGGTGGATACTAGAGGAGGACACCCGCGCCCAGAAGCAGTAGAAGGAGACGCAGAAGTCGTCCTTGATATTGAGGAGCCGGAGAAGAAGGTGAGAATCTCCTCTCATCTCACGGAGGAGAAGGCAAGGGAGCTCTTGGCGCTCCTCAGGGAATACAAAGATCTATTCGCATGGACCTCCGAAGACATGCCAGGTGTATCAAGAGAACTCGCTGAGCATCATTTGGCAGTCAAGAATAAAGCAAAGCCTATTCAGCAACGGAGAAGGAACGCCTCCTTGGAAAAGCAGATGGCATTGGAGGAAGAAGTAAGGCGGCTGCTCAAGGCCGGCTTCATAAGGGAAGTCAAATACCCAACTTGGCTGTCAAACCCTGTCTTCGTCCGGAAGGCTTCAGGACTATGGCGGATGTGCATAGACTTCACAAACTTGAACGCGGCCTGCCCCAAGGACGCATACCCTCTGCCAAGAATCGATCAACTCATAGATGCAACCGCCAACCATGAAAGCCTGAGCTTCCTCGACATGTTTTCAAGTTATCATCAAATCCGTCTATCCGAAGAAGACCAGGAGAAGACCGCATTCATGACTCACATGGGAAACTTCTGCTACACGGTCATGCCTTTCGGCCTCAAGAACGCGGGCGCAACATACCAGAGAATGATAGACGCGGTCTTCAGGAGCCAGTTAGGAAGAAACGTGGAGGCGTATGTGGATGATGTGTTGGTCAAAAGTAAGAAGGAAGAGGATCACCTGAAGGATTTGAAGGAAACTTTCGAAAGCTTGAGGAAAGAGCGCCTGCGTTTAAACCCGCTTAAGTGCGTGTTTGGCGCCAAGGCGGGGAAGTTCCTAGGGTTCATGATTACCCGAAGAGGGATAGAGGCAAACCCAAAGCAGATAGAAGCTATCGCAGCCTTAAGACCGCCCCAGACTGTCAAAGAGATCCAAGCGTTCAATGGAAAAATGGCCGCTCTGAGCCGTTTCATTCCCCGAGCCGCAGATAAATGCTCGCCTTTCTTTCAAATGCTCAAAAAGTCTGCCTCACGTTCCCAGTGGAGCGCAGAGTGTGACAAGGCGTTCTTCCAGCTGACGGAGCAGCTCACCTCGCCGCCAGTACTGAGCGCCCCGCAACCGGGCGAGCCATTGTATCTTTATCTGGCGGTCTCAGATCAAGCAGTTAGTTCAGTGTTGGTAAGAAGAGATGGGGACGGCTCAGATCGCCCCATCTATTATGTGAGCAAGGCGCTCCTCCCGGCGGAGAAGCGTACATGCCAATAGAACGAGCGGTCCTAGCGGTTGTCACAGCCGCTAGGAAACTCCGCCCATACTTCCAAGAGCATCAGATAATCATTCTCTCAAATCTCCCCTTACGAAGAATCCTGAAAGGAATGGACGTGTCGGGACGAATGACCAAATGGGCGGTCGAACTCAGTGAGTACGATATAGCGTACGCCCCGCGACCCGCCATAAAGGGGCAGGTTTTAGCAGATTTCATCGCCGAGGGATTCAGCCTAGGAAGTGTGGAGAATGCGGAAGTTTGGCGCCTGTTCGTCGACGGGGCAGCAGGAAAAGGAGGAGCAGGAGCGGGGATAGTCATTGAAACGCCCGCAGGAGTGGTCCACGAAATATCTCACCGTTTCATTGAGTTGAAGACCAACAATGTTGCAGAGTATGAAGCGCTTCTCAGCGGATTGAAGATCGCGGTTAACATGGGGGCATCCCGTGTCCATATATACTCCGACTCATTGTTGGTAGTCAACCAGGTGTTGGAAAGCTATGAAGTCAAGGAGGAAGCGCTTGCCAAATTAGCAGGGGCAGTAAAGGGCATCCTGTCCCAACTGGACTCTTGGAAACTGGAGCATGTGAAGAGGGAAGAAAACCATCACGCTGACGCCTTGTCCAAGTTGGCAACCGCCATGGATTTTGAAGGGGAGCGACGGATAACGGTAACTAAAGAGGGGCCCCAGGCGTGCGAGGTAATGGCCTTGGGAGAGGAAGACTCCGACTGGCGGTCCCCGCTGATTAACTACCTGCAAGATGAAGTCGTGCCCAATGATGCCGTCTCGGCCAAGGCGCTCTGGAGAAAGGCCGCCCAGTATACCATGGTGGGAGGA